GCAATTTTTGGCGTAAATCTCATTTGCATTGAAAGTGATTGTTTGCATTTTACTTGTGTGATTGTGTCTGTACATACTTTTTAAATCTTAACATTAACAGACGGAAGGGATGGAGGGAACAAGGCGACATGTGACAAGGAAAGGAGGAATAAAGGAAATGATCAAGAAAAAAAAGGAAGAGGAAGAAGGACACAATGAAGGACAGAAGGGAGCCAAAAGAAACACAAAGACAGATAGGAGTAAAGGCTCAACAAATAGAGGAAGAGAAACAAAGACCAGGAGGAGTGAAGGAAGAAGTAGACAGAGAAGAAATGGAAGCAAGAAATGGAGGAAGGAAAGGAAGTATAAAAGTTCCCCAAATCCTTAAGGGGGAAAAGAATAAAAAGAACAAAAAGGAGAGACTGGACGAGGAAGTGTGGAAGGAAGTAGAGGAGAAACAAAAGATGGACACAACATTTCCCCCCTGAAGCAGAGAGCAAAATCCAAAACTGCTGATCACTTTCGAGATTTCAATTTTGTCCAGGCTTGAGAAACTTCCCGATCTTTTTCCACCTGCACAGGAGCGGTGCGTGAAAACACTTAATGAAACAAAGCGACAGGAATTAAACTGTGAGAGGACGAGGGACGTTTGAGGCCAGAGGCAACCGATGCAGCAACAAACGTTGACATTTGATCGAATGGAAAGTGTCTCTGAGCAGACGTCCACTCCTGACCTCCCACTGACTCCAAACAGTGGGAGGTCATCCGTTTGCATGGAGCAGTGGGCCTTACAGCGAGTCACTGAGTGCAGCTGTGTCTGTGTGGCGGCTGTGTGCGCCAAAGTCATGAGTCGCTTGTTGTCGCCTTGACAACGACGGTCTTCGCAGGCCAAAGTCATATCGTCATTTTCAGAGGTGGGCAGATCGGCCAAGAAATGGACTCAGGCAAAAGTTACTTCAACATATTATCAGTCAAGTAAACAGCCATACAGCTCTTTCTGAAATGAGTTCATATTGATTGTTTTGATCAATATTTGGGCTGATTCGGAACAACCTTTAGGCGCCGAACTCTGCAAGAATATCGCTTTTTAACCATAAACATTATTTGCGAAACATGAAAAGACAACATAAGACTTCAATAAGAACTTGTTCAAATCAATGCGCATTTACTGCATGTCAAAGATCCGCTGAAAGTTGTGTTTTTTGACCTTTATTCCTAGTGGTGCTTCTAAATTATGTGAGATGTACTTTATAAAACACAATTAGTTTTATTTACTTTTTAAATTATAGTTTATTTACAGTCTATTTGGGCCCCCCCTTTTTTTTTTCTTTTTAGCTCTTATTGCCTCCATCCAAATGTTTTCAGCAAACAAAACAAATTTGAACACGTCTTCAGTACAAGTTAGTGACGAACACAAACACTTGTGTCTCCGGTACAGAAACTTGAGGCGCTCCCTGTGTGATCGTAACCGGATGAGATGCAGTGAGGCCTTGAAATTATCCACAGATTTGAAATGATTTTTTTTTTTTTTCTCAAGAAGTTGGTTGAAGGTTCTTGGAAGTTGGTGGGAAATGTCTGCATGCGTGCAAACGTGTGCGCGCCCGCGTGCGTGTGTGTTTGTGCACGTCTATTATCATCTGCCACATTCCACAGATACTCTGTCTGCCACCTGCTGTCCGAGACACAAAGGAGATTTGATCAAACGGTCAGATGCCGACCTTCTGCTACAGTCACCACTGAACCCAAACTGACGGCTCCAGTACCGCCTCTCGGGGATGGAGCCTTGAGTGACAAAGTCAGGCAAGTTAAACTCTAACATTTTGTTAGATGTATGCAAATGACTTCATTTCAGCATTTCTGACAAATGCAGGACTTCCCATTAAGTCGAGATTTGGCCCGGTAACTCTTGTTCTGACTCTGTCAGGTCATTATCAGAAGTATTTGAACCATTTGAACTCTTTCGCCGTCAATAAATGCTGTTTGGATTTTATTTTTAATGGCAGGCCAACACAAAATAATGACAAACTGTGACGTGGAAGAGGAAAAGAAAGAAAGGGTTAGGGTTAGGGTCACAGTTAAGGGGGTTTGACTACATCATCGCCATAAACCTTTCAGATTTTTATCTGTGTTCTCTGCTTCTTTTCAGTTTTGTGTTGCCATTTTTCTATCATAAAAAATAAATCTAAATAAAGTATTTGTAAAGAACAACTTAAACAGAACACTGTTGTTGTTTTTTTTGTTTGTTTTTTTTTTGCTGTCTGGCAATCAGTGTGACTTGGCCAGTCGTTGAAAATATTCTCCGCAAATTTTCCTGACTCGAAAGCAGCTCAGGAGGAAGGAGGATAAATCTCAGAGAAAACAGAGAGCCAACACAGGCTTCATTGACCGCTGGCAACGCGGTGCAAATGTGCGAGAACAGGTCGTCTCTGTTAACCTCTGCAGACCGCCCCGCGGTCAGAGGACCGGCCTGTCCGTGGTCTGTCCATCCAACCCGGGTCGAAGTGAGACATGCACCAACTCAGAGATCGAAACACAGCACACAGATTTCTTCATTGTGTGTTTCCTCCAGTCTTTAGCTTGCTGAACAACTTTGGGAAAAAAAATTGTTTCCTTGAAATAAAATCCTCTGAGTCACATTTGGTTCTTCAAAAAGAAAACCTTATAAAAATACAAAGTTTTCCGTTTGAGTTGCTTTTTTTGCATTATGTTTTGTGCCAGAGTTGATCATGTCTATTAGACTGGATGTTTATTATTTATATTTTCATTAGCACCGAAGTTTGCTGACCATATATACTCGTAAGAAGTGTGTTATGTGCATTTTTTCACACGTGATTTCGATTTGCACCTAATTTTGAAGCATCCGTCTCTCTGCACGGGTGGCTTCCACTGATTCTGTTCAGTCATCAGTAACAATAACAGGTTTTATGTCAATTCTGCAAATATTTGACAATTTCTGCAACAAAATGAAACACTGCACCTGCAACAGAAGCTCTCAGACGACTTTTCATTTATTGCTGTTTTGCTGATTTTGTCCACGAGGTGGCAGCAGAGATTAAAACACTTGAACAACACCTTCAGTGTGTCCCAAAGTGAGCAGCTTCAGTTTTTCCTTTTTTCCTGTTTACTAAAGGCCAGCGCAAGGTGAAAGAGACTGTTGTGTTATTTGCTTCAAAGCCAGGGTCTTGCACACCTTTTCTAGCTATTTGTTTGATTTTAACCCAGAATTTTTTTCACCGCATCTGCGTGTTTTGAGTTGTGTTTGTGAGCTTCGCCTTTTCAGATTTTCTCTGGAGCTGAGATCAGGACTTTGCTGTGGCCACTTCAAAGCACCGACTTTGTTTTCCTTAATTGCGTGTCACGATTGGGGTCATTCAGAAGCATCCTTTGACCCCCCAGGAATTCAACTTCCTGGCTGATATCTCAAGATATTTAAGATCTCCACAAAATGTGCTTTCATCATTTTACCTTTTTTTTTTTTTTAAGTGGATGTTCCTTCTGTTGCAAACGCACACTTTTTTTCTTTCAAAGTTAAACGCTCAAATTTTACGTTTCTATATTCTGCAATGTAAGATTGCGAAACATATCAGAATATTCAGAATGTATCAGCGCTTGATGCTTCTGTCTATTTGTCTACGGTGAGGAACAAACTAGGTTTGAAAGATGTTTGCTCTCTCTTAACTTATGTTTGAAAAGATGTCATTTAATCTTACTTCATCGTTATCGCTGCTTATTTTAATTGTCTGTCCATAAAATATATTCTTATATTCTTAGTTTTCCCCACTCCCTTTTTTTCCTCTGACACAATGTGATTTTCCAGAGGGGTCTTTTTTTTCTCCCCCTCCATCCTTTGTTGGATTGGCTGTGACACTAAACCAATTAGGGTTTATTGTGAGGTGGTTGCTAGGTAAAGCAGTCAGTAAATGAAAGGTGAAGGGTGAAGGGGGTCACTCCTTCAGGAATCCAGAAGTCCTTTTAATAGGGTCAAAGTCTTCAAAAAAAAAGGGGGGGGGGGAAGACGCGACATATAATGAGGGAGATTCCTTCTAGTAAATACTTGGTTTGTGTTTTTAGATAGTGCCGACATGCTTAGCTAAAGTCAATGAATGTTTTGATAATACTGCTGTTCCACTGCGCATGGCTGGACTTTTGGGTTCTTTTCATCGAGTTGTGTTCAAGGGATCACGCACGCAGTGTTCCCCGTTGGAGCAGAGACCCAACTGCTCGGCTTTTGAAAGAGCAACACACAATCAAATGGACTCTCCCTCTAAACTCACTCCATGACGCCACAGGTTTTTTTTTCCCACAGTGTTCTGACGACGACACTCAATCGGACCTCAGCCTAAGCAGACGCTTCCACCCTGTGTCCAGACCCTCATCTTGGATCTCACCAAACATTTATGGAAGCACAATGCAACAGAACAAGCGTCTCTTTGTCATAATCGGGACGCGGGGGCCCCTGCATTTGCTGCGTGAGAGAGAGAGGTTGCAGTTTATAGACGATTCCACTCGAGTTTTTGTTTCTGAAGGAGAAGAACTGAACGCATTGGCTTCTAAACGCCGTCTCTCGCCATATTCTTTGAATTTTCTCGGCAATGCATGTCTCACAGCTGCGCCAGTATTGTATGGTACAGTCTGTTTTAACATCGATAAAGTTTCATTAAATGACCCTGACAAATTTGACTTTCATCAAAGCCGAGAAAAAAATGCAGAAGATGAGTAAAAAGAATGCAGATGCATGATATGCAACAAAAGTGCCAGATTGCTGGATGACATTCTCAACCCCAAACTGGAGATTTGCTAAATCCTTTTGAGAATGCAATTTTGTTTCTAATTCAATTGTTCACACGTCTCGATTCAAGTATTTCGTGCAGATTTGACAAAAGACACAGTCATTGTCTGTCTTTCTTTTCCTGAAACCTGATTCTTATTGTCACGCATTTAAACTCTGGGTTTTAATTTTTCACAGATGAGATCGCAGATAATTATTATTGTTGTTTTTGTTTTAATCTGAGATAAAAGAGCCATGCGAGTCGGCCCCTCTAGAGGAGTCGACAGGAAAATTGCACTGGGAGAAAAACGTGCGGAGGTGTGGAGGGGAGGAGACCTCGCAGAGTCGGAGCAAGAGGCTGCAGTAGAAAAATAAGTCATTACAAAGACAGGAAGAAGAGAGAATAAAGGGGGAAGAGGAGAGAAACCAGAAAAACAAGGAGTTGGAACCCAGATAATTGTATTTTGGCTTTTTTTTTTTTTGGGCTTTTTTTTTGTGTCGACATCATCTCCTGGATTTTCACTTCCTTCAGAGTCCTGCATCACCTGTTGCAGATGGGAAAGTAGCATTTGCACTGAGTGTGATACCGATCGAACTACCTTCAGCCTCGCCGCCACAGAGAAGAGGATGGGAGCAGTTTGCCTCTGTGTCGTCCTGGTCTTCCTGGCCTCTCCGGTGTGTGCACAGTGGTGGAACTTTTTCTGGGCGAAGCCACAAACCACCACTCTGTTTCCTCCCCTTACCTCTCCGACCGGCTCCCCCCAGAAGCCTTCCTCCACCACCCAGTGGACTCCGTCGGAGAGGGGACAGGGGAGCACGGAGGTGACAGCAGACCCTGTGGAGGGCACGGGGTCGGGGTGGACTGCGCCGTCCTCTTCTCCGCACGCCTCAGGGGATTTAGTTTCCCACGACAATGAGAAAACGTTGACACCGTCGTCTCGGGCGAACTCAGGTGGAAATGCCAAAGGCAGGTCCGAGAATAAACCACTGAAACAATGGAAGAGTGGTGAGTGATCGCAAATGGCTTTTTCTGAACAGTTCAGCCTCACAAACAGAAAGTAAAGTCGGTGAGACATTGGTAGAGTCATCTCACTGATCCAATGACCCACTGGGGGGGGATGTTTCAGTTTTGGACCTCCATGCCTAAAAAACACACTGGCGGTGGTTGTGAGAAACACGAGACAGGCCTTCGTGTTCTCTTTGGTCAACCCTGATTTTGGTCTTGGTACTCTCAAGTAGTGGCCACCGTTGCCCAGTCTTTTCCCTGTCATCAAATCATAAACACTGACCACGAGGAAAGTGGGATATGCAGTGATTTAAATTATGCTTCTGGCTGTTCTGTGACCAGACTTAATGAGGTCACTTGTGAAGCAGGTTTCTTCCTCCTGGAATGGTTCACTGTTGCACCACAGTGGCATTTTTCTGGATCCCCCAAAAATGCCTCTGTACACTGCAAAAAACACTAAATCGTCCGCAAGACATAGGAGCTTATTTTAAGTAAATATTTCCTTGATATTGATTTTTACAGCACTAGTTCCATAGGCAGGTTATTTCACTTATAACAAGACCATAAGTGAAATAATCTGCCAGTGGAACAAGAAACTTTTTCATCAATATTAAGCAATTATTGGTTTAAAACAATCTGCAGGTTGTGTCCTGATGTTTCTTAGAATGAAGGTTTTCCCAGTGTGTTTTGTGATCCTGAGAGCATTTGAGGTATGTGACACACGTTGCCCATGAAACGGTCCGAGCTCAGTCTGCGGACTCAAAAAAAAAAAAAAAAAGAAACCTTGAGAGAGCGGGTCAGGCAGCTGGAAGCTTTTATGTGGCAGCCAGGGTCGGAGAGGGATTAAAAGGCTATGGATGGCCACAAGGAGGGAGTCAGTGATATTGGTTTTTACGAGACTCAACAAGCTGATGGAAGCTTTCATGTGGTCAACATGACAAGGATTAGCTACAGGAGGAGGAGGGACTGTGACCAGGGAAGAACATGACCCCAAATTTGTAATTAGACAAGTGACAGATCCGGTTGTTTGGTGTTTGGAAAACGTTGAATGAAACAGAATCAATGGTGAAAGGGAGGTAGTGTTGGATATTTACTGGCAACGAGAAAATAATAATCAGAAATAATTCAGAGGTTTATGCACACAATGGAGCTGTGAGTGAGGCTGATGCTTCAGTCACAAAAGGTCGAAAGGTTGGCGGTAGAAACTGTTCGTTTTGATAGATAGTCTTTTTAAAAAAAGTCTGGAAAAGTGCAGAGCTTTATTGTTTTCCGAGTCTGGATGTGTGTCGAAATGAAGAAAACCCAGGATAAAATCGGGGATAGATTTTCCAGACCCAAATAAAATGTCAAGCTACAAAGAAAAAAAAATAATAATAATAATAATAATAATAATAAAGCCTTTTATAGTGATAGTTACAGTCGAAACCAAATACTTAGATGCAGAATATAACAAGGCACAGTTCTGGAGTTTTACAGAGTTGGAAATGTTTCATTTCAATAATATTTTTAAGCTTTTCTTTCTTTCATTCACTGAGGTTTACAGATCTGAATTTCTGCCCAGCTCTCCCCGGGATCCACTGCAATTCAATCAGGTTATAGTAAGATTCTTGTTCTTCTAACCAATCTTCCATGGGTTTGATTTTGTTGTTGTCGTTGATTTATTGTGGTGCTTCATCACTCAGATCTAATCGAGCTTTACCATTTGATGACATCCAAATACGATACAGATCATCATCATTCACGGCGCCTGACAGTCGCATGGTTCTAGATTTACCAGAACCCAGAGGCGGGTAGAGTGTCCAAAAACTGGACTGAATTTTCAGGAGTAGCACTAATTCAACATATTTTTAATCAAGTAAAAGTAAAAGGTCCACTCCTGAAAGTAAATTTAAAGACAAGTTACTCGAGTAAATGTAACTGAGTAAATGCTACCGTGGTTACCTCTGAACTCTGGCAGAATCTGATGATGTGCTTTTTAAAACGCAAATTATTATAATTATTATAATTCACAAGCAATATTACTGACAGAGTTTATAAGAGAAAATTTAAAAATAAATAAATAAATAAATAAATAAATAAAAAACATCGAATGATGATGTGATTGACAGATTTTTGCAGCCAGGTCAAGTGTTGGATTCGTTTTTAATTTCAAACTATAACCTCACAGCGCAGGAGCAAAACGGATCACGCTGGTCTGAACCTCCGTTCTGCACATCTGGACTGCAGGCGCGAGGTCCGAGGAGAGTCTCAGTTCAGGCACGTGGACTTTGTTTGCGCCTCTTTCCACCTCTGTTGGCAAACTTTTAAGCATGTAGCTGTGTGAGTGACGCGCTCCAGAACACCCACCCACACACGCAAGCGCACAACCTCTAATCGCACTCGTTTCCACTGGTTAGGACCGACGAATTAGAGGCAAGCGAATGCTGGCCTGTCTGGTCCGGTCTGGTCTGTGTGCGTGTTCTGGAGTGTGAGTTTTCCATGCGTCTATGTGTGTGTGTGTGTGTGTTTATGCACATGACAGAAATATAGGATGAATGGGGCTATAACCTGTCCAGCATGTTGATCTTGTTGCTACGGGAGAAAGGCTCCTTCGGGAGGGGAATCACGGGGATGCATGCACGCACATACACACACACACACACACACACACACACACACACACACACACACACACACACACACACACACACACACCAAGATTACTCTAATTACTACACACGGTGCGTGCTTTTCTTTTTGGAGCGATTATGTCGGTGAGGCAGGGCAGCGATGCGTGGCCCTCTGGATCAGGTCAGCCCAAATCAAAGCCTCGTCGGAGCGATTCGCGCGTACTTCTGCGCTTTGAGTCCCAGGTTCTGGGATGAATTAGCGAGGCAGCAGACAGATGTGCACAGCTGTTAGAAATGTCATCAACACAACATGAGGCGTCAGTGTCTGCATCCGAAGTACAAACGTCAACGCCTCCTTTCCCTAACTGGATCGACGGGTTTTCATCCAGAGTTGCTCTCGTGTCATTGACCTTTTCACCTTTGCGTTGTCAGAGAAAGCTTCAGGAAGTCACCTGAACCTGTTGGATCTGATCGGCTTCCCTCTGCCTCCCGCCGTCTCCTTCACTAACGGTTTCCAGGGGTCTCCAGCGCACAGCTTTGGAAGCAAGGCCAATGTCGGCCGACTCACGAGGACTTTTGTTCCCGGGCCTTTCTACAGGGACTTCGCCATTATTGTCACGGTACTGACTCCAAGCCGAGACACTTTCAAACTTTGTTCTGTTATCAGAGGAATCGCCAGGGTGCTGATTTTAAACAATGTCCCTTCTTTATCGAACTTAAAAACTTCATGTGTGTAAAACGTATGTGTCATTCAGCGTCTCTGATTTTCCCGGTTCTTTCCGTCCCCTTCAGGTGCGTCCGACTACCCAGAGAGGAGGCGTCCTGTTTGCCATCACCGACGCCCATCAGAAGGTGGTGGAGCTGGGTTTGGCCCTTACCCCGGTCCACGGGGGCCTCCAGCGAATCGTTCTGTACTACACCGACACAGAGGAGGCGACCGACAGCCGCAAAGCCGCCGCCTTCAGCGTCCCGGACATGACCGACCAGTGGACACGGTTCACGGTGGGCCGCTAAAGAAATTAATCGTCTTCATTTTTCTTTTCCAAATCTGTTGCTTGTTTTTAGTTTCTCACGTTGTATTTATTTTATTTATTTATTTTGTTTTTACCATTTTCTGTCTTACATACATTCACTCTTCTTTTAAGATAATAAAATCTAGTACTAACTTATCTGAGGGGAGTTGCCCTCTCACCCCACCTTCTTCAAATCACACGAAAATGGTGTCAAACATTTGTGCCACTTATGTGCTGGTTTGAGGAGCAAATGCTTTTGTTTGTGCTGCTTTGGCTTTGACGATGCTTATGAAAGTTTAAAGGTCAAAAGGTTGTCCAGTGACCTTTTGGTCACTGGACAGACACTGACACGGTGCAGACGTCCCGTGGCCATTCGGATGCGACTTTTTATGACATCAGAATGACCTTTCACATTCCGTCCAAATCTTCAAAGCCAAAGCAGCACAAACAAAACATTTTGCTGCACAAACCTGCACAAAGGTGGTCGAGTTGATTGACACCAAGTTTGTCTGACAGAAGGGATTCAAAAATAATAAAATAATTTTCTGAAAGAAAATTTTTTTTTTTAAAATCTGACAAATTGACAACATTTCACATTAAAATCCAGAAAGTGTATTCTGTTTCTTTTATTAGATCACCCAACAAATTCCAGGAGTTTATACCCTCTTCATTCAACAAGTTCGGCTTTAGACCCTGAACTCGTCAGAACACAGTCCCCCCACTCGGAAGGACAAAAATATCAACAACACCAACAACGGGTTGTTGGTGTTGTGAGATATCCCACGTCAAAATGTGCCATTTTGCACCCAAACAAGCACAACCACAATGGTGGAACTCAGCAAAGAAGACACAAGCAACAAGCAGTGACATCGCAAGCGACAGAGTGTCACACTGTTACATCACAGCGCGACACTGTGACATCACAGAGCGACACTGTGACATCACAGAGTGACACTGTGACATCACAGAGCGACACTGTGACATCACAGCGCGACACTGTGACATCACAGAAACACACCTGTATTAAAGAGTCCAAGATGGCGTACAAAGCAGCATTTTTAAGCAATGGAAAATTCTTTTTTGCACTAACTAGTCAATGTTTTTCCTTCATGTAACGATCAGTGACCAGTACTGCAGTTGTTCTATGAAAGATTTTTGAATAAACTTGAGTGAAACAAGTAACAGAGGTAGACTTTTTTTTTTTTCATTTTCTTCTGGTTTTACTACACTGACAGGGAGCAGGCGGCCCACTGCCACTTCTCTTAAGATAATAAAACCTTGGGTCAGGATTACTAGATGATTGTTCTCAATATTTAGCTCAATATTAGCTTTAAATGGAGATGAACATTTGTTATTTTTGGATGTGGCACATAACAAAGATAAAGAAGTAGCCAGAAATGTTTAGCCGTTGAATTGTATGACACATAGAAAACACTGAATGTATGAGTGGATTAGAAAAAAAATACTAAATACCTTTGTCTGTGCTGCAGTTGGTGGTGGAGAATAATGAGGTGCGTCTTTATATGGATTGCGGCGAGGCCGAGAGGACGACTTTCCACCGCAGGCCAGAGAAACTCACCTTTTCACAAAACTCTGGCATTTTTGTCGCAAATGCAGGAAGCACAGGCCTCGATAAGTTTGAGGTGAGTAAAACGAATCATCCGTGCATCTGGTGTGTTTTTCTCCTCTTTTATGTACTGGTGAATGGTTACAAAAAGCGCTTTTTCCAAATAAAGATAAACAAAAAGGGAAGAACGCGTCACTATTTGTGTGCAGATGGGCCTCTCATTACCATGCTGCAGAGAGGAGATGCATGACTTCATCTCTCTCCTCTGGAAATGTTCCAGCGTTCAGTCCAATTATTCCATGTCTGCTCTGGCTTCAATTCGTCCGCCATCGCGGATGCGGAGACAGAAAGCGGTCACTTTAGAAGCAGAATGCTTTTCGTTATCGCAGATATCAAATGAAAGTTGTCTCAAAAGGCGCATCCGAATTGATTAGCTGCATAGAAATTTCAGCTTGTTTCCTGCTTTCAGAGGAATGGCCGTTGAGTTTTATCAGTTTAATGGTTTTCTAGTAACAGTTATCTAAATATCCAGCCATCCCAGGTCTTACACAGACATGGATGTATGTAAGATCTGTCCTATATATTTCCAGCTGTCGCAGAAGTAGCAGCAGCTGCCGCTGGAGCTGGCGCTCTCCGTGATGTAAACACAGTCAAAAACATGGCAGGTCTCACACACCTTATTAACCCACAACATCACCAGTTTCTTGAAAAAGATATTCACCAACAGTCAATGTAACTACTGAGTTTTTTTCCAAAAACGGGGTTCGGCATTCCACAGATCCCCGTGCGTCCAGTGGGACTGCCCCGGTTCTGTCCTGTGTGTGTCAGAAGATCAGAGGGCAAGATGAGAGGAAATAACAGGAGGGGCCGGGAGAGGACAGCAAGGAAGCACGGGGGAGTAAACCAATAACAGACCAGGAAGTCTGAAATGTCAGCATGTCTTAGTTGTGGTCCAGGCAAAGGCTTGGATTGTGCCAGTTAGGGAAACCCCTAAGTAGTTTTCCACAAAAGGAAAAAACTTATTTGACTTCGCAACAACTTTGTTTAGATTGTCATACGGCCAACAATGTGTGTGAATCCATCATTCAGAATAGGCGGGTTTTCCAAGCTGCAGCGATGATATTACACCAACTTGGCTACTGGTTGAACGTGATCCGTTCCCATTGCCGTGGTGAGCCAGTGCAGTCATCATCACTTCATTTAGCATTTGTTCAAAGTGGCCTGACTTCCTCAATGGGTTATCTGAAGCATGAGAGGCAGAATGTGAGCCCGCTCAGCAGCAGTTTGTCAACTCGGCTCTATCTAGGTCACAGAGCGGGTTCGCTCCGGTGTGGCATGGCGTCCTTTCTCAATCAGTGCGTTTATGGACTGGGGGCACCGTAAATGTGATGGAAATCATCCCTATCTCATGAGGCAGCTGGTGTGACTACAGTAGTTTTGTCTCTATTTTCTATGTGTGTCCATCTTCAGGGGTCGGTTCAGCAGCTGATCATAAGGGATGATCCCAGAGCAGCGGAGGAGCAGTGTGAGGAGGACGATTCGTATGTGAGTCACTCAAACACAGCAGATAAACGGGTTAGAACCAGCAGACATGTTAGGCTGGAGCGCCCTCTTGTGGAACAACTATTTACCAAGAGGTTGTTGTTATGTATTTATTTATGGTGTAGATTTTTGAAAAAAGCAAAAAAACAACAACATATCAGTGTGTCAGTAAGTGGGGAAAAAAAAGGCTAAATGCAGAGAAAAATTATGAGCGAGGATGATTTCTTTATGTTTTGCAAAGAAATCTGAGTTGTTTTAAGCTTTTATTTTGACAATAGAGACTGTTTTGACACTAAATTCTCATACTTTATTGTATATTCTCAGTCAGAGTATTATTGCGTGATTATGCACCTTGCTGAAACCGACCAATCACAACTATACGACTATTTGATAAAGTCTGTTATTTGCCAACACAACTGTTGCAAATGAGTGAAAATAATCTTTATGCAAAGGCTGAAAATTGCATCAGTGATTCCAATTATCTGGAGATATGTTGTTCGTATAACAATTGTTTAGCTTTCGGCAATTTTTTTATGCAAAATCTAAAGAAAAAATAATATTATTATAGAGCGGCAGCTTAAGTTTCAGCAGAGCCATTAAAATGTGTCTTGTTATTTAGCAGCCCCCTTAATAGAGACACGAGGTTTTACTGTGAAACTAAGGGATTTATTTCCACTAACCTAACCCTAACCCTTCATTCTAAAACATCTATGATGATTCTACCTTTTTCAACAAACGTTAAATTCCTAACGAACACAGGCCTCGGGGTACGCGAGCGGAGATGATCCTATGGATGACAGAGAGACAGAGGTGGACTCCAGAAAAAGGGAAGATGGCGTCAGGCGGCCAGTAGGTGGCTCTCTTCTCTCCACGTTGTTGGCTCTTTACTCCTCCCACAGGCAGGAAGTCAGTTTGACCCCAAAACAAACCCAGAATCAACAGTAAAGGGAGAATCTTCAAAGGAAACTGTCTTTCTAAGGCAGAATAGTTGCTCCTAACATATTAAGGAGGTTTTAAACATTTGGAGTTGTTAATCTACACTTTAGATCTCCCAACAGATTCCTGATTTTTGAAGGGTTTTTGTTGTTGTTTGTAAACAGATGCAGGAAAGAATTTATGAACCTGATAATATCTGACACTGTCTTGATTGAAATCATGTGTGATGTAGTTGGATCGTCACTTCTCTCGTTACTATCATATTACATGTCAATTATGCATTATTATATATTTACTTTTTGCTTCTTCCAGGGAGAACCTATTTGATCTCACCGACAACAATCCGTTTTTAACAATCTTCTCTGTTCAAGGTCGTCTCTCTGAAGGACAAGAGCAGCTTCCCTGTTGAAGCTCCGCCCACTGTTTCGCCAGAGGTGGAGCTTGATGGGTATTCTGGTCACATGACTCCAACAGCAGCCAATGAGGATCTGCTGATAACAGGCGAGGAAGCGACTTCTTAATGTTGCCGGTGGAAATGATTTATTGATTTATTTCCTCTTTCTTAACAGGGTGCCTCGTTAAAAAACTTATGGCAAAGATTTTGACAAACGTTAGAGAATAGCCCAATTCACCATTAGCACATAATTGTGAATTGGGAAGAAAATACTTGGTTTTAGCTCACTTTACTTTAGTTGCAAATGGGAGTCATCGACCTCGATTGAAACCAATACTTCGAGTATTTAAAAGATCCTAAACGGAAGAAGGAAAGACGTAATCAAAATCCTAATTGCCATTCGGCACCATGGCAAACATTCAAAAGGAGATGAGGAAATAGTTGTGGTTTTTGGCCTCCTCGCAAAACCTTGTGGCAGGAGACGAACACTGCACCGTACCCTGAACACACCGTCCCCACAGTGAAACATCTGGAACTTTTACAATTTGATCAAATGTGAAAACTTTTGCTGGGCATTGTTTATTTGACCCAAAAATACAGGGACTGTAAGGAAAGACTTACATGCTGTTCACTTTAGTCCTTGTTTTATAACGTCTGAAAAATCAGCAGTCGGGCTTTCATTTATAATTCATTTCTTCATTTGTTTAGCTGATTTCTTTATTATGTGTGAATTATTATGTCAACACAAAATGTTATATGCTCAGAGTCTCATCGGACAGAAGAGGCAGGAGAGCGACCTGGACATGTGAGTACACACATCGTCAACATTTTACTACTGGAAAATACCCACTGGATTACTTTTAAATTTTTTAAATTTATTTATTCATTCCGTCAGTGACCTATTTGTTTCAATCATATAAAAACGCACACAGACCGAATTAAAGTTTAGCAAATATAAACTTGGGCTTTAAAGACTTGAAATGTGCAGGTTGCCATTAGGCCCGGCTTGAAAGGGGAACCAGGAACTCGTGGACCGCCGGGGCCACCGGGGCCTCCTGGCTCTCCGGGACCTCGCTACGTGCACAAAGAGGGCCGAGGGAAACCTGGGCCGCAAGGACCTCCTGGAGCCCCGGGAACACCAGGGGGCGACGGACAGAAGGTTTTGTTTGTTTCACTACCTTGCATTTCAGTTGTGTAAGAAGAGCCGCTGTTTTAAGTAAATGGCTGCGGCTTCCCATACATCTCACACCATTTGATCAGCAGCTTTGTCACATTGCCACAGAGCCTTTTATTAAAGCATCACAGTGCTGAAATATTCCATATTTCATGTGTGCATAATGTGACTTAAGGTTGTGCTTTGTTATGCAGATGCTTTGTTTGCACTGATGAAGAGTCATTGACTTTGTGCGACCGAACAGAGCAGAATTCATATTGAAGTTTCATCCCTAAATTCTCAGTTGATCCATAATTTAGAATATTTTTGGAATATTAATCCACCAGCAAACTAAGAATCCCAAACCCTTTGCCTCAATACTTACGTAAAATACTGCAGTCTTGTGTCTCAAGTGGGTAAACTGGTTTCAGAAGAGATGGCCCGTCTCAAACAATTAGAAGAGTTTTGTTGTCTGTTGTTTGGCCATTTTTTCCCCCCTAACCTTTTGAATCTTTCACTTTCACTTTTTGCAGGGAGCCAAAGGTGAAAAAGGTGAAGCGGTGAGCATCTTAACACTGGGAATTCGTCTTTCTTTGTGTTTGCATTGCTGCTGTTCATGACGCGTGAGTGACGGAGATGCGGTTCTCCCATCAGGGTCAAAAAGGACAGCAGGGATTTCCGGGTTTGAGCGGAGAGGCTGGAGCTAAAGGAGACAAGGTGCGTCTACAAATGATCCCAGGCTGGGTGCAACATTTGCATGTGTTTTCAATGTGAGACACAGAGTCCATATGTTCAAGACTGGCCCAATATGATCGTTTAGTACTGTCCAGAGATCACATCGTTGGTGTGATCTCTGGTGGTACAAACACCAGTTTGTACCACCATTTTCCAGAGGTCGGAAGAGAGTACCCAAACATTGTACTCAAATAAGAGTAGAATCACATCAACACACTCAAGCAAAAGTAAAAAGTAGCCATCCAAGAAATTACTCAGGTAAGAATTGAAGAAAAAAGCATTTGGTAAAAGGTTTACTCAAGTATTGAGTAACTGGTCAAATTATTAATACTTTAATGTTTAAAAATTACATCAGATGGCCAAAATTATTAAGTCAAGTGGAAATTTTGTCATTTTGATAACAAAAATGTCAATAATTTATATAAGCGATGAAAAATAGCAAAATTAGGCAAAAGAAAATTTGTCAAAATCAATTTCTTCCAATAAAAAAAAAAACAGCTTACGAACTTTAACAAAAACTAGAGGTGTGTGTCTTTGTCTGGTGATTTTTTGGTGAAGGCATATTTGATCTTCATTCAGTGGGTAGTAAGTTACTTACTCAAGTAAGAGCAGCAATACTTTATAATAAAATGACTCGATGATGAATAAAAAGTAAAGCATAGTGAAAATACTCCTAAAAGGACTTTTTGTTTTTCAAAAAAAATTTACTCGAGTACATGTAACTGAGTAAATTGATCTAGTTAATACCCGACTCTGCACATGGTTGGCCGGAAACGTCCAGCAGTAGACGCATAATTTCTTCACCTTAAAGAGTGAGCCGCCAGCAATAAAGCTGTGAAATGATTAAGGAGTGAAATAAACCAGCTGCACTTTTTATATGCTGTGTATAATACATGTTTAATTTGAAATCTGCAATATTTTTAAAAGTTGTCAAAAAAAAAAAAAACCTAAACAACAATAAGTGGAGAAGTCGAAGGTTGTTTCTGTTCTGGCATTGATTGGGTTTTAATCTCAATTCTTAGCAAATCATTTAATCGGAAAAGGTTAATGGCATTAACCAAAAAAAAATTGTTTAGTCTCTTAATTAGATTTTTTTTAAAAAGACAAAAGAGGGAAAAGTGAATGTTTATGTCTTCTCTGCTCACAGGGAGAGCCAGGCCTTGGTTTGCCAGGCCCCCCCGGTCTTCCGGGACCCCCAGGCCCTCCCAGATCCCGCAGTGTGCCGGTGAGCAGGCTATGATCAGATTTCACAGACGGTTTATAAAATTACGTTCACATTTTTAATGAAAACAAACATCATATTAATGTTTTAGTATGGACCAGATGCCATTGGTTCTGGCTTTGAGGATCTGGACACTGATACTATTTTCAATAGGGTAAGAGCCAAAAAAAAACAAAAAAAAAAAACGGATAAAAGTTTACAATCATTTGAGATGATTCCATTTCTGTTCGATTTCTAGGGTCCAGCAGGTCCTCCGGGGCCTCCGGGACCACCCGGGCCTCCTGCACCCCAACTGTCATCAGAACTGACCCCGAGCCATATCGGACCTCCGGGCGCACCTGGCGGTGATGGACTTCCGGGCGAACAGGGAATACCAGTAAGTTACCTGTCAGCTTGAGGTGCATTTAGATACAAGTAGAAAAACGTAAATTGTTTATGTTTATGCTACTGTGTTCAGTCATCCGTGTTTTATATCAGGCCCCCAGACTGTAAATCTAAAAATGCTTCATTCGTTGCATTTCCAATCACGATACAGGTTCTTCCACCACATTGATGTTTGATTCTGTGTATAACCTCTATGTCTACATTTGTCTCTGTCACCTCTGTGGTATCCATGTTTTCCTGTCACCCCATCCTGTTGTAACCTCATTTTTCCTGTCCATCCATCTTCTTGCCATTTCTCTGTCTCCTCTACTTTCTTGCAGATATTTGAGGATGACTCAAGTGGCTCTGGGCCTGTTGATTCAGTTCTGGGTCCAGAGCTGGCGTCAGCTCTCAATGCAAAACTCGCCACCGGTTCCGGTTCTGATTTCAGTTCCGCCTCCGGCGTCGGTTCGGGTTCTGGGCTTGAGCCCGCCTGGGGCTCAGGCGAGGTACACTAGCCTGGTTTCACCCAGGAATAAGGGAACGATGAATGACAGAAGTGCAATCCAATGCATGCGTAGCAGCGGCCAAACTCCGTGAAGACACAACGAAGACGACGCATTCGTCGTTGTGATGAAATTCCCGCTGAACGCCTGTGCTTGTGTTTCAAATTCAATCTCTCGGGGCTTGTGTGGTTGTTTACCTGAAACAGCTTTCAGGTGAACTTCGGTTTTATGTTAAAATCAAACTGAGTCCTTTGATTAATTTTTCTAAATTATTTTGCACATTTGATCTCAACATAAAACAGGAAGTATGAAAACGCTTTCATCGTGATGCGTATAATATTGAAGAACAAATTAGATTCACGATTTCTTTTTTTTTTTTTTGTTAATTACCAATGGAAAGAACAAACAGCGGCTATGCTAATGCTAGCCCAGTTTGTACTGTACCTAGACAAGTCTCATCATTGACAGATCAGCAGATCAGCATCCGTATGATTTTCCTACACTGCCATGTTGCTTGAATAATAGAGGAATTCTGTTTAACATCAATATGAACAACTCATTTCTTAGTATCCACTTGGAGCAGCACGTTCTGCTCTAAAACCTTTGAAACTTTTGCTGTTAATGGCACCTTGAGGGACGCGCATGTCACCCTCTGCATGCACAAGGGGGCGGATTGCATTAAACAGCAGTCCAACATGGCTGAGTACTCTCATTATTTCATCTGTGAAGATGAATAGTGAGATGGAGAAATGATCCACGCCACTGCAGTCGCTAACGCCGCTACCGTCATGCCATATGTGTCTAAGTTACCAGTCTAGATTTGCATGCGGTTCAGGGTGACGATCCCATGGATGATTTCATGTCTTCATAAAACCGACTGTCATTACTCCCTTCCTCTATTCTCTGTGAAACTCAGCGTTGACCCCAGCTGGAAAGCCTGAGGGGGTCAACAGAGAGCTTTGTCACCATGTTAGCATGCACTGCGCTACTTTTCGCTTTCTCGTCGTTCCTAAGCAGCCATTTAATTCGTGGCTGGTTGTGTTCATCCGTCCAGGGTCCTGCAGGGACAGCTGGCTCCCCGGGCCCACCAGGGGTTGCTGGACCAAAGGTACGGTTGTCTTTGTGAAATTGATGACAACACAATAGATTTGACTGTTTCCTACACAGTTTGATTTACTAGTTGTTTTTGGCCCTCAGTAAACAAGGCAGATGGAAGAGATGTTGTCCGTCACCATAAAGGAATGTTTGTTTGTTTTGGGGTTTTTTTTTTTGTTCATGCTGTATTTTTATACTTTCAGGGTGACCAGGGGATACCTGGACCACCTGGACCAAAGGTAATGAATTGAGTTCAAACAGTTACAGGACTGTGTTGATTTCCACTGAATGAGTAAACAAGAGCTGATCTGTGTGCCTTCGTCTCCTTAGGGTGAAAGTGGAGATGTGGGCCCACCAGGATCTCCTGGACTCCAAGGGCCCAATGGTCGACCAGGAAGAAAGGGACATGCAGGTCCACCAGGACCGCCGGGCCCACCCGGCCCTCCAGGAACCAAAGTCCTTGTTGAGGTGATTGTAGTTTACGTCAAACACAGACCAAGGAATGAAACAAAACATAGATGAACATAAGGGCACATTACAAAAGAAGAGTGGGTTCTTCATTCACAACATTAGAGCGTTTTACAAACAAGACTGTTTTCTGTGTTTCTCTTTCAAAGGACGTGGAAGGATCGGGAAAGAGCGACTTGTTAATTAGGACAGGAGTAAGAGGACCGCAGGTCAGTGTAAATCATCTGTATGTTCATGTGTGTGTTCTTAATAATAGGTGGTAAATTTTTTCCTTGTCTTTTTGTCCCAAGGGCCCTCCTGGCGTACCAGGACCCCCGGGACCACCGGTAATCTCTTCATATGTGCACCGCCTTGACTTTTTCACACTTTCAATATGTCGCCGACGCAATTTTATAAACAACAAATACAGATTTCAGGGATCAACGCAAACAGGCGCGTACGAGTTGCACTATTATGTGCAGCTCCTTGTTAGCCTATGAGAAAATATCGATAAAACAGCTTGTGACTGTTGAGATGAGAAAAAACGGAAACAAAATGAAGAAGATTAGACCATTTGCAAATCACCCTGAGAAGCTGAAAAATATTCCTGCACATATTCCAATTTTCTTGGAAACTGGTGGATTTTGTCTTTTTTTTTTCTCCACCGATTTGTTCACATGTTCGGCTCCCGCATTCTACTGTAAAAAAAACAAAAAGGAAGCCACATTCCACTTTCCATGCCACTGTTACGCACGATTCTATGTTGGTGAAATTTTCAATAAAACACAGTCTGTGGGCAGCGGAATGATTTGCTTCATTAATGACAGTTTTCTTCTGGTGCCTTCAGGGCGAGGACGGCGCACCCGGAGCTCCTGGGATTTCTGTTAAGGTGGGGCCGTTCCAAACCCGAATTTAATCACATTTCTTTTGCAAACAATTTGCTGTCTGTCAGCTTCTCATCCAGCCCTGCTCAATGGGCTTCAGATGTTATATGAAGCGAATTCCTTGCCGCCATCATTGTTTTACCAAACTGCTTCCAGAGCTGAAGAAAATCCCTCTAAAGCCGCATCGCTTCCACAAACGGCGTCAAAAACTAAACTGGAACATTGTGTACAAAAGATATGCGTGTTGTTTTCACTGCATCGGGCAAATATGTAAATGCATAATGTCCACTTGATGTTGAACTCGATAACTTCTGTCGTTTCAGGGGGAACCAGGGAGGCGAGGGCCGGACGGCCTTCAGGGCGTTGCAGGACTGCCAGGCGCTAGAGTAAGCATCGACAGAGACACGGTGATGACGCCGTACATCCGCATTCATGTCACGCTGGCACGACGAGGAAAACAGTGCGGACATTAACGTATGGTATTAGTTTCCATGTTGTTGCCGTTGGGTTGGCATGGGAACACGATGTTGATGCAGCGCAGGATTCTGGGGCGTCACACTGAAGCAGAGAAGCGAAGTCTGCTGTCGAACGGGTGGAAAATATACGTAAAGTTATCGGCTGTAAAAGCGGTGTTTTAAAATCGGACGTCCCTGTTAAAGACAAGTAAAAGTAAAATGTGAATAAATGTATCGTTTGTCGCTGGAGCAAAGTCTCACACTCACGCTTTTGCGGCACGGAGCAGCACAAGGTGACTGACACCAATTTTGCCCGGTTTGATGCGAGTTTGGGGGCTTCTTGACCTTTCTTGACCTCTGGAAACTTTTCTTAATGTCTTTAAAATGACAGCCGCACAAACTAACACAAAGGCAACACAAACATTGGAGACTGATCTCGTTAGATTTCAAGACGGTGGGGGTGGTGGGGTGGAGGGTGGGGGTCTCACTCACTCCTCCTGTGTCCCAAAGTTGTGAAACTTTACAGAATTAGAAAAAATGCCTTCCTGTCAGATTTAGGACATTTTATAAAGTGACTGTTGAAGGGAATCCAAGAAGAGATTTTGTAATCAATTCTTTGATTTCCTCCCTGAACAAACCCAAAGTGAAATTTATGTCACTGTATGGTGTTTTACACATCGGAGCTCCAGCTAATCTGTACTGATCTGTTAGTGCAAAGCCTTGTGACTAGTTGGACTAGTTGGACTGTGGTTGTAGCCAAAACATTCTAGTTGATGCTAAGTAGAATAAAAATACTTATTTCTTCTTTCAAACAGGGGTCCAAAGGAGAAAAAGGCATCCCAGGACCAAAGGTAGGGAGATTGGATAAAATTGTAAATGATTTATGAAGCACAAGTCGAATTCTTCGGTCTGATAAATATATAGAAAAAATATATGAAAAAAATAAGCATTTTGCTTCCAGGCACAGTTTTAATAAATGTAAATATTGGCACCGCAGGGTGAGGCAGGTGCTGACGGGCTCGGTATCATAGGACCGCCCGGGCCTCCTGGACCTCCAGGACCTGTTGTAAACCTACAGGAAGTAGGCGTTCACACACACACACACACACACACACACACACACACACACACACACACACACACACACACACACACACACACACACACACACACACACACACACACACACACACAATCACCCAGTCTTCTTATTTAAATGAAATATCATTTCAAATCCATGCAAAATGTGACAGATTTACAAGGGCCAAAGTTGAAATTAAATTCTTCTGACAACATTTTGTGTTTGAATGCAGTCAGTTTAAAGCACAAATTTGAAAAGAAATAAAGTAAAATTAAAAAAATTAAAAATTAAATGCACTACTTTTGCTGTAATACATTCACCATATTGTTGGTGAAGTCATTAAAAGATGCTTTGTGTTTCTAATCATGTTTTCTGTCTGCAGCTGCTCCAGAACGCGACAGACGGGATGCTAAACCTGACGGAGCTCAGAGGGCCCCCGGGGCCCAGGGTGTGTGCTCTCTGGCTTCACATGTCAAATGTGTATTCAGTTGATTAAATAATCAATTAAATGTTGTTGTTTTTTCAGAACTATGAAAGTGTAATCAAAGTTTAATGCTATGGATTTGTCAGAATAGATAAACAAGCGAGAGTCGCTGCTTTTCCTGTGCGGACATGAGTGTGTGTTTGTGTGTGTTTGACTCGCTCCAGGGCCCTGAAGGTTTGCCGGGACAAGCTGGGTTTCCAGTGAGTAACTTTTTGCTGCTCCACTGCGCGCTGCGCCCGTTGGCCCCACCGACTCCGTGGCTCACTGACTCTGTGAAAGTCTGTTTGCCACATCATGTTTCTTTTTCAGTAAACCAGCTGCTTAATTTGACAAGAATTCACTTCATATATTTCCATTAGCAGTAGAATTTCCAAAATGGCAAAACCGAACAAATGAACGTCCAGTTTTACGGTCGTCCGTCCTGAACCTTCAGACTCGAGACGGTCAATGACTCCGTCCCGATGTCCTCGGGTTGCACACACTACATTATACTATTACCAAAAGCAGCCGAAGATATTGTTGTATGGAAATGATTCTAGCTAATTCCCTGGGCATTTTTGTATTTGTCTCATTCTTGCTATTTCTGTCTTTGTAATTTTTAGATTGCACAATTTACTGACTTTAGTCCCTTTCCCAGGGCCCCAGAGGACCAAAAGGAGACAGAGGCCCTCAAGGTATTGACGGAGCTACAGGAGAGAAGGTTAGCAACAAGATTTTACAACCTTAATGAGCAGCAGACACACCCTGACAGGCTCTGAAAAATACTGTGAAAATCGCCATGATTCAGCCTCCTTCCCTCAGCAGTCCACACTGAAGAGTGTTGTTATCAGTGCAACGTCACAGCTCTTTGTTTGTAGGATATTTGAGTTTCCAGCTGGGTGTCTGCTGAGGAACACCAGTCATACAGAAAATCTCTTTGCGTATCAGTCGTAAATATTTTTGAAAATATTGTGATTTTTGTATTATTTTTAATGTTTTTTTTTTTTTTGTTTTTTTTTTTTTGCTTTTTATTTGTTTTTACAGGGAGAAAAGGGCGAACCTGGCGTGACAATTGCTGCAGATGGATCTATTTTATCTGGACCGAGGGGCCCTCAGGGTCCAAAGGGCCCAAAGGTGTGTTAAAACAACAACTTGAGTAACTTGTTTATGTTCTGTTTAAGACATCAAGATGAAGCGCGCACTTCTATCAGAACTGCCGTTGCCTCTGTTGTTAGAATTGAATAAAATCACAACGCTTCAGTGAATGTCGGTCACTCCAGTCATCTGAGGAAAAACACATTTGAAGTAGAAATGTAAATATTAAAGAAAGAAACGGACGAGAAAAGCAACACAAGTTATGATGGACACCAGATTGTGATAAAAATAACTTTTTGAAAAAATGTCTCATCTGTGCTATGTTGTAAGGCATATATAACACATGTATAAATGCTAATCATATATATTTAAATCATTGTCATTTTGTTTTTACTCCATAATTTTATGTTTCACTGTACTGCTTTGTGATCTCCCAGGGCGACCGGGGCTTCCCAGGAGCCATCGGGCCTGTGGTGAGTTCAATATTTTACGTTTCCTGGCGTTACACTCCTAAAATGTCAATTTAAGAAGAAGTTGACAACCCCGACACTAAAGTTGTCTAACAGACTGTCTTTCATTTCAGGGACCCATGGGACATCCTGGCCAAAAAGGAGAATATGGTTTCCCTGGACGCCCAGTGAGTAGCTTCATATAATCACGTACCTGCAGAGCGTGTGGCGCGGACAGCAACGCGGCGCTGTGAAAACCACAACCTGCTCCCACGTTTTACTTTTTAGAGCCAGCAGGTAAACGCTGCTGTCTCTTGTTGTAGGGACGACCCGGCATGGTGGGGAGAAAAGGCGACCGAGGAGAATCTGTCAGCCTGCCGGTAAGGAGGAGAGATTACAGAGATTACTAATAATATATGGTTAACGCAACCCAGAGAAATTCAAAGATTTAAGGAGCGACTTACTTTAAAACAAATTGCAGAAACAATACTTCCTTTTTTTTTTTTTTTTAGGGTCCTCCCGGTCCTCCGGGTCCTCCTGGTCCACCAGGACGAATTCTCGGTCTAAATGGAGTAAGTATGCAGCGATCATGGCTTATGTGAAAGTTTTCTAATTAAAGGAACATGTTTCTTAATGTGTTTTTTTTTATTCTAACTGGCTCTTCTTGGATTACAAAGTGCAGTAAGTATTATAGTATTGTAGCTTTATACCAAAAAACAAGTTACTGGTGGCCCTGGTGTCAGAAAAAGAACTGAAAACTTATTAGTTAGTTTGGAGTTCTGTTTCATCCTTTCTGACCACCAGAGGGCGGTGCTGAAAGCGTGCGCCGTTCCAGCAACATATCAACAGAGTCACACCTGTGACATACCGAATGGTCAATCAGACGGGAGGCTCTGGTCCTGCAGAACCTTCTCGCGAAATGCAATAATCCTGAGAGACGAAGAATCTCTGGCGGTCATTCATAGAACTGAATTTTCATTTGACCTACAATACTGTATTGTTAAATACACCGTGTATTTAACAATACAGTGTATTGTATACAGGGTGTTTGGATTTCTACATTTTTTATTTTGGTTAAAACTCTTCGTTGAAATGAAACTCTGCTCACGCTGCTCTCCTCTGAACCCAAAAGACAGTGTTCCCGGTGCGCCCCAGACCGCACTGCAAACTGGGACGAGTAAGTCTGAGCCGGACCGTCTGAATGGTTCCTTCCTGTTGGAAGGGGGACCATCTGGTGGTTCTGGTGGTGTGTGGGATTTTGTTGGTTTTGTTTTTTTTAATAACGCATGAAACCTCTCTGGTGCCTCCTTCCCTCCTTGTTACCTTCCCCTCCTGCTCTCCTAACAGTGTCTGATAAAGCCGCGTGAACGTGGACGTGGCGTGATGGCATCAGGCTTTAACATTTGTCTTGCACAGATTCCCTGCAATATGAAAACATGTTTTGTTTTGGTTTGATTTGTTTTTTAGTCCAAAACGTAACCAGAAAGATCAGTTCCTGCGTGACTGTAGGTGGCTGAGCCGGGTCCAGTCATCACAGACAAATGTTAATGCGAGGTGTTTCGGGAAGGGCATGCCGATCACTTCTTAGCTCATCTGCTCTTTTGAATGAAGATGAAGGGAAGGACCATATCTTGTGTTTATGCAAATCAGAGTTGGTTCATCGTGACGCGTTTGATCAATCAAACCGTACAATGCGCCATAGTCTTTTCGGCTGTTGTAAAAGCGATGGAGCTCCATCTCTGATCTGCTTACTGTCGGGTAGATGAGTAAAGTTTCTTCCTGGTGTCGGGGTTTGTTTTGTTTTGTGTTTTTTTTTCCAACCGGTTAGCATCTCAGAAAGGGATTCTTTGAGAAAAAACATCGTGGGCCAAATAACACATCCAACAAAGCCTGACGAGCAAAAAAAAAAAAAAAACACTTTGACTGGATCCATATGTTGACAATCAAGTGCCAGTATTACAATTGAAAGGAACACAACCGTTTCTGAATTCACCCTGCGCTGTAAAACCTTCGTGCTTCATCCCCGTGCATTAACCTCAGTAACTGAGCATGTGTCTCTTGGATTGAATCAGTCGACTTTATCATCATCGACCCCCTTTTTACCCTGTTTAATGTCCAGCCGTAAGTTTAACACGTGCTCACAACCTGAGCAATCTGGTTATTAATGTGCCTCTGTGTGTGTGTGTGTGTGTGTGTGTGTGTGTGTTTGTGTGTGTGTGTGTGTGTGTAGGAGTCGGTGACAAAGAGAGACTCCGTGGGCCTCAAAGGAGACAAAGGCGACGAAGGGATGCCTGGTGAGCCGGGAACGCCCGGTAAGACTCGTCTCTTTCCTGCTGCAGCAGCCTCTGAATCTGCATCCCTTCAACTTGTCGCTTTCTTTGTCGCCCAACGTCACGCCGCGTCACGACCGCGTTCCCGCCAGCAGCCCCGTTACTTGACGGGGGAGAGGTGAGTGAAAGCCTGTCTGGTGCATCTCCCAACAGATGTTTTATGACGTTCCTCTTCCGAGCAACACGCACAGAACGTGAGAAAACGAGTTGAGATTCGCTTCAGACGAAGTTTAGCAACTTCTGGCGATCAGAGCGTGGAAGACAAACAGCGAGTCTAAGCGTACATCACAATCCACTGTTACGATCGCATCCACCCAGTAAGGATGTGTGAACAAAACACTTTAGAATGAATTCATCTTTTATTGCAGCAAAAGCAAATTAGAAAGTCCACTGTTTGATTTGAGTATGCTTACTTCCGAAGAAATCTTGTAAAAACGCAGTTTTAGTTTTGTTATGTTCTGACTGTTTTCTGTTTGCTCAGGGAGCCAAAGGCGATCTGGGGGTCAAAGGTGAAAAGGGAGAAAAGGGCGACTCGGGCCTGCCCGGTCCTCCAGGACTTCCAGGGAAATCCGGACTTGTGGTGGGTTCAGCTCGAATCGGAGCACAGATCAGACTTTGGTTTTGTTCCCTGCTTGCGCCAGTCGCCAGAACTTGCGAAGCGTTGCGACGACCAAACTGTACGGAGAAATATTTCATTCCATTCTTAACACCAAATTTCAAAACATTTGTACCATTTGAAAAACGATGCAGAACCGGAGCAGGTTGCACATCAAAGCTGCTGCTTATCAACAACTGGCCATGCAAAAGTTGGGCCGATATCAATATCCAATATTAATGTTGCTGTTTTGGTTTGATAACCAATGTTTACTGATATTATATTTATTTTTCAACTATTTTGATACCTTTGAGGAAAAAAACAAACAAAAAACAAACAGCAACAAGATGGAAATAAATATCGGTTGTTCATATTGGCCCCGCTGTATTTATCGGGCCGTTACCGATGTTAATGCCAATGTATCGTGCATCCCTATCAAAAACCCATTAAATCATTATAATCAAGTAAATGTAAGAAAACTTTGGACAAAGAAAAAAAAAAACACACAGCTTTCTTAACGTAATACATCCATGTTTGTGTTTGTGCGTTCAGGGTCCAAAGGGGGAGTCCGTTGTAGGTCCTCCGGGACCGGCTGGTTCTCCTGGTCAACCCGGTGCTCCCGGGCTTGGACGACCTGGGCCCCGAGGTCCGCCTGGCCCTGCTGGGCCCCCGGGACCGGCCCCTGAATATGGATCTGGTGAGTGTTTGACACAAAGAGATTTCAGAGGAACTGAGCTGTATTTCTGTCATCGTGCTGCATATCTTCTCCTCAGATGTCAGCGTCCCTGGTCCTCCAGGTCCTCCCGGTCCACCAGGACCTCCAGGCTACGCTAACCCGGTAAGATGATTAATCCAAAGCACCTGAAAGCACCGGAAAGCGCCGGTAGTGACGCTGTGACGGTGTGTGGTCAGGTGACGACCTTCAAGACCTTCAAGGCTCTCACCAGAGAGATCCAGAGGGCCGCTGAGGGAACGCTGGCGTACGTGTCCGAGAGAGGTGGAGAGCTGTACATCAGGGCACGCAACGGGTGGCGCAAAATCCAGGTTTGTACCGTAGATTTACATTCCTCTGCAGCCACATAAAACACTTTTTTTTTTAAGGTTGCTGCTTTAGCCATTTATCCTCCATTCTTTGCTCTAGTTATTTTTCGTCTTCTCGCGGGACTGGGTGTGCATTTGTGATTTTGCGAAATCAGTTCCGTAATTCTCCCATAATTTCACAGTAAAAGTGACTGCGAATGGCTTCTGTCTGTTCGCGACGACTCGAAACACGTTCCTCACGATTCTTTCATTCATTTATTTCTTTTTTGTAGCTTGGAGAGCTGGTTCAAAACGGAGCTTCCTCGTCAGAAGCGTCTCAGGCTCTGAGCAGAGCTGGAGACTGGAGCAGACCTCAAAGAGTTCACAGCCAGGTTCATATCAACACGCATGCGCACAAAGCCCTCTGTTGACCCAGTGCGTGTTATTTGTTTCAAGCTGGAAGTTTTGCGCATGCGCACAACGCTGGAGGGCGGACAAAAAGACTCTCTCTCTCTGTGTATATATATATATATATGAGGCGTACATTTCAGGTTGAAGGGATTATGTTGACAACCTAACAGCTAAAAGCTTTGGTAGTTGTTGGGTTGCAGCTTTTTGCACGAGTGACGTCACGCTGCTAAACCGACTACTTTTTGTTGCTTCTGTTGATCAGGAGCTGCAGGACGGCAGCAGGGGATTCCAGCCCAGCTACAATATCTTGCCACAGACCATCGAGTCCGTACCTGGAGTGAGTGGGACAAATCCCGCGCTGAGTCGCCTTCGCCTTTTTCTACCGGTGACCTCTCCTCCTCTTTGCCTCTAGCTCCACCTAGTGGCGCTGAATGCTCCGCTCAAAGGCGACATGCGGGGCATCCGCGGGGCAGACTTCCAGTGCTACCAGCAGGCGCGCTCCGTGGGGCTTACCGCCACCTACAGGGCCTTCCTGTCATCACACCTCCAGGACTTGGCCACCATAGTGCGGAAGGCTGACCGCAACAACCTGCCGGTGGTCAATCTGAGGGTGAGGAAATGCTCTTCCTAGTCCAGGTTTTTTTTTTGTTTTATTTATTTATTTTATATATATATATATATATATTTGGTTTCTTGTACAAGATACAACAAATAGTTTTTGTTTTCAAATGTTTTTCTTTTTCCCTACTTCTCTCAGGGGGAAATATTGTTCAGCACTTGGTCCTCCATATTCTCTGAGAATGCCGGCATGTTCAACCCGTCGACACCCATTTACTCTTTTGATGGACACAACATAATGACCGAACCAGCATGGTGAGTGGATGTTAGCATTAGCAACCAGGGAGACACTGCTAAGCAAAGAAAATGTGAGGCGGTATCAACAACCCAGACTCATCATTTTTATTACCAACATTTTTTTTACATTCCAGATTATTGAACTGATGCATAAGAATGAGAAGGAATGAAGTTTTCCCAAAGCGAAAGTTATTGAAAATCGCATGAATAACATAGCATGGTCTGATCTAAGGGTGCGCTGATTTATCGGCCGGTCGATCTGTCGGGCTGATTTCTTTCATTTTGTGATTGACGATTGGTCAATACATCGATCTTATTCACCAATCTTACCTGTCTCACTAAAGATCTAAAAATCACCCACTGTCCTCTTCTGCTTTCCCGTGTGAAAGGTTCGACTGACAGACCGGCCCACCAGGTCATGTCTGCACATTCGCAGTGAACAGTAGTCCCCCCAATGTTACTGAGTCAGCAACTTTCTTGCTATGTCTAGCAACATTTCAGACTAAAATAAATTGGTATTGGCCGAAATCGGAATCGGCAGGTCAGTCTCTTTAAAAACTTGTTCATCTGCGTTTGGCCAGAAAACTGCAATCAGTGCACTGCTAGTAAAGTCAAACCTTAGTAAATAAGAAAGTACAACAAGTATGTAATTAATTAAAAAACAAAATTATTTTTAGTTTCCTCGCTAAGTGATAGATTTAAAAAAAAAAATTCCACAGTGAACGTAATCCGTTCAAATATTGTCAGCAGTAGCAGCTGATGGAAAACTGAAGAACCTATGAGCTCCTCCCTCCTCTCTCTTCTGCCCCCTGCAGGCCGGAGAAGCTGGTGTGGCACGGCTCCAGCACCTTGGGAACCCGGCTGACCGCCAACTACTGCGAGGCGTGGCGGACGGGCGACATGGCGGTGACGGGCCAGGCGGCGCTGCTGCAGACGGGTCGGCTGCTGGGACAACACCCCCGCTCCTGCTCCAACCACTACGCAGTGCTGTGTATAGAGAACACATACGTGGGGAACACACCCCAAAGGAGAACCTGAAGATACACAAACACACGCACGCACAAACGCATATTAACACGCATGCAGGCATGTTGAAAGTGGGAAATATGATTGGGGGAAAAACACATTTAGGCACATGAAACACATGCACACATAGATTGTTGTTATTGTTTTGTTTTTGTGTTTAGTTCCCACCTGAAAGTCGGTGTGAGACGGCAGCTCCACATGTCCGTCCATGTCTAGAGCTCAGTTATTTTTGTAGTCTCTAACAGAGTAAAAAAATAATAACAATAAAAAACACTGTCAGTGTTTGAGAGCTGCCAGCTTTACAATGTTTCTGGGGCTTCTTTGTTTTCCTGCTCCACAGGCAGACAGACAAACTAGTAGAGAAACGTAGCAGAACTGCTGTAAAATAAACCACAAAGTCACTGGTCTGTCTGATAAGAGAAAGTCTCCTTTTTCCTGTTTTCAAACTAAAGTGAAGTTTCATATCTTAAGAAAGGTCTGACAAGACATGCAGCGATATCAGACAAAAAGAGAATACTCATTCATAATGCCACAAGTAAAAAATAAAAAAAAGTCATAAAATATATTTCTTCTATTGCAGTAGCATAATTTCACACATTAAAAAAAATCAAACCAAAACTTCTACAAAATATGTAAAAACAACAACAAAAAATACAATTCCAACATTATTTTTCCCAAAAACTTAGAAAAAAAGTTTTGAAAAAAGATTTTCTAAAAAAATTTAATTTGAAAAGATTTTTTTAAAATGTATAGAAAACAAATTCCAGAAAAAAAAAATTGAAATAATGTTCGACTTCTAAGAAATTGTTCATCAAAAATTCTTCAATTTTTCAAGCACATTTATGCACATTAACATCTATTGGCATTCTAACTGCAACAGAATAATTTTTGTAATGAATTAACATTTTCAGATTGCCTTCTGACTAGAAAATGGTGATCAGTTTGACTCACATCCCGCTATTCAAAATAGGAAAGACAGATCATCCCACCGGAGTATTGATCTTCCCAGAATAAGGAAACGGCTAGGATAAAGTGGATGTTCGTCTAAATTTGCCAATATCTCTATTAGTTCACCTATTCTTCTATTTATACAGTAGCATGTCCTAGGAAAACATAGCTAGTATGCATTCACATGTTGCTGTTTGAAGTTGGAGCATGTTTGTGTTTGTCCACATCATTTATTTCTTATAATACTGTAGATGCCTTTTTCTTTTTTTAATGAAACTCACTAAATGACTGATAATCTCCTCACCACGCTTTAATTGAAATGTTCTGCCTGCAAACTTGACTGTTAGTTGTTCTACTGTCTGATTGTCTCTTCTGTTGAAACAAAAACTTGACTTTCTTGTACTTACCTTCTGGTGCTCACTCAATAAAGTGTCTGATTTTTTATTTTTGGGTTGTGTGTTTTTAATGAGCAGCGACTCTTTCGTTTGGTAGAAATCTCGCTTCATAGTAAGTTGGAATACGATCGCACATTCAGGTCCGTTTATATGTTTTGACTCTTGGCAATCTTCTTCATCCATTTTGCATCTATTTTTGCATCCACGTTTTCCTTCCACTCAACTTTATATTGTTACATGTAGATGCAGCACTCTAAATAATAATCACATTTTGAGGCTCGTCTCTTTTCTGGAGATTGTCGACATTCAGAACCTTAGAAGTGAGAAAAAAGGTTATGGAGAAAGGGGTCATTTTTTTGGGAGAATGACCCCAAAGCACATTTGGTCACTTTGGATCCTTGAAATGTAGAATTTTCTACTGTGATTTATTTATTTTTTCTTCTTTGGACAAACTTTTTTTTAAGTTTTGAGAAACTTCTATGTTTTGTTTTTTGTTTTCTAACAAATTCCTCAGATTTTCCAAGCAAACTGAATTCTTCCCCTTTTGTCTTATACTGGGGAATAAGCTGTAAGCCACAATTATCAAATACAACTGCAGTGACTACTTATAAATATCATGTTGTGTATGATAAATCCATAAAATGAATCCCTGTCACTTTTTAATTGAATTACTGAAAAGGTTTTCCTCCATAAAAGATGTAGTTCAGATGATTGTCCACCAGGTGGGGTAAGTCCAGGTCTGGATAGAAAAGCGCATGCGTGTTTTTTTTTTCTCTCCTGTTTGTTATTTAACAAACATGGCTGCCTCCTGTCTGACGGCACTCAGGGCATCTCTGACAGGTAAAACCTTTTCATCCTTAACTGGGGTCCATTCAGGACGGACAACCCTCTGTATTATTACTAGGTGTTACCAGGGTGACATAATTTATCTTGTATTAGCTACGCAGCTTGTTTGTGTTGTTTTTAGCTTATTTAATTTCTGTTGCTGCTGTAAACACAGCCGTGATGTTAGATTTAGCGTGAAGGTAAAAACTGGATTCGTCTTTTCTCGGAGGTTCCTGCCGGCGGCTCCTCGCGCACAACGGTCGTCTGACCCCGACAGTGAGCCACCGTTTGCGGCTTCGTGTCCCCCCCACCGCCGGACTGTCCAGCTCCGGGACCGAGCCGACACGGAGCTCCGATGCGGCCGACAAGGTTGCAGACAGACTCGGGCAGGAGGAGCCGGAAGGTCCGGAGTACATCCCCACCAGGAAGGCCAAGAACCCGATGATGAAGTTAGGATATGCCTGGTGAGCCTGCGGCACTTTTTGCTTATACCTCACGTCTTTATAGAGAGAGAATGATGACGTCACGTAACAACCTTTGCTGTCCGGTAAATTGTCCCCGAAGTTATCGCGGTAAACGATAATGTTGTTTTGAGATAGTTTTCCAGTACTATGATGATAACGGCATGGTGATGCAACAGTACATTACAAAATAAAACAAAGATTTATTAAAATAAACATTGATTAAATTAATTAAGTCCCTTAAAACAAAATTATCCGTAAAAAAAATAGGGGTGTGTGAAAGGGCTGGTTGAGGCCGATGCACCAAAAACTGAAGTCAGTTTTTTGTATAAAGAGAAATAAAAGAGAATGACGATAAATCGTGCAAATTGAATTGATCAAGCTTTTTTTTAATTTATCAAGCAATTAATTGATTTATTCCCAATGGCTGCTGGCCTGCTAATCATTGTTGCTGCGTTTACACATCATCACAACTGTCCGAAATCCCTGATTATCACAGTCGCTTCAAATGAGACTTTTGCAATAATGACACTAAAATGAAAAAAAGGGGAAAAAAAGTTCAGTATTGGTTGAAGGCCTTACTTTCTGCTGATTGCACAATGTTTTTGATAACAGCTAAAGTAACCATTGTTGCATCGCTTGCTACCTGCAGTATGCTAATCTAATGAAATGCAAGGCTCTACATTGCTTTTTCTGCTCATGCTGTGGGTTGCGGCCTTTTGGACCAAAGCCCTACAGCAGTTTCTTCTTGTTGAAAATGTGCAACACGTGATCCATAATTGTAATCAAAAAGTTATTTAAAAAGACCGCTGTGTTTCCTGAATGGCTAAATGAATTGCTAAAATTCATAAATACTTGAATCTCCCTCTAGGAAAGCTTTTATGCATTAATACACACACTGGGAACTGTCTAAGCACAGTAATATCTACATATTTACAGTTTTCCTTATTTCCATGCTTGGAAATAAGGAAAATTGTAAGTGCAGTCAATCAGCCAATCAGCATGAAAGAAAAACGAATGGCGTTCTGGGATTGGCTGCTTTCCAAATGCAAGCAGCTGTTAACTCGGCTGCTTGGCAGCTTTAAAGAAACGAGGTGGACAGGAAGTAGGTCATTGTACAGAAATGGTCGTTTCAGGTGAACGCGACAATCGGAAACCTCACTGGTTCGACCAAACGCATCTCCCCTTTCCTCCAGGATGATCGGGCTCCCCACGGGGATCATCGCCTTCATTCTGGCCAAGAGACAAGTGGACAAAAACCGCCTGAAGCAGCTGAAGGTCAGACAGAGGATGAAACGATCCAACGAGGGCGAATACGACGGGAGTCGATATCAGCAGCACGCCAAGCTGAACCGGTGACGTGTCGACCCCGTCACGCCCCGAGAGACAAGAGGACTTTCTGCCTGAAGCCACGTGGAAAAAAACAGACTTATGTAATAAAAAAGCTACATGTAAACAATAAGCACTACTTGGTGCAAACAGAAGGAAACAGTTTATTTTATATGAAAATGCAAACACATTATCTTCAGGAGTGAAGTGTATTTACCCCAACTCTGTGGTCTTTACATGCTGTGTGTTTGACACTGTTGCTTTAATAAAAGGATTACATGCAGCTCTGGCCCGGAGCAGCAGCTGGGTGCGGTCGGGCAAATCAGAAGTGTTTTTTGGGTATTTTTTTTCCCCGCTAGCTGAAACATGTAACCGGTTGTTTGAGGGGGGAAACTCCACCCTGCTGGCTCAGACTGTTTCTGAGTCACAACAGGACAACATCTCGCATAGTGAAGTAGTTTGTTTAGGAAAAAAAATTTCTGTAGATTCAGGTGATAGTGGCACAATCAGGTCACTAAGTTGTTGCAAAGAGAAAAAAAAGACAGCAGCTATCTACAGTGACTCTCTAGCAAACACACGCCTATTAAAATGTTGAGCTGTGACGAAAAAATAAGCTGATTTTTTTTTTTTCCGAGGTGGTTTTTCTTCCAGCTCTCATTCCCCGTGAGATTCAACTGGACAGCAACATGCCTAATAAGGAAACTCCAATCCAATGCTGGACAAACGAACGACTGTTATATAATTTGACAAAAAAATAAATAAATAAATTGGGAGGCACCCTCAAAAACTGTAGCCCTGGGCTAGTGCCACTTTATAAATGATCCCAGGCTAGATCTAGAGAACGCCCAACAGATCTGTACAAAACACTGAAATATGATGGCTGTTGCATTATGTTTTGTAAATTTTATTTTGCTTTTCAACTGAATTCTCGACATGGATTATTAAAAAGGCAGGAAACGTTTTAAAATGGATCTATAATGCTTCACATGATAGAAATGTGGAATTTAAACAGGGCTGTTTATCATCACTAGACGACGAGTGTATAGTATAAATATGTATATTACAAGTATAAAAGTAGTTTTTATGTCTCCATACATAGTAACAAAAATCAGATTGAGCCACTTGATTCTATCCCTGCATTGGTTCAATAGCTTAATAAATGCTATGATATATATATTTTTTTTACCCGCCCGCCCCGCAAAAAATCGTTAAAGTTGTAACAGACAAAAAAGCAACGTATTGCTTTCGGGCTCCCATCCGGAACGCTCGGCCTCATTTGGTGACAGATCCGATGATCTGCAGCAGGAACAAGAAGATCTGGACGATGTCAACGTAGATGGACAGCGCGGCGAAGACGTATTCCTCCGGACTGATGGAGTACTTCCTGTTTCCTATCAGGAGCTGAGTGTGATATGCCAGGAACTACAAACACACCCAGATGCATTAACAGCAGGAGAGCAGAAAGGGAGGTAAGGAGTTATTTGACGGGGGGAAAAAAGCAAAACACTCACCAGAGTGAACACTATGGCTCCTATCGCCGCGTACAGCATGTGAAGCCAATACATCTGCATGATAAACGTCGGTTAGGAGATCCTGAAGCCCGATAAGTTCTGCTTATGAAACATCGTTTTTTTTTTCACCCTGACGTAGGCGCGGACTCACATATTTGAAGGAAAGCACGATGGCTGTAATGATGCCGGTCACAAACATAACAATCCCCAGGACACAGAAGAGGCCCTGGCACTTGGTGAAATCCACCTGGACGGTGAAACCAGAAACCGGTCGGTTAAATTGGACCAGCTTGGACAAACTTCATACAGCAGAAACACACACATACACACACCTTTGTCTGGAAACAGAAGACTGTGACAGCGATGCACACAACAGCGGTGATCCCGAGAGCCAGAAACACAGCTTTTGTGTTGTAGAAACTACAACCAGAAAGAAACTGGATTAGTTCTGAGGATAAAAACAGGCCTCAACTGTTTGGGTTTTTTTTCCATACCTCGAGATGGTTCCAGTCATGTAAGACAGAGCCAGAGTCTGAGACAGATGGAAAAAATTAAAGCATGAATGACAGTTTTCATAAGCGCTGGAGAAACTGACCGAACTAAAAACTAAAACATTATTTGATCTGTAAAAGAAAACACTTGCTGAATATGTTCACACGCCGTCACGTTACAACAACCTTCAACTTATTTCAGAAAGATTTTTTCTATTCATCAACAAACACAAAGTTGTACATAGTTGTGAAGTGGAAGAAAAATTCTAGATACTTGTTTTTTTTAAGATACAATCTGAATGTGTCGTTATGTGTTTAGTACATTGCTGCTCTGTGTTGAACATCCAACCTTTGGCTGTTCTTTCCAGAAACTCAGGAGATTTGAATATGAACAGCATTTTTTTTAAAGAGTTATGAAATTCTGATTTGGATTTTGGATTCACTAGTTTCTGAACTCTGGCTCAAAATAATAATAATAAAAAAACTTACGGCTTCAAATCTAAATTTAATAATAATAAACGCTGGTTTCATCTGTTTGATTTCCCATGTCAAAGTGATTCTAAAATTACTACTCATGCTATTTTTGGATCTTTTTTTTTTTTTTTTTACACTAAGCTGGAAACTATGCGCTTCCACAAAAAAAGTTTTCCACAAACTGCCACATACATCATCCTCTACAAACACAGAAAATTGGATTCTTTAAAAATGACATCAAATTTTCTGAAGCAAACATTTTTTTAAAAATTCAAAGTTTCTATTTTTTATATTTTTAAAAAAGGTTATGTGGCATTTGTAGCTCTAAACGAGTGTTGCTTCGTTGTATTGAGGCCAAATATGGCATTCAGATTCCATTCTCAATCATGAATATGTTTTATACTTTTCATGCTACTAAAGAAACAACAATGTGCAACTTTGTGGTGTTCTATTACATTCAATTATAAAAAAAAAAAAAAAACCCTAAATCTATACACCCATATGCAAAGCACAGACATGGGAGGAAAGACAGGAAAAATGGTGGCCACGACTTAATAGCTTGTGTGAACGACTTGTTCACAAATTAATTATGGCAACTCGTGGTGACGAGTTTGTTTTTTTCCCCTCTCTTGTCGCCAGGTGATCTCTGCAGTAAAGTGACAAAATGTCACGTCATATGAACCGATGTGGCACCGCTTAGTGAAAAAGCTGCATCATTTTCATGGTTGAGTAGATAAAACACAGATAAAGTAACAGCGCAACACTCAAAACTGTCAGCGGGGAGGTTGCTGCTGAGTCACGGCTAATCCTTGACCACGACGGATGCGCTGATCGAAGAATCCAGAAACTTTTAAGTCGAGCGCGTCAAGCTGCTTCCTGTTTCAGATGACAAACTGTGAGAAGATGAACTCACAAAGATCAGCAGCAGAATAATGTTCCAGGGGAACTTCCTCCTGGAAGAGTGAAGCATAAACAGGGCGGCTTTAGTACTTGATGGTGATTATTTACACAAATGCTTATTTTCCTGTAAAACTCACCGTGGGCCTTTACAGCAAACCAGCACAAGGTGGGTGATGAAATATACAGCACTTTAAATTAAACAAACACAATAGTGAATATTCACTTTTCTTCCAACATCTTGCTTTAAAGCATATAAAAATAAAGAGGAAGGCTTACTATGACGCCCAGTACACGGCCTGGTTTCTCCGTACAAAATCTCGGACCGGTGAACTGCGGGGAAACGGAAGCGGTTAGCGACACAGGCGGTTAGCGACACAGGCGGTTAGCGACACAGGCGGTTAGCGACACAGGCGGTTAGCGACACAGGCGGTTAGCGACACAGGCGGTTAGCGACACAGGCGGTTAGCGACACAGGCGGTTAGCGACACAGGCGAAGAGCAACGACTGCAGCTGCGTACTCACACGAAGGTGAATATGGCAACGATGGCTGTGGTGAGGAGGAGCTGGGAGGCCAGGATCATGTAAACCTGAAACACACAGAGGGAAGCCATTCTACTGCAGGCGGGAAGAGGAGCCAATCAGAAGAGGCCCCGCTTCGTTTTACAGGGAAAAAAACAAGGAAACGAAGTAAAAGTTTGCATCAAAATGATTTGCAAGTTGTAAATTGTGAGAAAAAAAAGTATTGGAGGGACGTACAATGATGTTCATCTGACAACATGAAAAACGCCACTTAGCATCATCCATAAAGAAATATGAATTATATAACGTCCTGCTAATGGTTTGCTAATGCACTTACAGCACTTAGTGTACAATACTGTAACTCAGTGTCTATGGTATTATTTTCAGTTTTGACATGAAACTGTACAACATTAGCAACATTTAAGCCTGGTGCCCCACCAGGCTTAAATTACACCACCAGGCTAAGCATTGTTTATTTGTTTATTATAGTTTTTTTTTAGATACACATAAACCCAGAACCGTGATAACAAAGACAAGTTAAAAAGTCTCTTTGCTATGTGACCGATGCCCACCCACTGTTCCATGATGAACTGTCAAAAGCAGCTGATAAACAACACAGTCGCTTGAATCGGTTGCTAAGAGTATATCATTAAAAACTTTTAAAAGAGCTGACTCAGTGCTATAAAATTGTTTAAAACCGGACTGAGATACCTCTAAAATATTATGTTCATTAAGATAAGCCATCAGCTGATTAGAGACTGCCTTCTTAGGAATTTGTGAAATGAAAGGCAGTTTAGAGATGGATCCATAATTCGCTAGAACAGTAGGATTCAAAGTTGGTTTCTTAAGTAGAGAATGCAGAACTGCATGTTTCAGAGTTTTAGGAACAATACCTGAGGACAAGCTGCTGTTTTCACACTCAAAGCTGTGCAAAACAGCAGGACTAGGCACAACGACTGAAGGGTCATAAGCAGAGGGGATAATCTGGGCCCTTATAGAAGCGACTTTCTCGTCAAAGAAAGTGTCAAAAGCTTTCACATACAGTAGGTGAAGTCTCCACAAAACCACAATGTGACTCATTTAGAACAAGGTTAATAGTTTTATATAAGATAGCAAGATTGTGACCGTTTGATACAATCAGAACCGACAGGCGCCTTCTTCGGGCGTCTTTTAGAAACCTTTGAGAACAGCGCCAGCATTCCTTCAATATTTGTACTCTGTCCTTTTTCCATTTGCGTTCAGCTTTACGACAGTCTCTCCCGGCAGCCCGAGTGACCTCACTTTATTTACCAGGGTTCACGCTTGGATTTTGGAAGTCAATTTTTTTTTTTTTTTTTTGAAGGGAGTAAAAAGGAGAAAAACCCTCATAAATAAATTCACTCCCTTTAAAACAAGCATCTGATGAACCAAGATTTGCATGGGACTGAAGAAGAGCAAAGTGTCTTTAATTATTTTTTCTAGAGGTGGGGAGCAGCTGTGTTGGAGACGATAAGTCTGCAAAACATGTTTGCGTAAAATGAAAACAGCTGTGGCCTGTCAGAGAGCCAGACCTGGCCTTTCTCACCCATTCTTTACCTTTCTGATGAAGGCATGCCGAATGCTCATGTCGTCCCAGTTGCTGCCGCTCGCCGCAAACTCCTCGTCTGTTTTATTCATGAGTAGGAGAAGAAATAAAAAGAAAGGTAAGGCCACTAAAGTCAAAGAGGAAGGAAAAGCATTTGGATCAGATCCCAACCAACAATACATGCTATGCAGCTGAATACAGCGTCATTCAAGAGACAGGTTTAGGGTATGACACGTTTGTGTGCGACAAAGGCCCAACTTGACACATGTCGATTTCTCTCTGTTCATTTCCTCTAAATGCAGAGGACAATAGTCCTCCAGCCAAGTATGATGACTTATTAGGGCCATTGCAGAAGGAAAAAAAAGAGAAGATTTCCACAAAAAATACCTGAAAATATCTCACAATTTCTGACTTTTTCTAGAAAATGTGATTTTTTGGGGTTTTTTTTTTACTCGTCTTTTTTCTAAAATATCCCAAATATGCCATCATAGCCAAGTGACCAATGACATTCGTGCATGTGAAAACTTTACTTGGACACGCGTGGTTTCTATTCGACACGAGAAAGTTGAACATTTTGGAACCATTTGCGGCCGTCGTGTCTCCATCGTGTGCTGGGTTTCAACTCGAGTGGCGATCGCTTTCTGTTGTCGGTCACCCCCGTCGAGACCGCTGCCAAAGATTGGCACGACAAGCCAGCTGGCCTGGTAGCCAGGATAGATTAGCAGCTAGTTAGCGGTAGGCTAAAGCCACAGATTGCAAGGAAGTTATGTGCGTGCAAATAAAAACTTTAAAGTCCTGGGGGGAAACAATACATTTGCGAGACTATATGAATATATAACACCTGTGATTGAAGTTCTATTTTGTTTAATAAATTTAAGACATTTTACCTCTTTAAAGGACATTGTTGAACCAATGTCCATTGCTGCTTTGTGTTGTTGATAAAGTGTGAACAATTTCCGAGAAGTCAAATGCTTTGCATGTTCTTCAGGACAACAGTAAAATAAACGGCCCCTTACCTGAGCTCAGAACTCCTGATGGGATGGTGGGGGGCATGACTGGAGGCATTGGTGGTGGGGCGGGGTAGCCCGATCCTGGAGGTCCTCCAGGGTGCGGCTGTCCTGGGTACGGAGGGGCAGCATACTCCGCTGGCTGGCCCGGGAAGAGCGGGGCATTAGGCCCGCTTGGATAGGGAGCGAAAGGCTGACCCGGCTGAGGTCCACCATAGGAGGGGAAGCCATAAGAAGGTGGAGGTGGGTAGCCCCCACCCTGGGGTGGGTACATCGGACCATGAGAGTTCTCGTACCCTGGAGGGTAGTCTGACCTGGACATGACGCCTGTCGGGGAGGAAGCAGAATCAAAGAATCCTCATTGTAGTTTTTTTGTTATTTTTTAACAGAAAATAAATAAGTTCTCAGAAAATTGCAACTTTCTTCTGATTATATTCTCATAATTTTCTGGTAATATGATGACTACTCTTGTGATTTTAAAAAAAAAGTCTTAGCCTGGCTGTAATATTCCGTCATATTGAAAGTCCAAATGACCAGAAGCTGTTAAACACGCTTGTCAAACAAGACGGCCGTCATGCTGATATCACTCTGAAATATGAAAACCCAAAAAGTGCATTGCTTAAAAAAGAAAACGAAATCCAAAATATTAAACATTAAGTCTTCAAAAAACAAAAATCCCATAAACCCATTCAAACCAATTTATCGTCCTTTTCTAGACCTGCGTGATGCTATGAAAATATGGTATTGCAACGATAATGTTGATAGTGACCAACCCAAATTTAGCACACTACTCTCTTCCTTTACCATGATCACAACATCTCCCCCCTTTTCCTCTCATATATCCTACATCAGGAAGGGGAGCTGAAAAACACATGAAAATAACTAGCCGAGCTTCAGCGACTCTTTAAAAAGTTGTTTCTTTCTGGCTGACGTTCATGTGTAACTAGAAGCAGACTCTGTGCGTTACGTCACGCGTTGCTCTACAGGCCTCCTTTCTCTGTCTTTACAGGAAAGCAGAACCAAGACTGGCCTGAACAGGAAGGCCTGAATCCCATCAGCCATTCTGAGTGGCGGATTCCCCCATGAGACCCTGCGACATTATGGTGACGCTCTAACACACACGGGTATGGTCCTTGCTTTTCCCTACTGACAAAATTAATCATGGAAATCCAAACATTTAAATATAAACAACTGATAAATAATAGAGACCAACTCAAACCCGGCCGTGCGCGACTACTGTGTGTCTGTAAGGACTTTATTTAACACTTCCAACATGCTGGGCAGCATCCTAATGGATGTGGATTTGAATAAGCTTGTGGTTAATTAAAAACACATGGACCTCCAATAAATCTCTTTTACAAAAGGAGAGGCGGGGAAATGAGCAAAGCCTGAAATATCATTTGAACTAACAAGCAGAGCCACAGTATTAAAAAGAACAGATTAGTGGTTTTCCTATTTACATGTTGGGTCTCTAAATGCAGCATGGTTTCATTTTTAACAGGGCTTTTATGGGAAAACACACACACATACACACACGCCCAGCTGTCGTGATGTCACATGGTGCGCTGCCAGGCAACCGCCGGACACAAAACAGTCGCAGGAAGTGGAAAAGCGCGGTCACAGAACAAGCTGCGGAGCTGGAGCCGATGATCCCTCCTCAGCCGTTGGAATCGGACGGAGAGGAGCGTCAGGTTTCGCTTCCAGGCGTGTCTGAGCAGCAGGGCGGAGCTTCGAGCTTGTTGCAAACCATATCTGTCAGTTTTTCTGTTTTGTTTTTAAATGAAAGCGCCACGATAAGCCGAAGTCATGCGGTTCTGAGTCACGATGACTCAGAACCGCACATGCGCTAAGTTTTCTTAATAGAAAACTCCTACTTCCCGTGCAATAAAGTCCATTTCCTCAGTCTGATGAAATGTCAATAAAAAAAAAAAAAAAAAAAGATCAGCCAGGTTTCCTAAAATTATTAAAATATCCATTCAAAACTGTAAGGCTACTGTAATACAATGCCGCGTATAGATGATGATTCGGGTGTGGAACAATTGCTAAAACTGTTTTCAAATTTAAGAAAATGTTCAAAACTAATTTTCTAATCATCTACATGAAGGTTGGATTATGACTCTTCTCATCATCTACAGTCTCTTATAAAGTTCCTTGGAGATATTTTTCTGAAAAATATCCAGGAATGATGGTGATGTTCTGTTTTGTGATGTTCTTACTGCATTAAAGAGAGAAGCATGTGCTTCTGCCTAGACTTTTGTTTGTCTAAGGAGACATTGACAGTCATTTAAATATCACTTAACTATTTCTGTACTAGTTTTGTCTCTGTTTTTTGCGTTTTTCTTTTTTTTTTTTTTGTTTACATGTGAATGGAAAGATCAAAAATGACCCACATTAATAAATAAACCTTATCTTTTCAAAAAATAAAAGAAGTTTTTCTATCAAAGACATACCTCTACGTTTACGTTTTTAAACTAATTGTGCATTTTGTGTTTTAGATAATTGTCAGAGAAAAAAAAGGTGATTTCTGTGTCGCAAACACTCCCCCGCTTTGTTGGGATGTCGCTCTGAAAACGTCTGATGAAAGCTTAACAGATCGTTGGTATTACTGATCAATAAACATGGATCGCTTTCTACATCTCTGTGACAAATGTGTGCAGAAATTTGCCAATATCCCGCGAATGTACTGAAATATTGCACAACTGAGTGGTTTCCATTAAGCAACTCAAATTAAATCTTACATAAATAACTTTGTTCACCTAATAAATCATTTAAAAACAACATGCCACACCATGATCCTCTTATGTCTGACTTTATGACTTTGTAGTCATGTTATTTATCTAAATCATCAGTTTGGCCTTTAAAATACCAACATTTTGACATAATTTTGTATTTTGGTCTCTTCGATGGTGGAATTTTTAAACATTAAATGACTGATGTATTGGTCAGTTTCTCCGGGTAAAATGCTGCTTTACCAAGGTAACTTCTTGGACGGCTACTTTTTACTTTTACTGGAGTAAAAGTAAATCGAAGTAGTTCTTATTTGTATACAGGTTTTGGGCACTCTCTCCACCCCTGAGTCCTTTTGTGGAGTGAACTAACTATGTATTCTATTCTATCCAAAAGCCTTTATTCTCTTGTTTTTAAGCCAGTCACAGGTGGATTTGCTGGTATCTTTCGAATAAATGCCCCGCCGTATAACCCAACTGCACAGCTTAGGGTCAAAAACTGATGAATGGACATTCTCCTTCAGGATCATAGAAATAGATGTAAACTTTCTCCCCCAGCTCAAGCAAGTGGTTGTCACTGGTTCCTTTGTGAATCCCTGGAGGAGTTATCAATGTGCTCTCAGAATGATACTGAAAGGTCAGCGAGGCCAAAGATATTCACCACTGCTCCATGTTTTGATGAGATAATGGCTCTGTAACCCTTACCAGCCTGACAAATGGAAATTTCATTCAGCCTGCTTAACACTGTCTGATATTATACACATATTTTATCCTACAGATTAGTTAAGGACTGGGTGCAGCTAGAGAAACCATACTCCTCTTTCATAACACTGCTTTTAATCTCAGATGATTCATGGTTTAAAGTGGTGGGTGGTTATTCTTTCCCACAGTTGATTTTTTTTTAAGTGATGAAAATTATTTGAAAGCTACATGTTGCATTTACTCAGCTTGTATTTGTTTGCCACGGCAAACGCGCTTACAGAAAGGAAGACATTCCGCTTAGGTGTTGTCTCATCCAAGATTGAGATCAGCACACGGGTTCGGAGTCATGACGTCATGACTTACTGTGGCTCTTTCGGAAGTCAGCCTTAATGTTTTCACAAAAACCAGTTCTGTGCCCAGCGTCGAGTCCGAACGTGCGCCACAAACTAAAAGGTGTCGTCCCGCGAGAGTTGAAGGAACGGGGCAGATTCACACAAGAAGCCAAATGAACTATTTTGCCAACTTCCAACGACGAAGGTAAAACGTACGTCGTTAAACGACTGAGGGAAACCAAAGAATGCGGCGCAGCGTGGAGCAAAAAGTGAAATCTCCCTTCAGGGAAGGAGACCAAGCAGCTGCTGAAGGAAGAACTTCTTATTTTGACTGAACCGGGGGACAAAAACATGGCTGATAAAAGTCTTGAGTCGGAAGGCTCGCGCGTCCTCCCCCTCCTCTTCCTCTTCCTCCTCCCTGAGAGCCAAGCCGGGAGTAACAAACGAGCCTTTCAGGTGAACCACTGAGGCGCTGCTCTGTCCCTCAGCAAACTCACCGACACCGTCATGTCAAAACCGACTCCACCGTGAACATGCGGCTCCATCAGGCCCCATCAGCTGCCATGGAAACTGCGAGGTTCCACTTACCAAATCCCGAGGCGTTCCAGCTGCTTCTTGCGTTCCCACGGCTCTGTCTCCCTCTCGGGGGTCACTTCCGGTGCCTGGACAGAGGATTCTGGTCGCTTTTATTCAAGTCCGCGCGGCAGCAGCGGTCGGGTCGATGTGGAGCAGGTTTTCCACGAACTGTCGAGGAGAGGACTGGGTGGAGTCCGGAGGAATCCGTGAAACACGCCCAACACGCAGACCCGCAGAGGGAGCAGCAGGGCCTCATGTTCGGCCCCAGGGGCAGCGACATGAACATGAGCAGGGTCGGTTCAGAGCAGCCCACCCGGGTTTATTCCTTTTTGACCTCCCACAGTAGCAGCGATATTCTTGACTCTGATTTCTTTTTACTTTACGCTTCAATTTGAGCCATTTGAAGTGTAAACCTGTGAATCCACCATCACTCTAGTTTATCCCTGGTTGTATTTAGGTTTAAAATCCATCAAATCCAACCTGGATATGGGGTTATATGACTCACCACCACCGAGGGTACAACTCCACTAGGGGGCGGCACAACCACTCCCCAAACAGGCTCTTATTAATGTCACTGTAGCGTTATAGGGTAAAGATACTGAAATCAGTGTCTGATTTGCAGAATCCACATGGGACTTGATTCTATACATACACATAACATTGTTTGCGTTTGATCATCTGTAGCTTAAAATGTTAAATTCTTGGACTGGCTTTTAAATCACTTTTCAAGACAATTAAAACGTTGTTTAAAGGCCAGCCTGGAATCAATGGTTTGATCCATTGAAAACACAGTTGCGATTTATGAAACGTTTACCCTACTTGCGTCTTAACCTGAGATGTAGCTCTGTATGTGGGGATATGACATGCTCGTTTCAGTTTCTTCAGCAAATGCAGCCGCCAAATCCAAGGGAGACATCACAAAAATGCACGCATTTCAGCAGTTTATGAACTGTTTAGAAACTCAGGTTTATATTCAAATTATATTTCACAAAAACTAGTGAAATATAATTTGCGACATCAGTGACACGCACTGACATCAGAGTGCGACTCTGTGACATCGCAGACACTGACGCAACAGAAACAGTCTTCAGACTCCATGGCATCAAATGAACATTGTGACATCGCAGTGTCGCACTCTGATGTCACAGTGTGGCAGTGTGACATCAAAGTGCAACACTGTGACATCACAGTGCCTTCTCTAAAGTCTTGGTTTCCCTCAGAATGATGTGCAGCACAGAACAAACTGAAAACTCACTCATGAATGGATGTGATCAAAATGTAGATTTTTTATCTTTAACCTAAAATGCCAAAAATCACTTTTGATGAGGACATTCCTGAGACTTTGACATGTTCCACAAACTCTTTGTATCAAACCCTCTGCCTGTCGTCTGGCCTGTAGCAACACACCTGTATTATAGAGTCCAAGATGGCCGCACAAAGCAGCATTTTTAAGCTGTGTTCGATCAGTGACCAGCACTGCAGCTCTTCAATGAAAATGAAACACAGAGACATTTTTTATTTTCTTCTCGATTTATTTCATAAATTTCAAAGTACGTGATTCTATGACGACTTTTATGTTTGATTTACCAAAATACAAAAATTTTCCTAACAAACAGAACCATTCAGAAACTCAAAGACTCATATCCATACACACTTGTAAACTAGAATCCAGCGCCTGTCAGATCATCGTAGGCACGGTTCCAGACAGTTCAACAAATCTCAAGACGAGCCTCTTGGTGAGAGTGTATTTGGGCTCTGGCATCTGCCTGCTACGTATCAAATTATGGGTGTTGACCTTCCTGTTCACACGCGTTAAGACGGTGAGGATGTCTTCTCTGTTCGGGCTGCGAATAAAACAAGAAAAAGAAAACAAATTTATAATTTATGCGATCTGATTTGCACATCTTGGCAACACAACACCAAAACACAGTATAGAAGACCAAGGTTGCTCCAGACCTGGAAGACTGGAAACATTTTAAAGTTGATTTTTCTGGACTGGATTATGGCTGGCTTCCCGCTTCCTTTGTGCTAACTAGCACAAAGAAGTTAGCACAAACTACGTTCAGGGTCAGCGAACAGCAGGTCGGGTTCTGGCCGCCATTTTGTGGCTTAATGCATAGCTTAAAACCTGTTATTTTACTTTTTGTCCCTGACACCTGCTACTTTTCTTTAAGACTTACTGGTGGGTCACTGACAAAGTGTTTCCAGGGGCCTACTTAAGGAGTGTTGGAAAACGTTTTTTAAAGAAACGAAAATATATTGAACAGAAAATATCAACCGATGCATACCAACATGTATTCATGCTAAAATTAGTTTGTTCAGTGTTTATCATATTTAAATAAATATTAGGCTCACTTGTGCCTTTAAGTAATGGAAATATCTATCTATCTATCTATCTATCTATCTATCTATCTATCTATCTATCTATCTATCTATCTATCTATCTATCTATATATAATATATATATATATATATATATATATATATATATATATATTACATATATATGTTAAATTGGGTCCAACCGATGTTTTATATATATATATATATATATATATATATATATATATATATATATTCTTAATTTTTCCTCAGACTACTCCATAAAAAACAAACAATAAAACCACAACAACAAATTGAACTTGGTTTAAGTTGCTTACAATCCAACAATGGCGGTAACACTCAAAAATTATACCAGACCTTTGCGTGAACTGGAGCAAATACTTTACCACAAAAGAAACACACCTCACCTTTTAGCTGCTTTTTCCAGCTCCTCGCAGAGTACCTGGATGTATATGGAGCCATCTTCTGTGTGCCGATAAGCGTTGTTGTTAGGCACTGTGGCCATGCCAATCAAAATGTCTCCATCCTTAGAAGGACAACTTGCGTCCGAGAAGACAGAATTGGGTGCCGTCTCTTTGGATGGGTCATCCTGGTTTGTCTTTTGAGTTGTCGCCGAAGGCACCTCGTTCTGACATGCCTGAATGAAGAAGAGTTTGGGCTTCCCAAACAAGGAGGAAACGTTCTTGAACGGCTCAAATATTTGTTCCAGTGTCACTTCCTTTTCATCAGTGCCAATGATGGCGCCCTTTTCTCCGTGGGATAGCACACACACCACCTTACAGAGGATAAGAAAGAAGAGGGGGCAGGGAATTATTCCCCAGGTGTATCATCTCCTAGTTAGACTTGGATTTTGATAAGTTTAGCTTAAACAGTAACAACTAATCAAATGAACCTAGAGGATTTGAGATGCGCTGGAACAGAGGAACATCCAGCTAACAAATCAGCAGCAATCGTGTGATCCTATCAAGTCAAAATGGGCCAAAAATCTCTCAGGACAAGAATGTAAACTGTATTTTTTTTTAAAGTTTTTTTGTACTTTCTTTTTTTGTACATACTTTTTGAAGCTGCCACTATATCATTACAGCATGTTATGAGACAGATAATCTGTGAAAAATTGAACTCCTCTGCCTTCTCAGTGCTGACTAGAAACAACCAATCCAAGTGAGCCAAGACCCTCCCCTTAGCTCTGATTGGTTGTTTTTGGTCGGTGCATTTCCTCAGGCAACAGCAGTGGCTTAGGGAGGAGATGTAGGAAACCAATCTTTTCGCAGATTATCAGTCTTGTCACGACATGATGACAGTTTTAACAAATATGTCAAAAATTTAATTTTTCAATAAATGTTACATAATAGACATCAAAGACAGTTCTAAAGAAGGCAGTCTAGTCTAATAAATTTAGCTGGTAAATGTGAGTGTATGTGATTTACACTATTTAAAATACATAAATAGAAAACCGTTGTATGTACCGGTCAGAAAAAAATCCCTTACCAGGGCATCCTCCTTAGAAAAGTCCCTCTGGCTCAGCTTGTTGAGCGTCTCTGTAATCTTCTTGGCCGTCAGGTCTTTGTGTAAGACCGGAACAAAGCCGAAGCGTTTGAACAGCTTGCTCAGATTTTCTGCGTCACACAGAAGAAAAATCCAAACCAAAGCACATTTAGATTCATGACTTCAACAGGCCAGTAAATGCAACACATAAAACTTTATAGAAGTACGCAAATCAGGACCGAAAGTCATTTCAAAAGTAGAAAAACCCACCGTTGTCCTTTTTGCTTCCAAGACGTTTTTTGTATTTCAATCCCATGAAGTCCTCATTGCTGATGATCACACACAAACCTCGAGGATTCTGGTTCAGACTATAGAACTCGTCTACCTACAGGACAAAAGTACAGAGCCCGCTGAGACAAAAGGCCTGCAATTAAACAAAAAAATGATAGAAGAAGCAACTCGGATTGTTCAAGTCAATTACGTCTTCAGATGGCGTCGTCGCCTGTTGCGCACTACAATCTGGACCTGAAAGACAGATATAAATTGTACTCATTTATTTTAAATACAGCAGCATAAACACATCTTTGTACTTTGGTCTTTCGCATACAAGCACTCCGTTTTCCTAGATAGTTCCTTAAAGCTAAGTTCTAGTAGCTTAAATAAGTGTTTAGTTTAGTTGTTAGAATGGCTTTCACAAAGTGATGCGTTTCCAAAGTAATAAAGGTTTTCCTGGGTTTTGCACCAACTTGCCTATGCCAATACTGTGATTAAGTCTAGCTGGATATGTTCAATTTCTTCAATGCCACATAGGAAGTCCTAATTTGGCAATATGCTCTGAATTTTGGCAACTTGTTTTTACCCGTTACATGAAAAGTCTTCTTTGATTGGGTCATCAAAGTCACATGTGCTATCTCTGTCTTTGGCTCTCATACGTGACTTGTACGACAAAGAATCGGAAAGTAAGAAACTTTGGACCATGAAGAGAAAGTTAGTCCTTCTAAAATTATTAAATCGCCAATTAGCCTCTTTCTTTGGTTAACTGAGTCAAGTTGGGAATCTCTTGAACTCTGGCAGAAGAGAACTGTCACCTTACACCCCATTAAGGGAAACGTAGAAAGACCATCTGTATGTCAGAGCTACACGCAAACAATCTTTATCACAAAATGTTTCATGTTTACCTGTGGGAGGGAGCACGTCTTTGTACTTTTTGACAGTTTCAGCCAGCGGTCTATCCCCAATGTTGATCATGAGCTCGTGGAGTTTATCGACGTTGTTTTTGGAGATCAGACCTGCCTTCTCCATTTCAGCAAACACGTCTAAAGCCGTCTGTAATATTCAGAGAGAGGAAGGTTCTTGGTTTTTCTTTTACTTAACATTTTCACAAATTTCATGGAAACTACAAAGCGCCATCCACCACCGAGCCTGTCACAACAGAACACTTTGCTGGACGATAAGTCATCTTAGACGTTATTGCGATAAACGATAATATTGTTCTTTTGAGACCGTTTTCAAGTCTATGATAATGCAAGGACACAATCTATAAGGCCACCAAGCTATAAATTCTAATTACCATTTAACACTGGAGCTTTACATTTTAAATATCCAAAATGACTAAACAAAACAACAGAAACATTCCATATAAGGAACTGTGAAGTGTCTGTAAACAAAACAAAGTTCTTTAAAACGAGACTCAAACAAGGGCTGGTGGAGACTGACTGAAGACTTTTGTCAGCCAGTTTTTGGTAGAAGGAGAGACAGAATAGAGACAAACAACAAATCATGTGATTCAAAATGATGGGAGCTCCTTTTAATTTATCATACGATTAATCAAATAACTGATTTATTGCGACAGGTCAACATATTGTTGAAGTACAAAGTAATGATTTTAGGTAATTATTTGCTATTCTGAATGACAAGCGTGGAAAGTTGACATTCAAAGTGTGCGGCTGTGTGCGTGTGTTCTCACGCTGCTCTTGTCCAGGTGTCGTTTGGTGATCTGATCGTTGACTAGAAACTTCAACTTCTCCACCTTGTCATCGGTCAGATCCTCGTGTATTTTATACAGCATCAACCTTGGGGTGAGAGCAGACAAGTTCAAATGAAACAAATTGAAACTTATTCAGTTCTGCTCTAGTGTCTACAATTAGAACAGAATTAAATCTAGTTCTGTCTTTGTGTCTGCTTTTCTATCCCTTCTTTCTTGTGTCCTTCATTTTGTAGTTTTTCTCGTGACTTCAGTTCCTTCCATCCTCCCCTTATGTCCTCCTTTATGTGTCTTTCTTGTCCTTTCTTGAATCTTTCTGACTTACTTTTCTTTGTGTCAATTTGCTGTTTTTCATAAGACTTATTATATTGTTGTTGCACAAAGGGACAGCAATGAAATTGGTAACAAGATGTCGCTTGGACACCGGAACACAGAAAAAACACTGAAATATCACAGGAGTGCCTATAAATACAGAAATAAATATGCAAACAATTTATTGCTAAATATATATAACTTAGCATCTTCAGGCAGTCTAATTGTTATTCCTCTTCCCTTCCTTTGTTTTGCCCTTCCTCATGTCCTTATTCCTTCGTTCCACTTCCTCCTTTCTGGTTTCTTTCCTGTGTCATTTCTCCCTCATGCCCTTTATAGGATCCTTCTTTCTTTCCATCCTTCCTCGTGCCCCGTTTCACTTTCAGTCGTTTTGTCGTTATCCCCTCTGGTCTTCTTATCCACTTCTTCTTAGTGTCTTTTCAAGATGTCATATTTAGTTTGTGCCAAAAGTATAAATACCTGCCACGGGTGCATGGCAAACATGAGTGTTTTCAAATGTAAAATCAACGTAAAGGCCTGAGAACTCGGAAATGTTAATTTTGGAATGCTTTGTGCACAAAATGTGGAGGAACCCTGAACCTCATACTCAAAGTAACAAGCCAGGTACGACTTGATCGACACTGCTACATCAGGACCCTTGTTACCTGTATTGAGACAGGTAAGCAGGAGAGGCGTCCGTTTCCTCCCTTTCTCTGCTGTCGTTTTCCAGCACTTGGCGGAGATCTGCTCGACGGATGGTGCGGAACAGCTCAGCGAGGAATGTACTATTCAGGAAACCTTTCTCCTCCAGTTTCACAAACAAGTCCCTTGCACACTTGATCTGCGGGACAAACAACAACAACAAAAAAAAACACTGAAGTTTCTCTGCTGAGGAGAGAAACGTCAGACGCACTTATGCCGCTCACCTCCTCAAATTGCTTTCTGTTGATGATGTCGCTACACAGGAAGCACAGGTCGGCTACCTCTCCAGAGTCCAGGTTGTCGTCAATCCGGGACAGCAGTCGCCTGTCCATCTCCGCCATTAAAGCTGGAGCTGCTGGGGATGAAGATTAAAAAAGAAGAAGGAAAAAAAACATAAATAAGAGCGCATCTGTGAAAAGGTCCCAACAGGATAAGTTTCTTTCTTTTCCATCAGACTGATAAATTCCAGCAAGCGAGGACTTTACTGACTCTCCTTTTCTGTGATGAACTAATTTTGGATTCTTGTTGTAACTTGACTTGAACTAAATCTTTGGTATGCTCCTAGAGAAACTACATGGAAACACAGCACGGTGAAACTGGACAGAAAAACAGGAGTACTTCCGCATTAAAACAATGAACTCCCATCATAACACACAGAGGCTGTTATGGATTTTGGGTTTTTTCGTATGTAACTTGATTATTTTTGTACTGCTGTTAGTGAGTCTGTAAGTAAGTAGTTCTGAACTATTAGTTCTGAACATAGGGCAACGAAAAGGGCAACGAAAAACATAGTTCAGAACTAATTAAAAAATAATAAGAAGAAAAAAGTCGCTAATTTAAATCAGTGAAACGTTTTATGTTCTACATTAATATCACGTATACATCAATTCAGCTTACGTCGTAATGTCGTCACTGAACAAAAGTAAACTTTAAATCGTTCCTACTAAAAAAAGAAACTATTTCAGTGACAGAAAACGTTTTCACACCGCACTAGGCATCACTGCCTCTCATTACCTAACTTTTCAGGAACTTTGTCACCCCGGGATATCGAAGTTTGAAACTACAATACTCACCTGAAGCCGACGGCTGACGAGGTCAAGCAAAAGCGACGAAAAGAAGAAAAGTCTCTCCAGACGTTGATAACTTGGTGGGAGTAGGGGGCGGGGGAATTTCTCCTCGAAACTAAAACACAAAGTACCGAACTGGGTGGTGGTCATGAAAGCAGCTTTTCGCTGAGTGGAATGAGCTCGTTTCACTTTCAGAGGAAATGAGCGCGTGTTCAGACCGAGCGGTCAGCAGAACGTCATCGTCGTTCAGCACTGCGATTCCGTTCTTCAAATTACGTCACGTTGTCTTGCTTTCTTTTTTCCCTCTTCTACTTTTTAGTTATTTATTATTAGTATTATTATTATTAGAAAATTAGTCTACGACAGCTTCATTTGGGATGCTTGGTAAACGTTCGTAATATTCACCAAAACACTCCGGGCTTTTAATGTTAAAGGTTTTCTCTGCTTTTCCTGTTTTGCGTTGCGAAATCAGACAGTCAGAAGACGCAGAAACATCCGGAAGGTACGTCATGGTTGCCGCCATGTTGTGAGTGGCATTTGCTTGGAACGTAAGTAAGAAAATCCTAAAAAAAAAAAAAAAAAAATTGTTCATGCTGTCTGAAGTAAAAGCAAAAATAGTATTAAAATATTTTTTTTCTATACCAGAATGATGTTATTGCGATGGTCAAGGTGGCACAATAGATTTAAAAAAATAGTTCCAACATTTTCTTATCAAGAAAGTGTGTAATATCTGAAGCATGTCACGTAGAAACTATTTTTAATGGTTAAACACGTTTACCTGGGTCTACATCTTATGTGAAAATAAAACCATAAATGAGGTAAAAAGAGAAAAGGCAGAAACCAATCTATAAATGATTGCTTTATTAAAAAGACAAATATTTCAATTTACACATACTGAAATCAACACAACTCATTGCTAATGAATAGCAAAATTAAATATTTCTTTAGTGTTGTTTTGCAGAAATCCTTAAATATAAAGAGTCTCAACACTGAGGATATTTAGAATATAATTCCAAATACGTCAAACGGCATAAAAATCGTTTTAGTGTGATTTAAGTTTTTGACGGGTATTATTAGTGTACCAGTCAGAGTCTTGCCTTGAATCTCAGGGAGATTCTGCGAAGAGACGTAAAGACGTGGGTGACAGCAAAGAAGGATTTTGAAGTAAAAGACTTGGAGCTCTTCACCAAAGACAACATTTCATAATGCCAGTGGTAACATCCAAAAGGTTGGTCAGCAATTACAGAAAGTTTAGGTCAATTGCTGTTATGCCAATTATAACAATAACTGATTATTTACATTATTTATTATTATTTATGAGTAGAGCATAAATGATTTTTGACAAGAAAATTTTTTGCTAAAATGCAAATAAACAGAAATATTTGTAAAAACAATACCCTTTGTGCACTGTCCCATCTTTTGTTAGATGCCAATGACATTCCTTGTCTTACACAACTTCATGGTTGTATGAAAATTATTTTAGATTCGCGAGTCAGTCAGTTCAGTGCCCGTATCAATGCTCTCCCTATGCATTGTTATGGGCAGGCCCCAACTAGATCTCTTGCTTCTGACTATTGGTTACATTTGTTGTGAATTGGCGCTTAATATGTAAACTGAATTAGGCTGAATGACAATAATAGCATGTAAGAGCAACGATAAAGAAAAAAATATAGGTGAGAAGGTCGCCCTCCGTCCCTTACAAGACCAATTAGACGGCTTCACATGAATGCTGTTGACTCTTCCAGTGATTCATAATAGAGGTGGTCTGAGTTAATCTAGCGTGAGGCTACTTTCACCCTCATTATTTTTCATCTTATTTTTTCATATTTGCTATTAGCTGACAAGGCAGAACCTGGGTACTCACCCTCATTTTGTTTTCTGTCTTTTGCCACACACACACACACACACACACACACCACACACACACACACACACACACACACACACACACCACACACACCACACACACACACACACACACACACACACACACAACAGGCTTCTAGTAGCTTTCTGAACCAGTGATGTCACTCATTCTCTGTGACATCACTGATGACTGTGATTCATCTCCCTTTATTTCCAGATTCCACAGAGCAACTCATTTGTTCTACATTTTGGGTGGACTGAAGAAGAGAAGCACAAACACGGTTAATTTGATTTATAGGAATGGCTGCCAGTTAGCCTTCTAGCTTATCTCAGGTCAGCATTAGCATTATATCTTAAATTGGGTATTAGCTAGTTCTCTTGCTTATTAGCCATGTTTAGTATATTGAATGGAGTACGTCAATTACAGACAACATGCTAGTGATGGCCCACATGCCATCACTGGTATGGCATTTGTATTTTGGCAAATTTTAGCTTATACATTAATTTTAACATACTGAATGGTTCAAGACCATGTTAGTCAAGTTATTCAAGATTTTATTGTTAAGGTTAGCATTGATACAAATTTTTTGCATCAGAACGCTGGGTCCAAACCAACAGGTACCCTTTGGCAGGCCCCGGTTAAATTTCTTCAGAAATTTTCTAGTTTGGATTTGTTATTTTTACTTTGTCTCAGTGATTACTTTGTCAATAAAAATGTATTCAGATTAGGTGCATGTCAATTTATTCAGAAAATTTAGGTTCCCTAAGAAAAAATGTCACGCACAACAAAGCTGACTCATTTTTACAGCAAAAAACATGCCAGAATACTCCACAGAATAGTCTATTCTACTTCTATGGAGAAACTCCCTCCACATAGTGAACCCAGAACTCATGAACTCAGAAGAACTCATGACCAACCAACCTATAACAGTTCTCTTTAAAACAAATCAGTTAATTTAGATCCCTTAGATTACCAAGTATGCCATTTTAAAGTTCCCCTTCATACCTTAAGGAAGGAGTGGGTAATCCAGGTCCTTGAGGGCTGGTGTCCTGCAACTCTTAGATGTCTCCCTGGTCCAACCCACTTGAATCCAATAACCGAATCACCTCCTAAGTGCAGTCAGGTTCTCCAGAGTCCTGCTAATGACCTCATTATTTGACTCAGGTGTGTTGAAGTAGAGACACTTCTAATAGTTGCAGGAGACCGGCCCTCGAGGCCTGGGGTGCACATCACTGCCTTAAGGTAAACTAATTAAAAATTACAATGAAGTTTATAAAAGCACTGACGGGCATCAAGCAAGGAAATAATGTTTTAGATGTGGGTGACGTTCCAGCTGAAGCGTTTCAGGCTGAGGGGGTTTTCCGGTTAGACTCCGGGGGAATGGCAGGTGGAATAAGGAGGGAAATATTCTCGAGCAAACTGGAAGACGTTGTCCGGTTTCACAATCAGCAAGTCCTGTATGAAATCTGACAGGAGGGCTCGGAGCTCTGGGTGCTCCCTCAGGTATGAATTGTGTTCTGCCTTCAGAAAGTCCTGCCACAGCGAGAAACAGGGATGCAATTAATACTCTTCTGTTCGTTGGGAAGGTTTGCGATTACCTTGACCGACTTTAAATAAATAAGCATGCAATAATAAGTCTTTGTTTTGTAAAAACATCACTGGTTACCTTTTTATCCAAATACAGAGAGTACAACTGCATGTCTTCCTGCCACACCAGAGGGACCTTCATATGGCCTGACACAGAGAGAAAACAAACAAACATAAATGATTCCTCTGTCAACATAGCTCCTCTTTGGGATATTTAGGGTCATTTTGTATCCATGCATTACATTTTTGTCCCATTCTACTTCATTTTTGTACATATAAAACAAAGCATTGTGTACCCATGCTGTGAAAAATTTATTCATATTGAAGTTTTTTGATGATCTGAAACATGTAAGTATCATCTAAAAAAGAATAACAGGAGAAAGTTGTAAAAGGGAAATACTCTTTTTAACAGCACTGCATTCATGCAGTTAGTTCTGGATTGGCTATTTTGCAAATGCCAGCCAAAAGAATTCAAGTACCATTGTGCCTATGTATATCAGCTTCTGAAGTTTCTTTATAATCTCTTAGATATTGTCACCTTACTAAAAGTTTTTTTTGTTGTTGTTGCCTAAAACATATTTTGCAAAGAAAAAAGTGGTTTTTATTTTTTACTTTTAAACAAAAATGACTTTTGGACAACTGGAATATGATAAAATTGAGATTTTACGACAAACTAAACTTAGGGAGCTCTTGCTGAAATATCTTTTTTTTCAGAAGCACATAACTGAATTTCCTCTCAGAAAATTATTTTCTTTTATCACCTGACAAAGCATGCACAAAAACATCCTGTGAACAACGGCTCATTAGCTCATCAAAGTAATGGAAGAGGTTGTGTAGGAAACTACAACAAGGTGTCAAACTTCAATCATTTACCTCTGTATTTCTTTGAAAGCTCCTGCATAACCTTCATTGTGACTGGAGATCCCACCTGCTTTCTGCTGGCCAAGTGACTAATAACAAAAAACATTTCAGGCAGATTAAAACCTCAATTAGATCATTTTCCAAAACGATTTTAAACAGTAGTTTTTACTTGTTGCAAGCCAAATTTCTTCTACTCATCCTAATCACGAACATGAGCTCACCCGTTGTCAAGGAAGTAGCAGTGCCACGTGGAATGGTCGGCATCAGCGGAACCAACCATCCTCTCAAGCCCAAATACCTGCACGGTCTCACCGTGAACCTGTACTTTCTTCACGCCCAGTTCACTCTGTTTGTGCACCAAAACATCACGGTTTAGCCCAACATGCTAACGTTCTCCTGGCGCACGCTCACAGCTGTAGTTACTTACAAAAGTGGTTTGATTTATATGTAAACTTTGGTCCAACATGATGAAGACCATGTTCTTTGGAACTTTCTTCCTCAGAGCCATGAGACGCATCAGTAGCATGCTGGATCCCTCGGTGACCAGGCCACTCAGGACAGACATGGGATAAGTCACACTCTCCTCCTCGGTCACGTCCTTCGCTCACATTCATTCCAAGAAAAAATACAGCCACGGGTAATCCAACAGCCAAAGGCATGCTATTGTCTGCCAGGTGTCAATACAAAGACGGGTTGATGCTAAAAATATGTTCAAAGCTCTTTATAACACTTGGCATTTCTTCTGTCTTGTGAAACAGAAGTAATGTTTTGAAAATTATGGTTTTAACATGACAAAATGTGCAAAGGTTTAACTATATGAATAGTTTTCCAAGGGCATTGAAAACACAAGAAGCGACATTGTTCATTTTTACCTCTCCCATGGCGGTGAATTTGTTGATCACCATCATTTTGTCACGTTGCATCATGTGACTCCTCTTCTCAACATTGTAACTGTCGAGCTAAATAAGTTTTTAGAGAGGAAAAGCAAACTGTTAAAACGATAAACTTTGCTATAAACAATTAGGTTTTTTCTTAAAAGTAGGCACATCAAAGTTAAGTGGCTGCTTAAGGCCTCCACATCACCAGGGGGCCCTCAAGAGCAAAAAACAAGCGTAAGAAAAAAAAAGAACAATAAATAATGTAAACTAAATACTATTACACATGAAAAAGTAACAGGTTAGCAGGCTATTTGTGTTGGTACACAAATAATAGGCTAATTTCTTCTACTGTTTGGGAAATATAACATATGTTAGTCTGCTGATGTTAGTTTTAAATAGTTAAAATAATGTGGCACATTTAAATACCACCTTGGATTTCAAAATGTTAATATTTTTAATAATAACACCGGTACCATAAAAGTTAATTACAAATGGTGCTAATAATTGACACACAGGCTGACATATTAATGATGGAGCATCTGTTGCTCAACTGTTTGCATGGTTTGTGGGGGGCTTAGGTGGGACCCAAATGAAAATCTGCATGGGGCCCCAAAGAGGTTTGGTTCGGCCCTGAAAGGAGGTGATGCTTAAAGGGCTCACCTTGACATACTCATGGTAGTCTTCCTCCAGGACCTCCAGGTCAGCGGTGAGGTAAGCTTAAAAGTCAAGACATATAGTGATGTGCAACAAAGCACACCTGGAACCGTCACTTGATGGATAACCGATCTCACCGGTCACCGTTGTTCCACAGGGAGAGCCGTCGATAGCTCCGTGGCTCCGAGCATGCAGAATCACGCAGGGCTCCAGGGCTCTGTGGGTGAACTCCACAGACACGCCGAACTCCCCCAGGACTCCGCCGCTATCAGCCAGCACCACCAGAGACTCTGAAAACACACACCTCTGCAGCTCCTCGGGCTCTGGCAGAACACACAAGCCACAGCTGGCACCACCAAACACCTGTTCTGGGGTTCTTCCAACCCGTGTTTGCTGTTTTTAACACAGAAGTGGGCGTGTGAATGTCAAATTTACCTATGGAGATCAAGAAATTGACAGCCTCCTTTGACGCTTTTAGCTCGTGCGCATATTGGGACTCTTCAGCGACAGCCTCTTCTGAAGCTTTGAACTCTTCTTCGAGTTTAGACTCTCCGGAAACAGCCTCGTCTGAAACATTTAGCTCTTCTTCGAGTTTGGACTCTCCGGAAACAGTCTCGCCTGAAACATTTAGCTCTTCTTCGAGTTTAGACTCTCCGGAAACAGTCTCGCCTGAAACATTTAGCTCTTCTTCGAGTTTAGACTCTCCGGAAACAGTCTCGCCTGAAACATTTAGCTCTTCTTCGAGTTTGGACTCTCCAGAAACAGCCTCGTCTGAAACGTTCAGCTCTTCGGCGGCAGCTTCCTCTGGCGCTTTTGGCTCTTCGTATTTGAACTCTTCAGGGACAACCTGGTCCGAAGCTTTTGACTCGTCGTCATGTTTAGACTCTTCGGCGGCAGCCTCCTCTGAAGCTTTCACCTTTTCCATAGGTTGTGACTTTGTAGCGACAGTAGGAGCGGCGTCCTCCTCCTCCTTTATCGACTGCATTATTGTATCGCTTTTTGTCCCTCCGGTAGTTTTACAAACTCCTCACGAGCAACGGTTCAGTTGCGACGTTCTCTCCAGCTTCCATTCGGGTTGTCATGGGAACGACGCCGTTTGTCAGCGCGCAGCCGCAGTAGAATCCGGATATACAGCCAGTGAAACCGAGTTTTTCCATGTTTCAGGTCAATTAAAGGGCAAGAGAACATTTTTTTGGCTTGTTTTTAATTAAACATGAATAAAGCATCTACACATATATATTTTTTCCTCTAAAGAAAAAAAAAGTAACAATGTATTGTTGCTAATTAAAATGAATTAGGAAAAGCAAGGAAATGGTGGAAAAGTAACAGCGAGACACCACCAGAGCTCTGAAAATAAACACTTGTTACAAAATGAGAGTAAACGAATATGATATGCGACAAAAATAGTGTTAGGCAGGGCATGTCCATGCAAAAACAAAGGAGGTTCGGAGAGCCATCAGTTGATCGCAGTCCCAATAGTTTCCTTTTCCCTCTCTTGTATTTTAAAGGGTAAACAGTCTGACTTCGGTCTGCTTTCTTTGTGGTCCCATTGCTCCTGACAGAAGTTGTGCAAGTCTGGTTTGTGCCTCCACAGGTGAGCCTCCTTACAGCCAAATAATTCTAAGTTAATGGAATGAATGAAAATCAAAAGCTTTCCTAAATTGGTTACGTTTCTTCTGAATTTGACGACAGTCATAAAAGTGATCTTGCTTCTGTTTGCAAATAATATTTAGGCACTTGAGCAACATTGGGTTTGTTATTGGGATTTCATAACTTAAATCTACACATGTAGGCTTACAATGCGCATTCACATTATGAATATGTTAAAATTGAAAATTAAGCTGTGCAGTGACTGATGTGTGCCAGAATGTGATATTTAGAGCAGTTGTATATTTGGCATGTGTACTTATATGTGTTTAATAAAGCACACACTTTTCTTTTGGCTCTTTTAAATTTGGAAGAGGAAAACAAAAGTTGAGACTAAAAAATTAGAGTGGAAAATACAGTATTCTAAGTGAATTACACACACTATACATTTTTCAGATGCATAGTGAAAAATACATCACTAAACATACATTTAGAGAAAGAATGTCCTCAAGGCCACACTCTTCTGCAGGCGCTGTCGGACTTCAAGTGCAACGAGGCATCAGAACGAGTTTCTTCCTCAGAGTGAACTTCACTTCAGGTGCCTGTTTTGCCCGGCCTGTGTTATATTTGGAGCCCTCCTTCTGGCCCACTGCCTCATTTACTCGAAGCAGGATTGAATTAAAGTCTTCACCTCTGAAATTAGGAGAAGAAAAAAAAAACATGTCACCATAACTCAGTGCTTCTCAAATAGTGGGGCGGGCCCCCTTTGGGGGGCGCGGTGCGATACCTGGGGGGGCGCGTGTGATCCTGGGGAACAGGCTTTTTTTTGGCCGAACTAGTATAAAGTGTAATTGCGCACAGTAGGCGGCAGTGGCGCTCTCATTGTTACGTCTGTCACGTTTGCGACAGTGCAACATTTTACGACTTACAAGACAACAGGTTTGCCTTGGTTAGCAGTGTTAAGTCAACAAAAAGCTCAGACTGCGTTCTGTCTATGGCCTCCGTTATTCAACAACCCCCAACATGAAAAAGTTTTTAACAGGGATGAAAAGAAAAGCGGAGAGAGACAAAGATAATGAGACAACAGAAAGTCAACCGAAAGCTAAGAAGAGGAAATACGACGAAGCGTATTTAGCGCTTGGCTTCACTGTGACTACAGTTGGAGAAGAGGAAAGACCGGTGTGTTTGCTGTGTCTAAAAATGCTCGCAGCGGACAGCATGAAGCCAAATAAATTAGCGCGTCACTTAAATACGTTACATCCCAATCACGCCGATAAGCCGGTAGAGTTTTTTCAGCGAAAACGTGCTGAATATTGCCAACAGTCATCCCGCTTTGTGAAGGCTACTTCAGTAAACCATCGAGCGCTGCTAGCATCATATAAGGTGGCGTACCAAATTGCGCAGTGCAAAAAGCCCCACACCATAGCAGAGGAGCTGATACTGCCTGCAGTAGACATGGATAGTCACGGTGGGGAGTGGGGGGCGCGAATAGTTTTCTTCTTGATATGGGGGGCGTAACGGAAAATAATTGAGAAGCACTGCCATAACTGCATATAGAGTAGAACAGAAAAAAATCCTACATCAAACACAAAGAGGGCATTGGTCATACTGTTAGAAGTACAAATTGGAAAACATTTTACATGAGATCTACCAGACATAATGAGTTACCTGGGGCAGTGCAACTCCAGCTGGTCACACACCGACTGTATAAACCAGCTTCCACATGTTGGGTCTCTGAAGGAGACGTAGTCTTCAACAGTGGAAACAGCAACGAGAAAATCTGCTTCCTCAGGAATGGATGTTGCACTATCCTCCTCCACCTCTTTCAGCAACACCCCTCGTTGTATTGCCAACGGCTTCTCGTTTTGGCAGGCCTGAATCAGGAACACTTTGGGTTTGCCGGCAAGGACTGGCAGCTTACTGGCCACAAAAAGTCTTTTAATTTCTTTAATGACCAGAGGCTGTGAGTCGACCCCAAAAACTTTACCCAACGACCCGTGGCTCAGAATGCAGCAAACGAAGGCGTCGCCGTGCCGAACCGGCTGCTGGGGAGCAGAGAGGCAGCCGTCGCACCATTCCTGAACTCCCAACTCCGGTAGCTGGAGTTGCATCTCCTCATTGTGAGGAGAGGCAACTACCTTCAGTGTCTGTTCCATCTGGTCACCGGTTTGGTCGTTACACATCAGCACCTTGAAGCCCAGCCAGCGGAACACCTTTGCAAGTCGCTCTGTGGGATTTTAAAAAAGTTTTTTGAAAAAAGAGAGGAATTAAACTTGACCAAACATGAGAAAAGTTACATTTTGAAAAGCAAACCGAAGAGAACATACCGGCATCTTTGTTTGTCCCCCTTCTCTGATTGAGGCTGTGGAAATTCTCATTGTTGATGATCAGGCAAAGACCAACAGGCTCGCTTTTGAGTTCATAAACCTCATCCTAAAACAAGAGACAGCATAACACATTCAAACTCAATTCATAGCAAAAACAACAACAAAAAAAAGTTCTAATCAAAATTTCTATATGATTCTAACTTTGTAAACCTTTAATATATCCAGATACATTCCAGAAAACTTGAATATCATGAAAAAGTTAAATACTGGAAGCTGACGACATCACACAAAACACATCAACTGCCTTGTTTCCATCAAACAACGCAGGATGTATTGGTGCGGTTTAAGACGGTATTTTGTGGTACGGTTTATTCAGGACAGTTTCAATTAAGGCTGAACAACATATCAGCAATATCGGTACCGCCTGATTAAAGCAAAGGAAATGATAAAACTAAAAAACAAAAAAGGTCTTTTTTTTAGTTTGAATTTTAACCTATCTTAAAATTCAAGGATCATGTTATGACTTTCACTGTTTTTCAACAAAATTACCAAATTAAATGAACTTTTTGGTGATATTCTAGTTTACTTAGAAGTATCTGCATGCTCATAAAGCAATAGTTCCAGTTAGTTTTTGTTATCAAGTTACATTATTCTATTTTCTCAAACTATCGGGAAATCAGGCTTGTTTTTTCATAATAGCTATTTAAAAATCCCATTATGTTGAGATGGCAATGCTTGAATTATGAAGATAATGAGTTAATGTATTCATTTCAATCCACAGGTCATGTCAGCAATGTTTCTCATTTGTTCAAGTTGTACAACATCTTTTATAGACCAATTTATTGCAACTGCACATCATCCCTGAATCTAACAACTGAAACGGACTAAAATGCAATAATTGGTCATTTGTGCCGTAGTTATAAAAAAAGACAAGTTTATTTGAAAGCAAAAAAACCAAAAACATTAATAACACGAGAATAATAAAACTATATTTCAAAATTTTCAAATTATCCAAACTGAAAAAGTGATACAAGCAAATTTAATATGTCATACTTTTGAAATCTTGCGTAGAAAAGTGGTCTTCCAGACTTAAGAAGTGTAACAACATTTGAAAATCAATACCTGCAATTATTCTCGGGTAATAAATGCAGGTAAACCTCTTATCTTTAATAAATCCAGGGTAAAACTAACAGCGTTGTGTAGAAGGAACTCACTCACCTTTTTCAGCCTTTTCGTCTCAGGCACCATGTCAGCTAAAAGTGAAAGCAAAACCATTGAATCTCTTTCCTCAACTTTTAAAACATTATAAACACCAGCATTTTTATTACCACTGCAAGGTGAGGTAACTTGGACCGGCTGGAGTAAAACGTCATGGAGATTTATGCTCTTCAGGTCAGGATAAGTTTCAGCAACGTCGTCAGTTTCCAGTAACTTCAGGAAGTTTTGGCAGGTTTCTTCTCCTTTATTCATCAGCTTGTCCACGAGCTCTATAACGTGGTCCTCCGCGTGCGCTTTGTTGATGCTCTTGAGATTGTTGTATTCCCTCGAAGTTATCAGCTTCCTCTCCTGAACTTTGTTGAGGATGAATGGGTGGTCTGAGCATAAAACCTCGATGAGTTTTGTTTTATTGCGCTTCAGTCTCTCCATGGCGGACATGACAGCGAGAATGACGCGCGAGAGTTCAAGTACACAAAACTTCAGTCGTCTGCACCTGAATACCTTAATGACAAGGCTGCTCTTGTTTCCTTTGAAGCAGGGTTTCTAATAGTGACAGGTGAGCAGGTCAACAATATCCTACGAGCCAGAACCAGGCGAACTTCTATTTTCACACGACTTGGACGGTCCAAAAATCCCGCCCGGTGGGTTTAAAGTCTAAAAGCTACAATGATGGACTTTTCCAGGAAGTGGAAATCCCGCCACGGTTGATGAGAAATAAAGCATTCGTAAAATATCTTGAGCCAAAGTGTTGGTGTTTGCTGCCCCCTCCTGGTAAAAGACTATACAAAACTATGCAATGACATTTCCTCAACAGGAGGCTTTCATTTCCTCGTGTAAGTAAAGAAACACTAGTAAGCTAAAAAAAAAAAAAAGAAAAGAAAGAAAAACTAAGTAAGTTTTAGTAAAAGAAAAACTCTCATTGTACTGTCTCCCGGTTCTTCTAGATGTTTCTTTTGCATATTCCCTAATAAGCACATTCATAAAGAATTTACGCACTATTTAGTTTGGTACAGTTACAATAAAACTGAACTGCACATTTTCAGTGGAGTTCAATGAGCCAAATTTACTGCCTTTATTTCATTTGAGTCTCATGCCTTCATCTCTACCTGGTCACTTTGCACCTGAACTCTAATTACCAAACACCGTAGTTTCAATTTCTCATCAACATTTCACGTGTTTAGCTTGATAGGTTGAGGCCAACACCTTCCATCTGGTGACGGTATTAGCCTGTTAGGTAATGGAATAAAATAGAAAAATGTCCAGTCAAAGTGTAGTCTTTGCTACCGTCTCATGTTTAAAAAAGGAAAGTATAGCAATAAGAGCAGTGAACTCGTTTTTTAGCACCAGCACCGTGGTGCAAGTTCTATGGTGGGATTAAAGCAGTGCTTCTCAAATAGTGGGGCGGGCCCCCTTTGGGGGGCGTGGTGCAATACCTGGGGGGGCGTGTGATCCTGGGGAACAGGCTTTTTTTTGGCCGAACTAGTATAAAGTGTAATTGCGCACAGTAGGCGGCAGTGGCGCTCTCATTGTTACTTCTGTCACGTTTGCGACAGTGCAACATTTCATGACTTACAAGACAACAGGTTTGCCTTGGTTAGCAGTGTTAAGTCAACAAAAAGCTCCGACTGCGTTCTGTCTATGGCCTCCGTTATTCAACAACCCCCAACATGAAAAAGTTTTTCACAGGGATGAAAAGAAAAGCGGAGAGAGACAAAGATAATGAGACAACAGAAAGTCAACCGAAAGCTAAGAAGAGGAAATACGACGAAGCGTATTTAGCGCTTGGCTTCACTGTGACTACAGTTGGAGAGGAGGAAAGAGTTTGCTGTGTCTAAAAATGCTCGCAGCGGACAGCATGAAGCCAAATAAATTAGCGCGTCACTTAAATACGTTACATCCCAATCACACCGATAAGCCGCTAGAGTTTTTTCAGCGAAAAAAATGTTATGCAGAGATGGATAGTCACGGTGGGGAATGGGGGGCGCGAATAGTTTTCTTCTTGCTAGGGGGGGCGTAACGGAAAATAATTGAGAAGCACTGGATTAAAGAAACACATAAAACCGTGTCCTAACCTTTAACCCTTTTACTGTTTGTGAACATAATGTAAATGTCAGCAATCGGTAAGTTTCAACTTCCCGTAACCGTGCTGAACTTCATTTGATCTTTTTGTTTTGGATGTTTTGTGACATCTTAGCTGAAGTGAAAACCAACTTAATGTCCCAGGTTTGGACCAATGGCGAGCCACTTTTACTGCATTCCCCAAAAATATTTTCTTCATCTACCTTTTTAACTATACCTCCTACACTTCTGTTACTCTTAAAGGGAAAGAAAAGACAGTGGTTTCTGATGTTAAATGTGACGTAAGGAGAAAATAGACCCACAATCTGGTGAATGATGAAGACAGGTTTATTTGTAGCAAAAATATATATATAAATAAAAGGAGAAAAAAAATCTCAATTTAAAATGTGTCAAATTATACAAACTGAGAAATCACTTAGGGGGCTGCACAGTGGCGCAGTTGGTAGCACTGCTGAGTTCCTGGGTTCGATTCCCGGCCCGGGATCTTTCTGCACGGAGTTTGCATGTTCTCCCTGTGAATGCATGGGTTCTCTCCGGGTTCTCCGGCTTCCTCCCACAGTCCAAAAACATGGCTGTCAGGTTAATTGGTCTTTCCAATTAACATGGTTGTCTGTGTTGCCCTGCGACAGACTGGCGACCTGTCCAGGGTGTGCCCCACCTCTGGCCTGGAACGCAGCTGGAGATAGGCACCAGCACCTCCCCACCCCATTAGGGAGAAGGGTGACAGGAAAATAGATGGATGGATGGAGAAATGATATAAGCAAATTGAATATGTCGTACTTTTAAAATCTTGTGTAGACAAAAGGACTTAAAAAGTGTAACTATATTTTAATATAAATGATAAATTAACATCTATAACAAAATATAGAACACCCAATTTTTTTATTGCCACTGCTCCTTAAATCGTCACGGAGCTCCATACTCTCCAGGTCAGGAAAAGTTTCCTTAACATCGTCGGTTTCCAGTAACTTCAGAAAGTTTTGGCACGTTGTTTCTCCTTTATTCATGATCTTGTCCACGAGCTCTATAACGCGGCCCTCAACATTCTCTTTGTTGATGCTCTTGAGATTGTTGTATTCTCTCAAAGTGATCAGCTTCATCTCCTGAGCTTTATTGAGAATAAATGGGTGGTCTGCGCTTAAAACCTCGATGAGTTTTGTTTTATTGCGCGTTAGTTTCTCCATAGCGGACATCACTGCGAGAATTACACAAGCGGGCATTCAAGTACACAAAACTTCAACCGTCGGAACCTCGAATATATTAATGTCGTTGCTTCGTCTTACGTCGTTTCAAACAAGATTTCTAATAGTTACAGGTCAACAACAACTTACGAGCCAGAACCAGGCAGCCGAACTTCTGTTTTCACACGACTTGGACGGTCCAAAAATTCCGTCTTGTTGTTTGAAGTCTAAAAGCTAAAATGACAGACTTGTTCAGGAAGTAGAAAGCTCGTCACGGATGAGGAGAGACACGTCATTCTTTATTTGACAGGTAAATTATCTTGAGCCAAAGTGTGGCGTTTGCTGCCCCCTTCTGGTAAAATACTATGCAAAACTATTCAATAGCATTTCCTCAACAGGAGGCTGTCATTTTCTCGTGTAAGTAAAGGAACAATAGTAAGTTAAAAGAAAAAAGAAGTACGTTTTAATGAAAGAAAAACTCTCATTGTACTGTGTCTTCCGGTTCTTCTAGAAGGTTATTTTGCATATTCCCAATTAAGCACATTCATAAAGCAATTTATGCACTGTTTAGTTTGGTACAATTACAATAAAACTGAACTGCTGAACTGCACATTTTCACTGGAGTTCAATGAGCCAAATTTACTGCCTTTATTTCATTTGAGTCTCATGACTCCATCTCTACCTGGTCACTTTGCACCTGAACTCCTGAGCAGAAGGTTTTCCTTTGACTAACTTTCACTTTAACTTCTCTTACGCCCACATTTCTTAGAAATGCCACCTGGGTGCGGCTAATTACCAAACACCATAGTTTCAACTTTTCATCAACATTTCACGTGTCGAGATTGATCTGGCTATTACCTAATTCTATTCTATTAAGTAATAAAATATAAAAATGTCCAGTCAAAGTGTAGTCTTTGCTGCCTTCTCATGTTTAAAAAAGGAAAGTATAGCAATAAGAGCAGTGAACTCGTTTTGTAGCACCAACACCATGGTGCAAGTCTATGGTGGGATTAAAGAAACCAATAAAACCGTGTCCTAACCTTTAAGTCTTTTATTGTTTATGAACATAATGTAAATGTCAGCAATCGGGAAGTTTCAACTTCCCATAGCAACTTCATTTGACCTTTTTGCTTTGGACGTTTTGTGACATCTTAGATGAAATGGAAACCAACTGAATGTCCCAGGTTTGGACCAATGGTGAGCCACTTTTACTGCTTTCCCCAAAAATATTTTCTTCATCTACCTTTTTAACTATACCTCCTTCACTTCTGTTACTTTTAGAGGGAAAGAAAAGACAGTGGTCTCTGATGTTAAATGTGTGATGTAAGGTCAGAGGGAATAGACCCACAATCTGGTGAATGATGAACATAAATGATCTATAAACCTTTAAACTATGAAACTTTATTGCTTTTTTGGGATCCAAATAGTGTTGCCAATGGCATTGAGAGGGGTTTTACCTTTTAGAGTAATAAAATAAAAATCCTGAAGTGTTTTCAATATTGGAACTTTAGCGTAGTTTTCTTAAAGCCTACTGAGAACTATTGCTATTTTTGTTAACGTCAGAATTAAAATTAGTTTGAATTAGTTTAACATGCACCAGATAAACTGGTGCATGTTAATAAATTCTAAATATTGTAAAAAAAAAAAGAAAAAAATTATTTAAGTCTTTTCATTAAAACAATAATCTCAGATTAATTAAAAACATTAATCTATATGAATTAATTCTGCATTTATTTAGTTAATTTAGATGATTATGGGTTATAGCTAATAAATCCCTATTTTTCTTCTGAAAATATAAAAATTACTCAAGTCCCAAATATAGTCGATTTTGAACACAGAAATCTTACGGCCTACAGAGTCATGGAGAAGACTGCTGACTTGATCGTTGTCCATCAGAGGGTCACCAAAGGTCAGAGGGAAAGACGCTGGTTCGTCCTCAGAGGGTAACAAAGAGGGGAAGCCATAAATGGAGTGTTGCCCAGTGGACCGAAGTCACACGTTTCAGATTATAATGGTAAAGTTTTTTAAAATCTATTTTCTACACCAGGGTCAGACCAGAGGACGAGTGGACAAGTGGATCCACGTTGCTTGAAGTCCAGCAGTGATGTCAGGAGAAATGAAGACTTTGGACCGGGGAAAAAATTAGCTTTATGGTGACGCTGATTTTATCTCCCAACTAGACTCGGCAACGGTTCACCAAACACTCGGGTTGATTGACCAGCAAACTGGCCTGAACTGGTTAGAGTCTGTGGGGTTTCATGAACAGGAAGAGGAGAAAAAAATGGGTTGCTGACCTAAGGGCCACATTGCTGGAGGAGCCCCAGCTATGTGCTAAATGCATATACAGATCACCACATCGTATTACTTTCTTTTTTAGCAAAAAATATTTTCATATATGTTAAAAATATCTATTGTTCTATTGTATTACTTTCATATTCCTAGAAACTGGGTTTATGTTTTGTGGTTTTGCCGGCTTTGATCCTTAACAAAAATTTTTTTTAAATGTCTTCACAATATGAGTTGCATTAAACTAATTGAATTAATTAAGTCTTAAAAATCCAATTAATTAAAACTCAAATACGTACATTTTGCTCTTTTACAGTATTTTCCATCAAATATTTACGTTTTGAGCTGTTAAAACTTGAAACATAAACGCCTTTACTAAGCGTGAGCAATATGACAAAAACCAAAGCGAAAAAAAAAACAACAACAAAAAAGAACTGCTTTGGTTTCCTGAAGCTTTGTACAGTAGGTGACGTCATGCACCATATTTCCCCAAAATCATCTCGTTGCGTCTCTTGACAGAAAGAGAAACACACTCAGCGGCAGCGTGGAGCCACAGAAGGAGGTAACGACACCTTATTAACTCTCTATCTAATCGTTCTTCTGTAGCCTGACGGGCAGAAAGCTCTGCTAGAGTTTCCCTTCTGAGATTCAAGCTGATATGTACAGTGAGAAGTCGGGAAGTGTCCATTTCTTAGAGTAGCTCTGTGTGTGTAAACCCAGTGGAGCCCAGATAACTCTTTGTGTCTCTTAACTGTGGTTGAAGACTTGAGTTTCTGAAACCTCGAGGGCATCGTGTGGAGAACCGACACAGACACCAGAAAGGCAGTTTCTTAAAATCCGCTTGTGCCCCCTTGGAGGTGATTTACAAGAAGTCAGCTTGTGTATGAAGGAAGCTAAAAAGGGGAAGTCTATAAAAGCCAGGAAATCACCCGCAGCAAACTCAAGTCAGTTTATTTGTGGTCCAGCGACTGAGGCTAAAACTCATGTCTGGCTAACCAGGTATTCGCTTTCTTACGGAAAGGTAAAAGAGCCTAATATCGACGAGGATTCCTCGCATCTGCTTTTTCCAGTCGTGCGTAATCTGATGCCTCTCTCTCTGTGTGTGTTGCCAGGTTTGCACCGACTATGAAGCTCTCTCCTGCTCTTCCTGTACTGTGGTTCAGTTTTCTCCTGCTGCTGCGGGTCTCACAGAGTGGTAGGTGCCAACTTACTCGCAATTAAAACAAAAATAATTGTGTTTTAGTGATAGGGCGATGGTTCCTTTTCGTGTTGGACAAACATTCCTGGAAATTCTGATGAATTCAGTATGGCGCAAAAAAAAAAAAAAAAAAAGAGAATCACAAATATTACCAAATATTTCTGGTTTAGAGACCAAAAATTGAAGTAAGACATGCACTTCATTCTAGTGCATTAAAACAAAACCTTATAAAATTATAAAACTTAAGAGCTTTTACGTCAATAATTTCTTAATATTAATTTGAAAAAAGAAGATCATTTCCATTTTTAACAAGACATTTCTTAAAAGTGACAACCAGCCAGTGGAGCTGGAACCTTTCCATCAATCTTGAGGAATTATTGACTTAAAACAAGCTCCCATATCTTGCTGAAAAGTTGCTTGTAAGTTAGTCTTGTCCCATTTCAAGTGTACGAAGGTATTTACAGAAAAAACTAGAATTGACACGATGATGAGCTGCGTGAACCTGACGGCGAATGCTCTCCAAGTTCTAACGCTGGATTTATGTCATTTCTTTCTACCAGAGCGCAGGGAAGACGATCCAGACGTCGATAACCCCTCTGTTGTATGAGCGCCAAAATCTTTTTTCACCTTCAATGTCGTCATGTCATAGCTGTCAACATACGACATTTTAGTTTCTAATGACGTTTCAGTTTCTCCTAAACCTCCTCCTCTTCCATTCGCCTGCAGAACGTGGCCAAGACGGACAGATGCCATGAGGTCGACGAGGAGTCGGAGGAGGTGTCCGTCGTTTGTTCGGTGTCCCGAACCGACAAGCTCAACTGCTCCTGGTCGTTCGACGCTCTGGAGACGGGCGCCCAGCTGTCCGTTTCTGTCAGGTAATCCCCGTCACCGTGACCCGCTCCAAACACAAAACACAAAGACTCCCCCATACTTAGCAAAACGCGACTGCGAGGGCGTTCCTGTTCGTTTCATTGCAGTCTTTTGGAGAACAAGAGCTTGGTCGACTCTCGGAACCAAAGCTCGGCAAACGGCGTCGGCTTCATATCCTGGACAATCGACGGCGGCCAGAAAAAGCAAGTAGTCGTCGATTTTGAAGTGATCCTGCGTGGCGCCAGGACGTGTTACACCGCCACGTTCATAGAGGAGCAACTGGGTAAGCTTCAACTTCACACACTGTTCTGGCTGAGTACACCGTAACATTTTGTCTTTGACGACAAAAACGGCACCATGACGATCAGGAACCTCAGGCAGGCAGGTCAGGAGTAGGACTTTGAGAGAAAGCGATACATTTGAATATTTAACCGTTTGGGCCTTGAATGGCCCGTCTCCATGGAAAACGGAAAAATTGATGCGGACGGTCCTGGATGATGACCTTCCAGCAGGACGACCTTGAGCCTTGTGGCCAGAGCAACGTTGGAATAGATCCGAGCATATTCACGCCTTAGATTGGCCCAGTCAAAGTCCAGACCTAAAGCCAGTTGATAGTCTGATACAAGACTTGGAAATAACCATTGGCACATTCTGTAGGTTCCAAACTGAGTTTGAGCAAATTTTAGAATAAATAATAATAATAAAATAATCAGTTTCTAAATGCGTGAAGCGAGCGGAGGAAAAAAAATTGTCAGATTTGTTTTGGGACAGGAAGAGGACAGGGGCCACTGACCCAATTTTCTCAAAATTCTGACTTTAATCTCTGAATTCTTAGAAGAGAAAAAAAATCAGATTTTATTTCACTCAGTGGCTCCATTCCTCCTCCATACATACTCGAAAAGACTTTCTAAACTCTTTATCCTTCACGTTCCACTTCATAGTTAAACACTACTGTGTTTGTTTTCTGAAACATATAAAAAAAACACATTAAGAAAAGCAGTCATAGGACCAATTACAGGAGAATTTAAAACCCAAAATGAAAATTTTAAGATGCAGCACTAAGATGCATCTTTAGTGTCGCTAATGACTCCACATCTGCTCAAGTTTTACTCCTCACCAGACGGTCGAGTCCCACAGCTAAAAATAGCCCCTCGTCATTCTTTCAGCTGAAAACATGAGTCGTCTTTCACAGGAAATGATCAGGTGAAAGTGTTGACACTGCAACCTGAACAAACTTGACAGTGTTGGAGTGCAGCAGGCACTTTAACACCAACTCAGGGCGTAATGTCAGAGGTCAGAACTAATTTGGGCTTCGGGAACAGAAAAGCTTTCGTCTTGTGATGCCCTGCTGACAGAGCAACACTTTCTTGTTAAAAGCTCCAGATTTTGAAGAAGTAGGACAACTCTTCCCATGTATGCTTATGTATGCAAAGAGTTTCTCCCAGAAAGTTATTTCTGGTTGGTTCTGCTTTGTGTTGACGTAGTTTTATTTCTTTTTTCAGTAAGATCAAAACTTAAGTTACTTGGAATATGAAAGCATCCGAGAGCTCTAATGATACATTTCTGTCTGCTCTGATTAAATTTAGGTCAAAATTACAGAGCAACTGCACAGGGATGCACTGAGATGATAAAAGAGATGTTAAATATGAAATAAAAAAAATATTCCTTGCACTCTTTTTGGCAATAGATTCTCTGATACTGTTCCCAGCTGCAGTCCCATAAACACAAAAAACTGCTCTTTTTCAGAAATAAAAAAAAGTAAATAAAATCACAACTAACTGATGAGACCACTTCAAGATTTTAGACTCTTTCTAAAGTTAAAGTGGTGCAATTTTATCACCAAGCAGATCACAGTGACAGCATTTAGTCACATTTAAAAAATATATTGATATGTATTGCTGTGTCTATGGAACTAAAGGTGTAAAAACAGAAAAAACACCAACTTTTTTTCCCCATTGTCATGGAGAGTTGTTTCTGCGTTAAGTCAAAACACACAACAGTAAATATATTCAACAATTACCCCCTTCATGAGAAAGGAGAATATTAGGTCAACTGGAAAAAAGATTTCAAGACCAATTATCTTTTTTTCCCCACTGGCCCTAATGTTCTTCCATAGATCGACATGAACAGCCTGTTAGGGCTATTGTAAATAAATAAACAAAAGAGGAGCAAATTTCAGCCCCAAAAATATCAGTAACCATCTAAAGACAAAAAAAAAAACAAAGTCATAAAAATTTGCGTTTCAAAAGACAAACAGTTGCCTTTGGGCTGGACACTGACCTGTGGCTGTTTGGGTTTGGCCGCAGATATCCTGGATCCTCCGGCAAACGTCAGTGCATCGCTCCGGGATGGGAACCTTCACATAAACTGGGACGTGCCAAGCAGTAATTTTTTTAAACATTGTTTTGATTACCAGCTGGACATCGGCGACCAGGTATGTCTGTCTCAGTGTGTGTGTGTGTGTATGTGTGTGTGTGGCTGCACAGTGGTATGAAAGAGTGTTTGCCTCCTTCCTAATTTAATATATTTTCGCATGTTTGTCACTCTTGGGTCTCTCAGTGTTGATTCTTTCTTTGTGTTTTTATTGCTTTCACTGTTTTTGTTGTTGTTTTTTTTTTCACTATTTTTGTTGTGAAGCACTGCGTGACTGCTGTCTGAAAAAGGTGCTAGATAAATAAAATGCACTTTCTTCCTGACTCACTGCTCTCTCGGGGTAGTTTTGATTGGCTGGACTCTCCTGGGAAGCTTCGCCACCGTGCCATGTTTACTTACTTTATTTTTTCTTCTCATTTGTTCCTGACTTTCTTTCTTCCTCAGCATCATGTCCAGATGTTGAGTCAGATTTTGCACTTTTTTTGGACTTTCATTTGGGTTTCTGCTGTTTCTAAAATCAGCTCATGTACTTTAGAAACCAAGCCGGGTTTTGGCAACAAGTTCATATTTTTTGGTGTGTGGAAAACGAGCCATTTGAAAAACCTCTGTAACATAACCTCGCAATTCAGCAATTACTGCACGTCACCTGGCAACCCAAGTTAAGTTTCAGCATGTTTGGTCAGCTGGTTTTACCGCTGTATGTGTTGTACAACGGCTGCTGGAAAAGACAAGTGTTTCATTATTGATTTCCCGTCCAGAAACCACTTGCTGCGTTCCTGTTGGTTGTGCAGGAGGCTCCAGTTCTGCTTTTCAAACGCTACAATGCAACTTTCACAGTTGTATAATTGCGCATCCATTTTCACATATGAGGGCAAATGTTGAGTAGGTGGGCGGGGCCAGCAGCTTCTTTGATTTAAAGGATTTAAAGTGACAGAGACCCTAAAACAATTCAATCTTAAAGGATCTCAAATTAGGGAGAACTGTGAAACAAAAATCTTATCAAAGAATGATTTTGTGCAAACAAAATGTAAAGAACAGCTTTTTTTTGTAGCACATTGATCTATCCTCAACTGTTTAAGGGAGTCCAATAGGTCACTTTTTATAATTTAAGGCCTGCATTCTTTGTTTATTTGTGTTGTCTTTCACTGTTTAAATTGGTCTGATGTTGTGCAACAAACATGGAAGAACATAGGAAGTCAGAAAAGGGGGGCAAACACTTTTTCACACCGCTGTAAATTGCACACCAGCCACAGTATAACAACCTGAATCAACCAACTGAAATGAAAAATAATCTTTTCAAAACAGGAAAAGCCGAGAACCTTTTCAGATGGGCTGCAATACATAGAGCCCAATGCCGCCGCTCCCACCTACAGGGTGAGGATGAGGGCGAAGATATCGATCGACTGCTTCGGATGCACCCAGTGGAGCGAGTGGAGCCCCACAGTCAGTGAGTGCGGTTTCATTTTCTCAGAATGAACGATCTGACCGTCGACTGGTTCCTGTTTTCCTGACTTCCAGCTGAAGTGCAGCGACGTCGTCAGTGAAATAACTCATCTCCTTGTGCTCACGTATGCACGCGTGTGTGTGTGTGTGTGTGTGTGTGTGTGTGTGTGTGTGTGTGTGTGTGTGTGTGTGTGTGTGTGTGTGTGTGTGTGTATACGCAGTTGTGGAGCAGCCAACATATCGACTCGATCCTCTCATAATCGCCCTGATTTCGCTCGGAATACCCATGATCCTCCTGGCCGTGCTGTTGATGCTGCGCCATCAGAGGTAGACCGATGACCCGTTGTAGCCGTTTCCATCTCCTTGTTGCTCAACTGCTTCCGTCTCTGACACATGATTTCTCATAATTGAGGCAAAAAAAAGAAAAAAGAAACACCCACACAGAGGCAACTTTTAAGTTTGCAGAACCTGTGAAGTTTCTTTCAAAGAAGAGTAAGAAGGATGAGTATAGTGTCTCTTCAAGTGAGAAAGCCTTCACCACACTTGTGTTTTTTTCTCATGAAACGCTTGAGATGTTCAGGAGTCGCCAATAGTTAAAGGTAGAATGAGTTCAATAAGTAATAAAGAAAGCCTTGGCGTTTTCTTCTTTTCTTCAACATAACCCCGCGTCAGCTTTCCATGTCATAACAAAGTTGGTATGAAGTGACTCTGAAATATGGATTTAAGATCTTCCTAAAGCGCGCCTTGTGTCTCTCAGGCTGGTCAAGGTTCTGTTTCCTCCGATTCCTCATCCCCCGGCCAAGTACAAACATTTCCTGGAAAAGACCGATCCGATCAACGTAAGCACACGCTCACGCTGCACACACACACATTCGCTCACACTTTACAGAGCGCAGGGCATCGTGGGTAAATATGACCAAATCACAAGCGCCAGCTGGAGAAATGGTTTGTGGTCGTTAGACAAAAGGAAAGAGATTCTCCAAACGCTAAGATGTGACGCCACTCTGTTTTCGTTAGCATTTTGCAAATGAGAAAGTTTGTCTTCTGCTGTTTTGATAGAAGCATAAAATCACACAGATGAACAAAGGAATGCAGATGACATGCATTTTTGTACCACAATAATCTTAACATGCTCAAAAAGGTGTAGGGAGAAATAAGGAACTTATGAATTCCAACCCCATAAACTCAAACAAAATTTACAGAAGGATCCTTGTGTTTAAATCAAATAAAAATAATAATAAACAGATTCATTAATTTTCCATTATTTCTGGGTTTACATATAGATCTATACCCACACACTCATACACATCAGCCTCAATTTACATATGCACATTGTGTGAACTCTCACCCATATTTCTATGTCTTGCGAAAATGACCTCCTTATATTTTCTTTTCCATTGTATTCGATTTTGACTTTAACTCCTTATTCAACTTGTTCCACAGTTTTACATGAATTGAAATGCGACAGTTCTTTCCTGTTGTGCTTATACTACGAATCCTTAAGCTTAAATCGAAGTTATATCTTTAGTTTTATATTTAAGCACAAAGGATATCATATCACATGTTTCTGAATTTAATTTGCAAACAGATTTGGGAACCATTTGTGATTTTCCTCCCAGCTCCCAACACGCAACCCACTTTGTATTTTTGGCAGTGGCGCCAGTGTAAGCATTCGTGTTTGTGTCCACTTGGTTGTGATGTTTTTCTTCTTCTTGGGTTTGCAGTTCTTCCATCCTGTTCCGACCACTAAGCCCGAGGAAGAAATCACTGAGGTGGAGGACGCAGTGCAACCGCCTGCAACAACCCATTAAAACGGTTCAGGGAGAAGGCGTGTATTTGCTGCCAGTACTTATATGGATGAGCCAGCACACGTATATAGAGGGCACATAATGCTGCAGACATATAACAGCCTGTGTAGAAATTGTATTTAAATGCATTCATAATCTTCCTCTGTAAAGCCTGGTCTAAAATCCATGTCAATAATTCATATTTTCTATTGCATCTGAAAAGCGATGTGCTAGATTGTGCATTTTGGAGCAAATATTTTTTATTTATAGTCAGAAATTGTGGAACGTCTTGCTACAGGTTTGGAATTAAAAACTTTTTAAGACCACCATGAATGAAATTTAAGACCTGCATCACCAGAGAAATGTACAAAAGGAGACTGAATATTTTATACAACAGCACCAAGCTTTTTTTTTTTTTGTCTTTTAGTAATGCTTGCAGCCTTGTCCGGGTTGGCAACAGAAGTGAGCCACTGTCAGATTTAATCCAGCAAACTGGCGATAATTTACACTTACCAGTGGTAGATGCAAAAGAGCTAGCTAACTAGCTCACTCTTTATTAGCAGCTAGTTAGCGGTAGCCTCGAGTCTCAGAATGCAATAAAGAAGTCAAACTTTTGCCAGACAGAAAAGTCTCGAGAAAAATAAACAACATAGAATGAGATAAAAAAATCATGCTTCATTTTAAGACCTGTGATTAACGCATCTAAGGCCAACCTACATTATTTAAAATCAATTCAAGACATTTTAAGGCTTTAGCTTAAAACACATGAATTCAAGGCTTTTTAAGGCTGTGCCACATGGGTGCTAAATGTTTGAAGAAACCGAACACGTAGTCAAGCCTGACTCTCTTTTAGTTGATTATTCCTGAAAGGATTAAAAAAGAAAACATTTTTAAAGTGACATGTTGGCCAGAGGTCAATTTTTGAAAAACTCCACAAGGAGAAATGATGTGAAATGAAACAATAACCTGAGTTAAAATGATCGGGCGCCGGTCGTCTGGGTTTCTCCGTTACATCAGAATGTTTTAATTTAAACCCTTGTCGACACACAGAGGCCACCGGCGTACAAGCCATTTGTAAAACATGGCGGAGGATGTTTTGTAGTTCAGTGGAGGTCTTGCGTCTTTGAATGGGGAGACAACAGAGAAGGCCTGCGAAGGCAAAATCAACTGGAATTAAATACTGACCTGGAAATGTACAAACTCTGTTACTCATCAGATATTATTTGCATGTGTTTAGAGTATTTTGTCGTTCGACTTTCGTACCTGCTGAGTCTGAAGAGACGGGCTGGTTTAAGATTTTTGCACATGTGTACTAAGCTGAGATTGTTCCAGTGTTTATTGCGATGTTCTGCAAAACTTGTACTCTTATTATGTTGAATAAAATTAAGTTCTTGAGTTTTCCGTTCGGTCTGGAACTCCAGTTATATCCTTTTATTTTTACACAATATGCAACTTTTAGACACAAACCAAAGTTATTAAGCGAGTTATGAACTCATTGCATCTCTGAATACTGCTGTTGGTTATATCTTACATCATATAGTGGTGGCAAAAGCAACAAAGAATCTAGTCTGGACCTAAGATGGAGTAAATGCACACGTATTCATAACATACTTTGATTAAATCCATAAATTTCAGTACTGAAAGAATTGCTTTATACCAGGCGAGTCTCTCTAACCTGAGAATGTGAATCAGTACTGAGATGATTCTGTGCCTTCAAATAATTGTAACAATGCTCCTTGAGAAGATTCATAACTTATAACTTATAAGTGTGAAACAGGAAGAGGTTTGAAAAAACAGTCTGTGTGCTTCACTCAAGAGAGATTCATTTGATGCATCAAAGAGTGATGTCATCACTGCTGATGTCATTGTTACCATTGAAGCTGAACATTCTAATGGTGCGTTCACATCAAACACGTTTTGAGCGTCAGGCAATTCTGGTTTATATTCGAAGTAAATGTGGAGCTTTGGATGGACGAGATGTGTCAAACGCTCCAACTGCATGCAATGCATCCATCCGATCCATCCGTCCAATCTGATCTGTCCGTCCAATTCATCCGATCCGTCCGTCCGAAGGTTCCGACCCGTCCGTCCAATCCGTCCGATCCGTCCGTCCATCCATCGCAGGGGTAGCAGCTTAAGAAAGGAGGCCCAGACCATTCCCAGCCACTTGTCCTCCACTGTGTCCTGGGTCGTCCCCGTGGTCTGAAACACCTCACCAGGGAGGCGACCAGGAGGCATCTTGACCAGATGCCCGAGCCTCTTCACCTGCCAATCAAGCGGCCAGGGAGAGCTGCAGATCACCTCCATCGGGATTGATTGATTTGAGAAATCAATCAGTTTCTCAAGTTGTTTGAATTCTAGTTTAACATCTAGACTCTGCAACATCGGAGAAGTTAAAGACGGACTTACAGTTCATCAGCAGCCACCAGTTTCAGCGCCTCTTCAGCAAATCTGTTCCCAGCCGTTGAACCACTGAGTTATGAGTTGGTTTGAACTAATGCTGTAACAGTTCAGCTCTCAAACTGAACTGCTACAACATTATGATTAGGCCTGTAACGACCACGACAACAAACGACGTGACGTGTCCCGCAACTTTTGCTGTACGCAGCTTTTTGAGCAGACTGTTGTCAAAGCCTTTAAAGGCCTTCTTCATTTGTTTCTGCAGAAGTTCGATCATCTTGGCGATGACGTGTTCGTCTTTCGTTTCCAGCAGGTTCTTTAGCTGCGAGCTGCTGAACGTCTTCTTCAGCTCGACGAGAACTTTGCTGCACATGGTTCTGCGCTTCTTGGACGTTGTAGCAAATTTCTTTGGCATTGTGAGACCTTCTGCCATCCTGTCTACAATCTTCTGGATGAGGGCAGTTTCCTCTTTGCCAAGCTGCTCCAAAGCTTTCAAAGCCCCGCAGTCGATGAGCAACCCGAGCTGCAGGTTTGCTGCAAACAGCTTCAGCTTGTTCCCTTCCAGGACCTTCTCCATCGGGTCAGGAACATCGGGACAGTTAAAAAAGATCCGTTTTACGTTCATCTCTCTAAAAGTCTGAACAACACAATTCTGGTGTGAAAACTCTTCGAATGTCTGTTTGTTTGTGAGGAGTCACTGAGGGAGACGGCGACTCAAAAGCTGTCAAAGCCTTTCAGTGATGTCATGTCAGTGACATCATAGGGCATGACGTCTCATCAAGTCTCCCGTTTTCAGCCGGGAGATTATTCGTAGTATTAATTCTTTTGAACACGAGTTATTATGTGTTTATTTGTTGTTGCTTTTGACCAATAAGATGCACAGAACTTCCGGTTGTGAGATGATAGAAAGTATCTTTATCTCAGGTTGGCGCTCTGCAGAGCCTTTTATCTTAAATAAGGTGTCATCTATTTCTCTCACTTGTTAGCCATGTTTAGTATATTGAATGTAGTGAGTCAATTACACACAACATGCTGGTGATGGTCCACATGCTACTGACACGCTAAAGCATGCTAAAATTAACATATTTGTAAAATTAGCATAAAATTAGTAACATGGTTCAACATGTTACTCACTTTTTTTTTTTTTGCTAAGCTTAGCATTGATGCTCATTTTTAGAACGCTGGGTCCAAAGTGACGGTCACACTTTGTCAGGACCTGGTTAAATTTCTTCAGGAATGTTCTAGTATGAAACTTTTTTTGTTTTGTTTTTTTGTTTTTTTTGAAAAACCAATGACATAAATTACCTCTAAAGCAATGGTGTCCAAAACTTTAACACAGACCTGGGGCTAAAATCAACAAGTTGAAAGTCATGTGGGGTCACATTTTTCTTTTTCTATGTTTTCAATTAAAAGCACAACATTTTATGATAAATTCTTCACCCAAAATTTGAACCATGTGGAGATATCTGGCATGTTTATGCTCCTGGAAAATAACTTATTAAAAGTTCCTAAATACTGTCACCAAGTGAAAAAACTTATTTTTTAATCACAATTACTTCAGTTGTGTTTGTTTTATAGGAATTATTCAGACTGTAAATGAGTCTGTTACTTCTTAGCCACAGACAAAATTCTTGAATGAATGGCGGCTTCTTTCTTCCAAGAATTTCAGCGGGTGATTATATTCTTAGATTTTTACACATATAAGTGATGTATGTGGATTCTGCTTTTGTTTGAACATATAAGACAGTCTTGAATCTTGCATTTGTTTCGTTCTTTTCTGTGTCTCTGTTCTTCAAACCTTCAGTCGGTGGTGGCAGATTCCCGCTGAGCCAGGTTCTGATTCTGTTGGCAGTTTCTTCCTGTAAAAGGGGAGTTTTTCTTGTTCGCCATCGCCATGTGCATGATCGGTATGAAGGATTGCAGCCAAGTCCACAACATAACATTTTAGCCAATTTGAATAAGAAACTGAACTATTTGATAACTAGGATCAATGCTAACATTGGTACTTGACTTGGAATCAGGCTGTATTTTTCGATTGAACTGTTTTTATTATTTTTGAAAAGGGCAATGAGATGACACCCGGTGAATTAGCGCTATATAAATTAAATTAATCACTTCAGCCATCCAGTTTTCAGACGCGTTAACGAAGCTACAAGAAATATTGTTGCAATTCTCAACAAATGACTCAAAACACTACAAAAAAACAAGAAAAGAAAAAAAAAAGAAAAAAAAAAGGGTCGGCTAAATGTCCGGTGAAATTCTTTACTATATTAAATACTAGTTGCATGCAGCAAAAGCTAAAGGTTTAGGTGACAAATTCAACCCCTCAACAATTAACTTGTTTATATCACAAAAAGGAAGTGAATAAAACCACACATGCTCTGCAAACGAGCGGTCAGATGCAACAGCTTTATAGGCTTTTTTTTTTTTTTTTTTTTATCTGATGCTGAGTTGAGGTTTGTGGTGCAAAAACGAGCAATTAAAACTCTTGCGGTGAAACAATCAGTCCCGCAGGAAACAATCCGTTTCCTTCGCTGCTGCAGCAGTGAAGGCGTCTTTTTTCTCTGATGCCTTTCAGAGAATAAAGAGGCTCAAAACTCACATAAAGAGGTTCAAAACAGAGCTGTGAGCTGCAAGCTGAAGCGCGCAGAAAATCCCTTTGCTGCGAAATCTGAAGGAAAGCGTCGGTGCTGCGAGCCGAAACCGTCTCTGGCAGACAGGCAGCGATGGAGCTCAGATAAAGGACGCAGGTCTGCAGCGAGGAAACCACAGGAGATCAGACGGAGGATTACACCCCGTAATCACACTGCATCAATTCAAGGCAGAAACACCTTCACCACACACACCGGCAAAACAAAACAATTATCATAAAAAATTATAAAAACTCTTCAGAGCCCTTCCCAGAACTTTAAACACAAAAATAAATATGGAAAGGTTTCGGCTGCAGCAACAGATGGAAGAAGATGATCCGAGAGCGGTCAGCGTGGCGACGGGGTCTCACTGGCCAGACTGGCCGCTGCCGCCGTTCATCTCCATGTAGACGAGTCCTGCGGTGGAGGAAACGGTGGGAGAGTTCAGGAGGAATGCGAGGCAGACGCTACCTCTTCTTGTTTTTTGCAAATCAAAACCATTAGAAATCTCTGACTCATATCGATCATGCACAGCATGCGGCAGCGAGTTTCTTTTTTTTTTTTTTTGCTTTTAAACCTGTTTTTGCGTCGCACCTTGAATCCAGTTCCTCGGTACCGTCGTTCGGTCCAGAGGGAGAGTGAGGGGAGCTACGCTCTGATGGCAGGTCGGATGGCTTCTGTAGTGATCGATCAGCGATTCAACGGTCCCAAACCTCAGCAGTCTGCCTCTTAAATCCTGCAAAACACACACACACACACACACACACACACACACACACACACACACACCACACACACACACACACACACACACACACATTCAAACCGTTGTGAACATTTTTTTGGTACCCTTTCAGATTTTTTTTTTCCCTCACCCTTAATTTGAATGTTTCAACCCTTCAACACACCTTCGGGCCAGACTACACTTAAAAAAACACAAAATCTTACCAGGAAATTTTGTTGTGCAAATATCTTAGGACACATGAAATGAGACTAAACTAACTAACAAGTAACTTTTCAGCAATAAACAGCTTTTTATAAGTCAGTAATTCCTTAATAGTGATGAAAAAGTCCTACTTCCACCGGCAGATTATAACTCACTTATAACAAAACATTTTTCCTATTTTGAATGTAATTATTAGGGATTTTTAATCAATATTATGGGATTATTTACTTAAAAAACTACTATCTTGCTAAAAAAGCTTCTTGTAAGTTAGCTTTGTCTTAAATCAAGTATAATGAGGCGTTTGAGTCAATAGCAAAAGTTTTTGGTGAGATTTTGTGTTTGCAGTGTATTTCTATACATCCATCCTGGCCAGTGCTACACATGAAGGTTGGTTGAATAGATCCTGCCTGACAACAGGAAGGAGGATAAAAGATCTCAAAAAGCAGCACCCCATGCCACAATCTGAAGGAGATTCCCTCAAATCTGTCAGTACAGAAAGACTGATGGGTGACATTTCTAAAGATTTGGAGAACATTCTCATGAGTGGCCAGACTATCAAAATGAAGCCCAATCTCTCTGGGATCACACAGCAGGACAATGACCCAAAGCGCACCGGCAGGCCCACCTCAGATTGGCTCAAAGCAAATGTTTTATGAAGATTTTGGAGTGGTCTAGTCAAAGTAAGGACTTAAATCTATAGTTAAATGGCGCACCATGAGCACAACCAGGTTAAAATTCCTCCACAGTGACGTAAACAACTCATGGCCAGTTATCACGCATGCTTGTTGGCGGCGGATGCCAAGCGTTACCCTTCCACATGAGGTCAGGTTAATTTGGCAAATATCTTAAATTGAATATTTATAGAAGTTCATTTTGTGAGATTTTATTTTGCACGTGATAAATTGATACCCAAAAAAACAAAACAAAAAAAAAAACCCAACACAAAACAAAGAAACAAACAAAAAACCCCAGAAGAAATCTTCAGAAAAACAAGCTGTCTTCTTTTTTTTCTTCTTCTTTTTCTCTTTTAGCAGCGTTTGTGTTCGCTGAGTGGAAACAGCGACCGACTTCCTGGTCTGCGTTTCAGAGTCTGTACAAGTGTCACCTGCTCCTCTGAAGTTCACCCACCTGGAGGTACCAGCCGCCGCCGTCGCGCTCCAGCCTGTAGGTGTGCACAAACGGCGCCTTCCTGTGAAACAGAAACTGCTTTCAGACCACTTCTGCGAAACCGGAATGAGAAAAGGTCTGAAATGGGCACGCCGTGTGGATCTGAGGCCGCCGGTGACTCACTGATGTTGGGGGCTCACTCGCTGTGAAAGCAGACATCAGTCGCTCTGCTCAGCGGCGCCGCTTTTGCCTGAAACGTTCTCATTTTACCGCAATAGTTTTTAATTTTAAACAGTGCTTCCAATATTTTTTGGGGGCATTTCGCTTTCGTTCTGCTTTGTGTTTTTGTGTGATGGGTTTCTTCAGAAACAAGGCTTCAGTTCCCAAATGACTCGTCAGAGCAGCTTTACGTATGTTAACGGCATTTTGATTTCTACTTGATTTCTGTGATTTGACTGTGAGTATTTTCCTAGTGTTGAAAATAATCTTTTTCAGGGTTTTATTGGGATTCTGCGAAGAATCAGGCTGCCTCAACAATGCGTCAGGTTTCCAGGAAAAAAAAAACAAAACACAAAAAACAGTTTCTGGTTCCTTGTTTGACCCGTGAACAGCCATCAGAGACGGGATGGACTGAATTGAACTCTACAGTCGGAAATTAGTGAGTTGGCTTTGCAGGTTTGACCAAAGCAAAAGATTTGACAAAAAGATATTTTAGACCAAAAACAAAAGACGTAGGCCGTTATTTTAGGAAAGTGGGGACATGTTTGTTTGTTTTGAGGTGAGAGAGATTTTTAGGACGCGGTGGAGATTTTTTTCCAAACTCACAGAGGTGAGACAGACATCCTGTGTGTCCCAGATAGAACTGCTCATATCAGCGATAACGGGGAGCTGTAAGCACATGGAGCGCCATTCAGCCTCAGTGGAGGGTCTTCCATCCATTTCACCGTTTTACAAAAGCAGACATAAAACGTCTCAACACGTCCTAAAGCTCTTCGAGCTTCAACTTATTGACTGATGAGACGCTGACGGTTCGCCACTCAGAGCGTTTTAAATTCAGATCAAATTAGAAGTGAATTACGTCTATTTGGTTTCTTTTTTTTTTTTTTTTTTGTCCCGTTTGGTGCCAACATTCCTCATCAGGAAGTATCTGACCTGAAATATTTAATGGTAGAACTTCTATTAAGTTTAAACTTTGATTCCAGTAATAATTCTCGAGGATTTTTCCATAAATTCCTGAGTCACATTTACTTATTGCTCACATTTTATGATTTGAGAAAATTTATTTTTAGTTTGTCTAGAAACATATTTGGAATATTTACGTGATTATTTGCTTATCCAGGTTTTTTTTTCTCTTTTTATTTTTTGTCAAATTTAAATGTTGAAGACAATCAAATGCATATAAACCAAAGAGCAGTTTTACTGATTAAATATGAATGAAAAGAAGACATGGAAACCAACCTGGGCTCAGATGAAGCACGAACTGAGTAAAACCTCATCGATGTCGAGTCGAGAAATTGCAAACAGGACGCGGATGCTGGACAATGTCTGAAAGCAACACGTCCCAAGAGAAATCCAAGAAAAAAAATCCATGAAAAAAAAAACTCACTACCATCTATCAGTCAGGGAAAGGTCAAAAGGTCATTTCTCAGCGTTTGGTTCTCCAGCAAACCACAGGGAGAGACGGCATCCACAAGAAAGAACCGGGAACATCAAGGAAGTGGTTGACCTGCCAGCATGACTTCAACAGTGGCTTGATGACACAACCAGGAGCAATATCTAAAGCGCTGCAGACCTCTCCTGGCCTAGTTAAAGTTCACGATTTGAGGACAACACAGAGAAGCTCAAGGCCGTAAAGAACGCAAAGACCCATTTCACAGCGGCCAGTAAACACCTCCACGCAACCCAGGATTTTTTTTGGGGAAAAATATTGTGCAAACTAACAAACATGAAACTTTTTAGGTGAAATTAGCATTTCAGAAAAGTAACATTTTACTAACAATCAAACATGGTGGCGGCAGTATTATGCTCTGCGGAGCACTCGAGAGTCACAACGAGTCGACGAAACTGAAAACAAAAATGTGCAAAAAGGATCTCCTAGGGGGGCCTAGTCAAAGTCCAATTGATGTGCACGGCTGAAAGCTTGGTTTCTTATCGTGGTCCGACCCTGCACAGAACCAACGCAGGTGTTCAGAGACACACTGACTTGGTCTGTGGCTGTCACTAAATATATGACATTGACTAGTGCAGGGTGCTTTCCTGTGATGTTGTTACATGTACGCATGCTGTTTGTCCAACGCTCTCTGCTCCATTTTCATTTCTGTCTCGGCCTTTACGTTTTCCCCATCTTCGTTAAGATCAAAATAAACCAAAAGCCAAAAAATGTCACCAGGTATTTTACAGTAACGCTCCACTTGGGAAGGTGAAGCCGTTTACTTTCGACATTCAGACAATAGTTTTGATTGCTGCACAGCCTAATAATAATAATAATAATAATAATAATAAAAATGTTTAAAAATGTAGACAAAATGAATCCAATAAAAGATTTATTACCAAGAAGCACAGCAAACAATTATTATTATTTTTAGGTTGCATATTGGAATCTGTTTAAAGAGCTGAAAGCCTTACAGTCAATTCACCAAAATTACTCAGGATACTTCAGATGTAAAATTAAGACAGATTAGGAGTTCAAAGTGCCGTACTTTACACCAAATGGTAATTAGTCTTTTGGTATTTACACAAATATAGTTTTTTAATTGTACATTGAAAATGATTTTAATAATCATTAGAAAAGAGAGTTTTTCTGCTCCTGCCCCATGACCTCAGCGCTTTTCAGTTATAGAAAACCGAGTCGTATTTCAAGCAACGATGCGTGGCAGAGACCGTACCGCCGCAGACGAAGAGAAAACGCCGAGATCACGGCTGGCGAGGCGGCTTTCGTTGGCCGTCAGAGTCGTTTCCGCCTGCTTTTTTTGTTTCCGTTCCTTGCGTTTATTTCTCAAGTCTGCGCACCAAGCTGCAAAGCGAAAGCTTCCACATATTTCATTTCTGCTGAGCATCTTTTCTCTGAAACATGCGAGAAAACCGTTGACATCGAGAAAAGGAAAAGAGTTGTGGTGTTACCCAACAGAGAAAACGCCGCCAAGAGAAAACCGTGAGGCGAAAAATCAGCAAAAGTCTGTCTGGTTTTCACGTTTAGATCAAAACCAAGAAGCGAGAAGGGAGACGTCACCTCACGCACAGACAGTAGGCCCCGGGCACCGTCTCGCTGTCCCTCAGCAGAAAGCTGCCGTCGTGTCCGTACATCTCCAGCAGCTTCTCGGTGACTTTGCTCCCGATCCGGCCGTAGTAGATGGAGCGAATGGCGGCGCCCTGCGACTCCATGGCGCCCTCAGAGCCAAGTGCATCCATCTGCTTCGCTCTCTGCAGGTGGAGGTGAAGGCACTCTGCTGCACACCGAGACACACACACAGAGACAGAGAGAGAGAAAGACAGTGTGCAAAAGGTTATACAAGGCAGGAAAAGCTTTTCTGGTTTTCACACTTTTCTGTCATGCAGACACAAAACTGCAGCATGCATGTGATGACTTTTTTTTCTTTTAAACCACATTAAAGAGTTCAGGGGTGGAGCAGAAAAGAATTACTCTCATTTTCTTTTTTTTCTTTTTTCTTTTGCTTTTTCTCCTTTGAATTGTTCGATCGAATTTAATCGATTTTAAATTGTATTTTTTTTACCCAATCTGTCTTTGGTTTGTGTTTTAAACAAACCAAAGACAGATTGGATAAAATGCAGCGATTCAGTGGCGAGAGGAGAGGATTCGGGCGAACAGACGCGGCCCTGAAGCGGACAAAACAACCAGCGGCCCCCCGAGCTCCACCCAACGCCCGCAGCTACACATCAATAGCAGCTGTGGTTTCATCTGAACGCCTCAGGCCTGCTCACGAGTTTTAAATAAAAAAAAAAAATTAAAATGACAAAAAACATTTCACCTGAGAAAGGTCAGGCCTCTGGGGCAAGACAAACGGCGACGACAGGATGGAACGGAATATAGAGATCGATCTAGAACCGGTCTGAACCATGAGAGCTCCTTCCCCGTCGCTGCGTTTGTGACAAACAAAAAGAAAGAAAGATTTCAAATTCAAAGCGAAGCATTAGATTGAGCGTCGTGCCAAAGTGCGAAACGAAAGCTTGCTGCCATGTAAAGTGATGACTTCATGACTGTGTTAACTCGTTAACCTCACACCCGTTCTGTGCAGTTCAGCTAAAAAATTTTTAAAAAAGAACAAAAAAACCAAACAGGAGTCTGTTGAAAGTCGACCAGTTGCGTATGTTTTCACACTTCTCGCCTCGTGGTTTGTTGAAGCTTCTTTCTTCCTTTGCTGTGTTTTCAGATTGTTATGGTCTTTGGCCAACACACATCGTGACGTCACCAAAACCTTCTCCAAAATCCATCGTTATTTGTGTATTCAGTTTTCAGAAGAAAAAAGTTGTAAACTAGAAGAACCGAAGAAATTTAACCGGGTCCTGACAAAGTGTGACCGTCACTTTGGACCAGCGTTTTAAAAATGAGCATCAATGCTAAGCTTAGCAAAACAAAAAAAAAGTGAGTAACATGGACTTGAACCATGTTACTAATTTTATGCTAATTTTACAAATATGTTAATTTTAGCATGCTTTAGCGTGTCAGTAGCATGTGGACCATCACCAGCATGTTGTGTGTAATTGACTCACTACATTCAATATACTAAACATGGCTAACAAGTGAGAGAAATAGATGACACCTTATTTAAGATAAAAGGCTCTGCAGAGCGCCAACCTGAGATAAAGATACTTTCTATCATCTCACAACCGGAAGTTCTGTGCATCTTATTGGTCAAAAGCAACAACAAACAAACACATAATAACTCGTGTTCAAAAGAATTACTACTACAAATAATCTCCTGGCCAAAAACGGGAGACTTGATGAGACGTCATGCCCTATGATGTCACTGACATGACATCACTGAAAGGCTTTGACAGGTTTTGAGTCGCCGTCTCCCTCAGTGACTCCTCACAAACAAACAGAAGTTCGAAGAGTTTTCACACCAGAATTGTGTTGTTCAGACTTTTAGAGAGATGAACGTAAAACGGATCTTTTTTAACTGTCCCGATGTTCCTGACCCGATGGAGAAGGTCCTGGAAGGGAACAAGCTGAAGCTGTTTGCAGCAAACCTGCAGCTCGGGTTGCTCATCGACTGCGGAGCTTTGAAAGCTTTGGAGCAGCTTGGCAAAGAGGAAACTGCCTTCATCCAGAAGATTGTAGACAGGATGGCAGAAGGTCTCACAATGCCAAAGAATTTGCTACAACGTCCAAGAAGCGCAGAACCATGTGCAGCAAAGTTCTCGTCGAGCTGAAGAAGACGTTCAGCAGCTCTCAGCTAAAGAACCTGCTGGAAACGAAAGACGAACACGTCATCGCCAAGATGATCGAACTTCTGCAGAAACAAATGAAGAAGGCCTTTAAAGGCTTTGACAACAGTTTGCTCAAAAAGCTGCGTACAGCAAAAGTTGCGGGACACGTCACGTCGTTTGTTGTCGTGGTCGTTACAGGCCTGATCATAATGTTGTAGCAGTTCAGTTTGAGAGCTGAACTGTTACAGCATTAGTTCAAACCAACTCATAACTCAGTGGTTCAACGGCTGGGAACAGATTTGCTGAAGAGGCGCTGAAACTGGTGGCTCTGATGAACTGTGAGTCCGTCTTTAACTTCTCCGATGTTGCAGAGTCTAGATGTTAAACTAGAATTCAAACAACTTGAGAAACTGATTTATTTCTCAAATCAATCAATCCTGATGGAGGTGATCTGCAGCTCTCCCTGGCCCTTCATTGACAGGCAGATTGGCAGCTGAAGAGGCTCGGGCATCTGGTCAAGATGCCTCCTGGTCGCCTCCCTGGTGAGGTGTTTCAGACCCCGGGGACGACCCAGGACACAGTGGAGGACAAGTGGCTGGGAAGGGTCTGGGCCTCCTTTCTTAAGCTGCTACCCCTGCGATGGATGGATGGATGGATCGGACAGACGGACGGATCGGAACGGATGGACGGACGGATTGGACGGACGGATCGGATTGGACGGACGGATCGGATGGATGCATTGCATGCAGTTGGAGCGTTTGACACATCTAGTGCATCCAAAGCTCCACATAGACTTTGAATATAAACCAGAATTGCCTGACGCTCAAAACGTGTTTGATGTGAACGCACCATGTCATTGTTCAATGGTAACAATGACATCAGCAGTGATGACATCACTCTTTGATGCATCAAATGAATCTCTCTTGAGTGATGCACACAGACTGTTTTTTCAAACCTCTTCCTGTTTCACACTTATAAGTTATAAGTTATGAATCTTCTCAAGGAGCATTGTTACAATTATTTGAAGGCACAGAATCATCTCAGTACTGATTCACATTCTCAGGTTAGAGAGACTCGCCTGGTATAAAGCAATTCTTTCAGTACTGAAATTTATGGATTTAATCAAAGTATGTTATGAATATGTGTGCATTTACTCCATCTTAAGTCCAGACTAGATTTTTTGTTGCTTTTGCCACCACTTTATGATGTAAGATATAACCAACAGCAGTATTCAGAGATGCAATGAGTTCATAGCAGTTGTTCCACCACGTTTATAATTCTGACATTTTGCAATCATTGTACTTCTAAAGAGCAGCTCAGAGGGAGACAAAATTCTGTCTGTTTTCAGTGAAACTGACTCTGTTTTGCGTCAGTGTTTTGTTTTGTCGCCACAGTTACTCGAAATCCCAACAACAGTAATAGTTCCCCTCACGGGACCGAGCCGCACATTTTAATATGTATATTGTGAGGGGCACAATATACATATTACATATACAGCGGTACGGGCTGCATTAACGGTGGTAGGAAGAGGCAGATATTTTGAGGTGAAGAACAATAGGCGCCTGCCATACATTTCTATGGCAGGCCCCAATAGAAATGTATTATTATTTAGTTTTATTTAGTTTTTCATTCTGATAATCGTCATTCCAAAAACATGAATTATCCTCTCACAAAGTCGTTTTGGTCTCTTTTTTTGGTTTGTTTTTCATCCCACTTTGAAAGCGTGATGCTGAAGGATAAAATCTCTTCCCAGAGGACGCCTGAAACCTTTTGGTCAAAACTGGCTGATATTCGGAGCTTTTCATGATTCATGATTGCTTCACAAAAACCCTAATCTTGTCTGAGAGAAAAGAAACGCTCTTGTGTATTTGAGTCTTTTCATAAGGCGCAGTTTCGTTTTTGATGTGCAACTCGCCCTCTCGTATTCGACAGTGGTCCAAAGTTCATCCGTTTTCCAGGAACCTGGACGAAGACAATTTGCGGGTGATGCTTGGCAGTGTGCGCGTAAGTACTGACATGGCACCATCATAAACATGAAGGAGTCTTTATGAATGCTGTCATGAAGTGTCATTTGGTAAATAATGACAAATCATGACTTTAAAAGTCGCATTAAAAGTCCATTCGAAGCGCCAGCTTTGCATTAAAGTGTCATTGTTCACGAAAGAATACAGAGTTGGCGCTTTTAATGCAACTTCACATTAAAAGCGTCATTATTTACCAAATGACACTTCATGACAACAGTCAGGTATTCATAAAGGCTCCGTGTTTATGACAGGTGTTATGTCCATTTTATTCATAACACCTGTCCCGTGAAATAATAACATAATAATAACATTTATATGCAACATTTGAGATACATTAAGATGCAAATAAACAATAGATTAAACATCTTATTGCTTAAAATGTAACTACATTGCATTCTTTCAGTACATTTGCCTGTAAAACACGTTTACAAAGATGTTTTTGTCTTAAATGTATATGTTGTACAGATTTGTCTTAATTACTGCTGCTTCAGAATATCGTCTTTATCTCTTTGAGTCTGTAAACTCCATTTGACGACTAAATGATTAAATGAGTTGATTTTTTTTTTTTTCCAATGACCCGACGCGTCACGATTGATCCAGTTAATCGTTTTGGCCCCCACTGAAATGCAACATTGACTTTATCTTAGAAGGGAAGTGAAACATGACGATAAATCTCTTTGGAGCTTTCTGCTCTCGGCACCAGAACCAGGACCAGAGGAAGAATTGGCTGCCTTATCTGGGTCCAAAATCTGACTGCCAGTTTACCTGAGGAAACCAACTGGGCTTTCCAAAGCTGTGCGGTTTCTGGAAACGTCCCTTGACAAATTGCACCTTGATGACGTCTTCAACAAGCGTCCATCTGAACACTGGCTGCATGTTTGACTTCTCTTCTTGGCAGGAACTCCAATTAGATCATGAATGAAATTTTTTTTTAAAAGTAACCCGACCCAAGCCCAACAGCATCGTCTCTGTATTCAGAGCCGAGCCTGAAGTAAACCCGACATATTATTCCAATTAATCTGCTTCCACTTTTGTTTTTAGCCTTTCTTTAAAGACTAAAACAGAAAGACTCAGCCACCTCCATCTGGTTGCTGGTTGTAACCGCAGGATGAGTCGAGTGCGAATCTCCTGAGACATGAGATTGATAAGAGCAGAAGAGGTTGTGGCTGTGTGCGCATCGTTAGCGCCGAACAAACTTCTGAACCTTCATTTCTTCAGACACAGTTAACTGCCTTCCCCTCTCCTCAGACCACAAGTGGATTAACGCAACTTTAAATTCAGCATTTTTGACCCGGCCACAAAGCAATTCATTTTTGGCCTGAATTTCGGCTCAGGTTCAGACCGGGAATATAAACATTTACCGTGATTTAAGGTTTTCCCAACAGGATTAGATTTATTGCCGAGAACCTCGACTACAGCAAAGAAACAATGGATCGAACATTTCCTTGTTTCCAAGTTTTATTTGAACCGGACTGTAGGATTTTGACCCTGTTTGAACAGGAGAACAGTCAAAGTTGTGAATCAGGTCATTGGTAAAAACACAGACATGCTGTCGCAATGGAGGATTATTGCTGTTAAACGTGGAGAAAAACTATTAATAGCCTTCTCCAACATAAAACGTATAAAACAAAAGCCCTTTAAGTCGAGGCACATTTGGTGTTGAAACAGTAAGCTATTGAAAAAAAAAGTCTCTGGATATTTTTGCTAGAAATATAAACAGACAGTTGATATCACTGGTAGCTAAAGTTCTTTCTTAAAAAAAGAAAAGATTTTTTTACATTTTGTGTTTATCCCCGTATTCTTCTTAATAAGTGCATGCAGTCAAAACAATAAACTCTGTACAGTTGTTTCCCGACTTGATCTGACCATAGCCCATTTCAAGCAAGAAGCACAAGTCCACATCGAGTGTGAAACGTACTCTGGTTCTCTTTCAACCCTCTTCTCCTCCTTTAGCCTGCAGAGAGTCGATCGCTTGGAGCTCAGAGGAGAACTTCTCTCCTAGATCTTTGTTTGCCTGGAGGAAGCCCTGCAGCCGTTTGAGCTGCTCCGCGTCCTGAGGAAACGGGGGGAGGGGAAACGTGTGTCTTTACGTCTTGTTCAATAAAAAATAGAAAGTAAAAATAATGCAAGTGTGCGGTTTTTGTTCAGCCTACCTGCGTCTTTGCATCCTCGTCTTCCTCGTTGGGAGCACACAGACACTCCCGCAGCATCTCCCCCAGGAGCTCGGATTCCCACCGGCTGACCGACTCGGCGTCGGGCTCCAGCAAGTCGGGGTCTGATGCGGCCATCGCGACGGCGGAGTCCAGTCGGTCGACACCAAACACGCGTATTGAAAGATCTACGGTCAGCATCTGGATCGCAAAAAAAGAAAAAGAAAAGAAACAACTTAAAACATGACGACAGCAGCTGCTTCTCCATATAATTGTCCATGTTGGTATCGCAAAAATACATTTCCTTTGTGGAAATGCAGCAATTTGAAAAACAAAACTCATATTTTTTTTATAAAACTTTTTACCGTCGGGGTGATTTGGGTGTACGGCCATATTTAAATCAGCGTATTTCTCAAAACTATGGAGTATGCAGTTGCACTTGTAGGGGAAACGCGACTGCAAAGAGCCTGAGAGCGGAGCTGCCGCTGTTCTCCAAACAAACTCACGCCTTCGATTTGCCTCCCGACGGTCAGCATGTGGGGCACGAAGCTCAGCTGCTGCACAAAGTGCCTCAGAGTCCACCTGTAGCGCCTCATCCAGTCGTCCTTCACCCGCAACTCGCAAGAGTGCATCAGCTCGTTCCTGCACTGAATCACCTGGAAGCAGAAACGCACATGTGATGATGCGGTTTTAGTCCTGTCACCAAAGTAAGTCTTGCGCCACTGCTCACCTGCCTCACCAGCTTTGGATCCACGGAGCTGAAACAGTCGCAGTAGTTGATCAGGTTGAGCAGAGCGGAGGCGTCGAACTCGTCGGCGCGGTTCACCTTAGCCTGACCTCGTGGCATGTACGCCTGAAGACACAGAGCGGCAGAGGATGGGGACCCAACAGGAGGAGCAGAAAGCTCAAACCCTCCCGACGGACTCGTGGTGGTTTGACGTCGCCGTGGTTTTCGCGGCCACGGCGGGTCCTGATCCCATCAAGAGACGTTTATTTGCGATCCGCCGAGCATCTTGACTCGGGTTTGTTTTCATGCGCTTCCACTTCGTCTGCAGAGGCGTCTCACCTTTCATCTGAGTCCAGGCAGTGATTTCTGCTGCACGAGCCTCCAGTGTGCTTACCCGTGTTTTGAGACGGAGCGAAAAGAAAAAAGATCATAAATAAATTACACACGCAGTTCTGAAAAACTTGAAACGTGTTTTTTACACTTGACCTCATCTTATCTCAGAATGGATGTAAATATGTTTGAGTTTTTTTGTGCTGATGTTTTATGTACTTTCCCTTGGGATAAAAAAGGAGTTATCATCTATGAATGGTTTTGAAGATTCTACAGATTTTTTGTCATTTAAACTTTTTTGACACAATCTAAGAAATACATTAAAATATGCAAATAAATAATTAATTGGACTCCTCCTTTAAACTAGACATTTTATTGACTAAAATGTAGTATAAAAGCATTCCTTTTGTGTCTTTGAACTGGGTGAGTAGATATTTAAAAAAAAAAAACACTTGAGGAGTTAAGGCTTAATCAATTACTTAAGTAATTAATCAGTCCAATAACCGATTGATCACAATTAATTGTTTCTGCCTTAATTTAGCAGAACCTCTAGAAAATTTAAATAGCTGTGGAGCTTTTTATTTAATGATTTCATAATAGGTATTAGATAGCAAGTATGTTTTCTTTTTTATTTCAGATAGGAACAATACTGCCATCTAGTGGAACTTTACAGTATTGCAAGCCTCTATGTGTACAGCTCAGGAGTCAAGTGGCTGTTCAGATGCCTCTTAATCATTTTGGCTGAAAATAATGCAGAACTAACCAATGTTTTTAAATATGAACACAGCAAACGCAGGTTTCTGGCTGTTTTTGTCCTGCAACTTTTGAATTTGATTTCAAATAATACGTTTTCAGATCCGTTTTCAATGTCGTTTGATTGGAATCTAAATGCTTTCTCAAAACTTTGTTCTCCATCTCGCAAAAAGAAAAAACATCTTATTCTGAGGATTTAAAAAAAAAGAGTAACACCAACCTTCCTACAGTGGCAGTGTATCTGAAATCATAACATGTCATCCAGCAAAATCGGTTATCGTGACACCCGGTGAGCAAGCTCTGCACTGGCAGCCAATACAAAAAAAAAAAAAAAAAAAATCCAATGTGGAGACATCTTGACTCCAACCAAACCCTCTGAGTTTCTGATGTCACTATGCTGAAGCCAACGATTTCGGGGGGGATGGGTTTTTTGCACGTATGTTGATGCTCAATCGTGCATTGAGCATCAACACAAATTGCCAGCACAAGAAGTGGAGGAACAAAGTTTGGGAGGCAACAATGAAGTCCCTCCCACAGCTGTGGCATAAAGGACAAGGAGTCCAGCAGCACCGCCACTAAGGCTGACTCTGCGAGTGGACAGGGTGATGGTCAGTGTGGTCTACCTTGGCCACCTCCCAGTGGTCCGTCCTCCAGTTGGGGGGGAAGCAGTTCGTCCAGTGGATTGTGCCGCTGGGCTGCCTGTGGTGTTTCAGGATCTCTCTCTGCCACTCCGAGCAGCCCCTGCACACCGAGGCAAGCTGCCGGGAAGGAGAACCCAATGAGACACACCGACCGGCGGGAAGTTATGAACGGGACAGACTGGCTAGGGACGAATGTTCAACAATCCTACCGCGTTCCCTCGGGGTTTACAGGAAGAGGTCTCGCAGGGTGTCCGCAGGGGAGGCCGCTGGTTGAGCAGGTCCCCGTGGAAAGCTCTCAGCCGCTGCTCGGTGAACGGGAGGAGGCCGTCCTTCAGGAGGAGCAGGCAGCGTCCCGCTTTCAGCCAGTTCTTGTACTCCTCGTCGTTGAGGCGGAACGCCAGCTCCTCGCTGACCATCTCGGCTCCACTTCCTCGTAAAGTGACACGCGCAGCAAAGGGGCCGGGCGAGGTCCGGGCCTCGCGCCCAGCTCGGCCCACTGGCTGCAGTTCGGCCCGGCGGCCACCAGATGGCGGTGTGTTACCGTGGCTACAGAATGCCGGGGCGGGGAAAATCCGTGAGGGAGACGAGCTTATGTGTGGAAGAAGGGAGTTTATGGCAGAGATCTCTGAAAAGTTGTATGTTTATAATGTCTTTTTTGTTGTTTTGGTCTTCCTGTCTTGGGACTACAGATGGAAATTAGCAATTATGCTATAATCTGGCTCATTTACAGTCTGTACATAAGTATTGATTGTTAATTAATGTGCACTGTCCCTAATAAATTAAATTAAATTAAAAACTGGAGAAACTTAGTTTGGAAAGATTTTTTTATCTGAAGCTGCAGGACCAGAGACAACTTGGACTCTGTCAACACGAGTGGGACTTAAAATCTCAAATATTTGTATTGATTGTATTTTTTATTTCAGATTCTGATTCGTCTTTACGCGTGGAATCATCTAAAAACTCACTGTTTCATTGACTCTCGTACTTTAGTTCACCTCTGCTTTTCTTCACGTTTTTATTTCTCTCAACACGGCGGTCACGATGTATATTACCAAGCTAACGTTTTCAGCAAACATGAAAATCTCCTTATCAGGTCCGTACCTTGTGGGAAAAGCCAGATTGGCTCTGTGAAGCAGCCGTGTGGGAAGACTGCATGTTTGTGATAGTCAACTCTCCTGCATTCGAAAAAGCTTTTGATTTCCCACAACTAGCCCACTGTATGTGGAAAAGAAGTTAAATTTCTCCAAGTCATCTCTTCAAATGTGAGGACAGAAGGATTTCAACATCTTCTGCTATAGATATTATTGCAGCATCACTATTTAAAGCCGTTTTCCCTTGTACTGCCGACTATTTGCTTATCCCTCAGTCTTAGTAAAGTTTCATCATTCAAAAATGGTGTATTTCTCCTCTTCTTAAAAAGTCTACCACCTTAGATTTATCGTGTCCTACGACTTATAGGGTGATCTCAAAACCTTCTTTCCTGGCCAAAATTATGCAACAACCGTGGGATTTCTGATGACTGTAATATTTCAGCCACATTTCAGTCTGGTTTTTGAAGAGCCTATCCGACAGAGTCAGGATTCCTCAGAGTGACTAACGGTTTGATGATGTGGAAATGAGAATCGTTGGTGTTAGCCGGATGTAAATCCCGGGTTTATGTTCAGCCCTTTAGTATCGGGGATCATTCAGTGCTGCTTGTGAAACTGAGTCTTTCAGAAATATTTGTATCGCCCAGTCTGGTTTAAACTCGAGGTCTGTTACCCTCAACCACAGGGTTCCACTGTGTGCCTGTTTTTGGGCCTAATTTATTTGTCTTTGTCGCCTTCCTTTGTGCGGTCTTTTAACATCTTTTAATGAAATCTCTTATCATTACTGCGCTGACGAGGCTCAGGTTTTAATTACTTTTAAATCCCATTCAATTTCCGAGCTATCTGTTCTACAATGGTATATGAAATCAAGCAAATGAAGGTGGAATAATGATTTTCTCCAGTTGAATGAATGAAAAAAAACACAGGTTCTTATCTGTGCCACAGATAACTTGGTTCCTTCATTTATCCAGCCATGAAACAGAAGACTTTCCTCTCAGCTGCTCTGCTCTCCTCCTTTTGATCATGATCCATCTCAAGAGGGATGAATCGGTAAATCAAGAGCTGCACATTTTGCTCAGCCTTATACTCCATGATAGATTGGAAACCCATTTACTGTCCTATCCTAACGTCAATCATGTACAAAACGGAGGGAGCGTTCCACGTCTGCTGACTGAAACAAAAGCTAATGCAGTGGGTGGTGCTGACACATTGCCAGTCTTCAGCTGCTGAAAATATGCAGACTTTCAATAAAGATATTATTTTTATACAGACGCCTTTTTTTATTTTTTTGTCTCTAGTCTACAGGCCCTCTGGTAGTTCTCCACTTCTTAAGAGAATCTGTGCCTTCCCTAGTGGTCCTACCATTTTAGTTGATGTTGAAACAAAGAGATTCAGTCTGAATTTCTCTCATGTTCTCTGCGCTGCTCTTACTAAAGTTTTCCTTTACATATTCCACGGTTCAAGAGGACTCGCTAATCAAGTACAACGTATTCCACAAAGATTTGGTCAACTAGTTTTTCCATTAGAAGGCTGAACTACAAAACTAATTGCCCCGGTACAGCTTTCTGCTTTTGTTTTAGATTGTGGGTTTTACAATTCTTTCGGATGATTCATCAGAGACCTCCGATATCTTAGTGGTCTGATTAACCCCAGACCTGTAGAATCAATAAATCACTTGAGGAGAAATAACACGTCAAATCCCGGTGCAGAGATTCAAGAACAGGTGAGAAACCGGGGAGCAGCGCCGGTGCAAGACACATATACAAAGAGCCATCAAAGGCTCCTGCCCCGCTGCAGTGACCTTTGCAGAATGTCTTCCCCTCTTTCACAACCCACTTTTCTGTCAATCCACTGTCAAATAAAGGCCAGTAGAGCAATAAATAAATAAATAAATGTGTAAAAAGCCAAACAAAACTATTTTTGAAGGACTTGGGACTCCAGTGAACCACAGAACACTGGGGAGCCTCAGGAGTGACCAGCCCACCAAAACTACACAGAGCACGCTGATTACTCACGGCGCTCGGTTACATTCACGATTTAACAGCGAGAAAACAGGCGGGGAAAAACGGCATCGAGATTTCAAAGGCGATTAAACCACAAAAGGCTCGCGCAGCATATGATGAACACATCTTGATGGCCAACAAAACCGTAGAGGGAATACTCTGGTGAATGATGAATCCTAACTCACCATTTCAGAGAGAGTACCTCATGTTTTTCTTTAGGTCCTGGATGATTATCTGTCATTTCTGAAACCATAAATTCTGCTCTCTTCTGCAGAAAATCCCAGAGGAGAACATCATCAGTTTGAGTCGATTCAGGTCGAACCTCACCGCCATTGACTTCTTGTGGCATGACAGTTGAATGCAATTAAGACATTTGTTGAACAGTTGAGAAAAAGACCAAAAAAAAAAAAAAACAAATATATCTTTATATTTAAAAAAAAAAAAAAAACGGACAAGAAAATAGCCAAACATTCATCTGTCCAATAATTTTAGATATGCGTTCCATGTCACTCATTTCCGTTTCTTTGGATTTTGTGTTGTGAAAAACTAGGTCTCTCACAGATCTGTCTTTCACTCAAATTTTGCTTGAACATATTTTTATTCATAGCTCTGTGGAGAGCAACATGCAGCGTTCACTCAAAGATTAAGCCTCCCACCTTATCCCTATGTCTAAACCAATCCCTCTCAAACATACACCTACTTGAGAGCCCACATCACCTCTCTGCAGTGACTGATGTTCCTGACAGTAAAAACCTGCAAAGAAAACCTGTGAGGCGGCTCGGTCTCCGCGAAAAGCTTGGCCGCATCTGATTAAGACAATTCCAACCCGGCGTTTCATCCGCACAGAATCCCACAAGACTTACTTTAAGGGTAGCATAATTAGGCCACGTTCGGCAAGCTGTTCAGCAGTTCAGTCGTGACTCCATCTGAGGACGCGTTCTCTAGCTAGGAAGATCTAAAACGAGGACTGAAACCTTGATATCAAATGAGCCGTCTCTGCTGGCAGTTTTTTTGCATTTCTGTGTCAAAGTTCTTCATATTCTTTCTTCACTTTGGACAGCAGGCCGGAGAAGTGCGCCGAACAGAGCATCGCTTTGTTGTAACATGCGTGGACAATCCCTATCACAAGAGCAGGAACTCGTGTTGTTCTCCATATTATTTGCAAAGTTCACTGCAATCATCAGGACTTTTCCCTCCTATTTCAGTTTGCAAATCGTTAGCCGAACCTGCCGGTTCTACCTCTCGTTAAAGTTTTCCCCATTTCCATTTGCCTCAACGCAACAGATTGATTCGGGAGACAAATTTCACTTTTAACCATGGGAATTTGGTCCTGGTGAAAGCCTCGCTAAAATATTTAAATTGATTTTTATTTTAGGCGTCAGGTAATTCCTCCCTGGCTGCTCCCCGCTCGTCCCCGAGCTACTCGGCTCCTCGCTCTTCCTCCCACTGCCCTCCAACCTTCTCCCGCTCCGCTCCTCTCCCATCGCCTCCCCTGCTTCTGCTCGGCTCTGCATTTAAATGAGGAAAATTGTCAAAGAAAACCATTAATGCGAAGTGAAAGCACCTGATGGCAATTCTGACAGCACATGCGCAAAAGGCACAATTAACTTGACCCGGCTTTGCAATCCAATTTGATACCTTTATGTCAAGAAATTGAATTATGATTGGATTACCTATAGGTGCCCACATTTATAGATGACCTTAGCACATCCGACAGTTTCCACAGAATCAGTGGAGATGCCCAACGTACCTTTTGAGCAAATATGCCAGCTTCCTCTTCCTCGCTTTACTCAATAACCTCTGAAGATCCACTCGAAAATAACCAGAGCTGAAATAATGCTAAAGCTAGAAAGCTCCAAATAAGTTTCGAGAGAGAGCCAATGTTTCCACTACCCTGTCAAAAGGTACACCTCCCTCTCCCAAATTACAAATATTGGCTGTCAAAAGAAACCTGCTCGGGGTGTTAGCTAAAACGAGCATGCATTAGCTTAGCAACATAAACACCATAAGAAACTTGAGCGAAGTGTTGAATATTGTTTCACCTAAAAGGAATTTGCGGTTCATTTAGTAGAAAAATAAACAAAGCCAATGGAACCGGTACAGCTACAGCCATGCTAGCTAACAGCCTGCCTGCTGGAAATTAGTATCAAGGTGCTACTTCCCAACAGAAACTCTGAAGAGGAGAACATTTGCACGCTACGGCTTCAGCTCAGCTTCATTTAATTGGACTGCTGACCTTGTATGAGCATTAAATCATTTCATGGGAATCCATTTCGCCTCAAGTATGTCTGACTCCATAATGACAGGTGGCGATGTGCCCCCTTTTGGCTTGTTAGCAGTAGG